GATCAGCTCCAACTGCACCCAGGAGCTGGAGAACACCGGCGTGGATGTCTGGAAGCACACTCAGGTGGGAAAGCACGGAGCATCCCTGTGGCTTGTCCCATCCCTCTTGCAGAGGCAGGGCTGGGGGAAAGCTGCCGTTTTGGGTGCTGCTTGCTGAGCCATGGTTTTGGCAACATCCTTGTTTCTGCAGCATGGCTGCTGTTGCTTGTTGCAAGGCAAAAGCCAGTCTGCGCCTTCTCCTGCTGCTCCTGTTCCCTTAGGTCAAGAAGGTCACCAAGTCTCCATGTGGGCTGCTGGATGTGACGGTGGCCTCGGTGGTGCCGGGCCGCAAGCCGACGGAGGAGGTGATCCGGGACGTGGACTGCCTGCTGTGGGCCGTGGGGCGGGAGCCCAACTCCGAGGGGCTGTGCCTGGACCGAGTGGTGAGATGGCAGCGTGTCCCCTCTGTGCTGGTGGGCGGATGCCCACGGGTCTCTGGGCGTCCCACGGGTATTTGGGTCTCCAGAGCCTGTCACAGGTGCCCCATGAGCCGTCCCATCCCTCCTGGAGCATATGTGGCTGCTGTTTGCCATGGCAGGGCGTGCGGGTGGACCCCAAGGGCCACGTGGTTGTGGATGAGTACCAGAACACCACCAGAAGAGGGATCTATGCCATAGGGGATGTCTGTGGGAGAGCCCTCCTCACTCCAGGTACTGCGGCCGTGCCCCTTTCCCTGCACGGCCCCTCGGTGCCACCACGCCGTGCCGTGGCTCAGGCTCCCTGTCCCTCCGTGCAGTGGCCATTGCAGCTGGCAGGAAGTTGGCCCACAGGCTCTTCGAGGGCAAGCAGGACTCCCGGCTGGACTACGAGAACATCCCCACGGTTGTTTTCAGCCACCCGCCCATCGGCACCGTGGGGCTCACAGAAGGTGGGGACAGAAGGGGCTGGGGACACGGGGTCAGAGCCTCGACAAAAGGCTTTGACTCCTCTTTTTGAACATCCCATGTGCATCCCTCTGATCCCTGTTCCGTGGCTTCTGCTGCAGAGGAGGCTGTGGCCATACATGGGAAGGACAACGTGAAGATCTACAACACATCCTTCACTCCCTTGTACCACGCTGTTACCCAGAGGAAGGTGAAGTGTGTCATGAAGCTGGTGTGTGCTGGCAAGGAGGAGAAGGTGAGTGCAGGGCAGCTGGGGGACAGTGGGGACCACGGCTGGCTGTCCTCTTGTCCCCACGTGGTCAGCTCATGGGCTGGGATCCAGTTCTCCCACCCCAAGCCCAAGAGCTCACCCTGGATTCTGGGTCCTACCTACCCTCTCGCTTCTTCTCCAAAGGTGGTGGGATTGCACATGCAAGGTCTGGGCTGTGACGAAATACTGCAGGGCTTTGCTGTGGCCATCAAAATGGGGGCCACCAAGGCCGACCTGGACAACACCGTTGCCATTCACCCCACTTCTGCCGAGGAGCTGGTGACACTGCGCTGAGCCTGCGGGCACCGACACCCCGGCGATGGCGGCTGCAGCTGGCAAAAATGTTTCACGTGTTTTCCAAAGTGCCTTACTGCTGGGTGGGTGCCTGGAGAGTGTGTCTGTAAGGTGGCTGTGGCTTGCTGTGGAGTGGGAAGTAAACATGCTGATGCTGGCCAGTCTCTGCCTTTTGCTCTCTAGTGCCTGTCTCCTGCCATGCCCGGCTGTGGAGGGAGCTGGCACGGTCCATGGATGTGATTTGGGAGAAGGCTGGCAGTGGTCAGACTCCTCCTCTGCAATCCCTGGCACTGGGGCAGCAGAGAGGGGCTGGACAGTGGGGTCCTTGGGGTGTTCATGGGTGGTGGGATATCCTGGATATGCTCCTCTTTATCTCATGTCCCAGCACCACCGGCTCTCCAGTGGTAATCTCTCCTGATATTAGAGGAGGAGTCCAGGCTGGGGGTTCAAGGATCAAATTCTCCGTTTCCAGCCCCATTTCCCATGGCTGGAAGCTCCAGACATGGCTGGAAAAGAAGTGGCCCAAGTCATGTGGGGTTTTGGGGATAAGATCGGGGCACCCCATGGTGAGCCTAGGCCAGGCACCCTCATGTTCTGGAAAGAGAGAGCAAGACCTGTGTTCAGGGGGCACCAGGCCCATTTGGCCAGTTTTAGGGCCCTGTAATAAATAAACCAGGCATTTTCTTTGCCTCAGAATTGGAGGCAAGTCCCACGTTGTTGGCACTCAGAGCCAGCCCCAGTCGGGCAGTCTCAGGGCAGTGAAACAAATTCCAGCCCCATCTGGGGAGTGTGAAAGGAGGCTCATCCAGGCACTTGAATGGTTTGATCAGAGAGCCCAAATCCTGCCTTTTGGGGTCAGGGCAGACCCCAGACTGGTGAGAGACAGTGGGACCCGGGGGGTGGAGAGAGGCAGCCCCAGGCTGCAGGGTGGGCTCAAGTGTGTGGGGTGGGACAGGAGCATTTGTGTGCCGGGAGTCGCTCCCCTTCCTTTCCCCTCCATGTCCCTCTATCAGCCAGATGCTCTTTGCAAGGAAAAAAATAGAAATTATGCCCCAGACAAAAGCATTGACACAGCTGGGCAATGTGAGCAGTCCGTGGAAGTCAAACCGGTGCCAATCCAGGGGGAATTTAAAGTCGGATACTTGCAGATTGAATTTCCCAGGAACTCAAAATTTTTTGGCACCTCTTGCTTATATACTTCTCTGTCCAAAGAGGTCAGTTAGTCTTTTTAATGACCAGATTAGCCAACACCGGGAAAAACAACCAGCATTTCCTGAACACCTCCATCACTTCCATATCTATCTGCTGCAATCAGGGGCTGATGGACAGCAGCCTGTCCTCACCAGGCTCCAAGGTGGGACTGGCTAACCCTTGAGGTCCCTCCCAAACCAAACCCTTCTGGAGTTCCACAGACGGTTCCGTGAGCTCTCCTTGAGTTTATTTCGCACCGTGTTCCTTCCTTCTGCTCCCAGCAGATGGTGCCGCCGGCCTTTAAAAGAGATGGAAGTGTCCCGCTGCTCACTAAGCCGCTTTTTAAACGAAAAAGGACAATATTCTGCAATAAATCCGTGATGAAGATTCCACTTTGACGTTCCACGGGGCATGGGGGAAGCAGAAAGTGATTCCCTGCAAGTCTCGATTCCCTGTGTTGTGGGTATTTTGTTGCTTCCATGAGTAACACCTCTCCATCTGAAGCTCTTTGGGTTCCAAAGTGAACTCACTGCCTTTTGGGCTTCCAGGCAGAGGGAATGTGAATATGGGAAAGTGGTAGGGAGACAGAGAACTGCAGCAGTGTGTGTGTGTGTGGAGGGAGAGCTGGGGTAGGAATTTCAGACAAAATCCTCTTACCTGGATGCAGGGCCTTCAGGATCCTCTCTTGGTCAGAGGTTTCTCTATCTGTGGCTTTTTTAGAGTATCTGGCTCTGGGTCCCCAATCCAGCATCCTGGGATTCTGGAATTCCATCTGCTGCATCACACATGGCAAAACTGCTCTTACTGCATTGTCTGTGTGTGGCTGGAGCTTCTTAGCCTCCATTTACAGCACGTGATGTTTCCATACAGATTTTTTATAATTCCACACTGAGTTATGCTGGAAAAGAATGTGTTGGTTTAAATTCATATTGGGATAATTGTTTGTTCTCTCAAAATTAAGTGCTTTGTCAAAGGATTGATTTTTAAAATATGCTAGAAATGAAAAGGGGAGTGTAAAAATAGGTAATTTATTATTAGAATAATTCCTACATCCATCAAATCATTAATTGGAAGCCTGTTCTCCTAGAATCTGTTCTTGGAATGCTGTTTTTCTTTCCAGAAAAACTTGATGCAGAGGCAGGTAAGGCAAAACCTGCCATTTCAGCTACAGGGGCCACCTGGTTTCACCTGGGCCACACAAACTGTGTTTTTCCCCGAGTTCCTGACATAAAAGCTGGAATCTCTGGAGAGCCTGGACCTCAATGCTGGTGCTCAGCAGGTAGGAGCAGAATCTGGGAGATGCCACTGTGCTGGGAGTGCTCAGAGCACCGGGAGGAATCTGGACTCTAATGTGTCGGAATCTGCAGGTATTGATGATTCTGAGAGTGTAAAAAGTCTCTGTCTTTCTGCCCCATTGTCAAAGAAGCCATAATTTGTCTGTGCTGGTTTCAAGGCTGTTTATTCTGTTTATCTCTAACATGTTCTGCTGCCCTGCCGCAGCTCTGTCCTGCAGGGCAGCGTGTGGGGCTCTGCCCTCAGTGGGATGTTACAAACATTAAATACCAGAAACTACCTGTGCTGGATTTACAATAATGAGCCAATATCTGTCACCTACGTTGAACAGTGTGTCCCCAGCCTAAACCAACAGAAAAATGCCAACACCACAGTGAAACATGGAGGGCATGAAGAAGGAGGAAAAGGACAAGACACACCCAATTTCCTCCATCTTGTCCCCTTTGAACCCCTAATCTAGAATCCTAAAATTTTACTTTTGCCACACTTAATTATTACTGATATCAAACACTCAGAGCTGGTAATTCATCCTGTAAGATTGAAAACTCTTTTCCATGGACAGAGATCACAGACAGTGTCTCTGGGGGCTCTGTACAGGGGGGTTCCTGACCCCTGCCAGGGAAGCCTGGATTCCCACACTAATGGATGGGGGTTGTCGGGGGTGCCACCTGCCGAGTTGAGTACCTGGCCTTGGGAATGAGCTTCCCAAAGGCAAAGGGACGCCTGAAGCACAGCCGAGCAGGGAGGCTCTGCAATGGAAGATACCCCAGAAACTCTTCCAAGCGGGCACCCCCCAAATCCAGCGGCGGCTGCAGGTGACAGCCCGGCTTTGGGCTGGGCTCTCCGCTCCCTCCTTCCTCCTGTCCTTCCTCCCTGCCTGAGGCAGGAGCTGCAGGGGGCTCCGGAGCAGGGGCTGCAGCCCCGCTCCTGCCTGCGCGGAACCTGCGGCTGCGGCGGACCTGCGGCGCCCGTAAGCTGGGAAAAACGGGGAAAAGCGGGGGGATTAGGGCTGGGGGGCTGCCTTACCCCGGGGCTGGGCTGCTCCTGCCTCCCTGCTGCGGCTGGGAGCGGCGGGGAACCGCGGGAGCTTGGCTAGCAACAGGTCTGTGTGTGTGTATGTGAGAGCTGGAATGCTGCTTCCACCTCCTGGAGGTGCCCTGGTTTACTGAGGGGGCACAACACTGCCTGCCCGGGCATCCCGGTGATGCCAGGGAGCTGCCGGCTGGAAATAACCTTCCTTGTGTTGCCCAGGGTAGCAGTGATGGGGATGGCAGCAGCTGCCCCTGAGCCTCTGGCTTTGGAGCTCCAGGAGAGCCAATCCACCTGGCCTGGGAGCTGGACCACTCTGCAGACCTCCAGGGTTGGGAAAAGAAGATCCTGAGGCTGGTTTGTACCTCTACTAGGAGGAAAGTGTCTGGAGCTTGAAGTAGCTCATGTTAGCCTTTAAATCTGAACCACTGGGCTGCAAAGGATAAAAGGCAGTGAGATTTTTTTTGGGGGTGTTTTGCTGGGAAAAGCGGGATTGAGTGTAACTCTGGGCATTTCTTAAGGCTGGCAGGTAAGATGGCGCCTCATCCCAAAAGAATGGGCCTGTGTTGCTGGGGTTTTTTTCCAAAAGAAAATCCTAACAAGGAAAACTTACTTGCAGTCCTTGCTGTTTGGACTGCTGTGAGTTGCAGCTGTCATTTACTGAACAGAATTGGCTTCAACTGGAGTCAAACCAGGAGGTTTCCGAGGTAACCTCTCAGCGTGTCAAATTCCTGTCATCAATCAGGGGTACCTACCCATGCTATCCAGGTAAGGCTTAGAATTTGGTGTTAATTAAAATTGAGTCACCGAGGCAGCAGCAAATGGAAATTCAAGAGCACCAAAAGGATTCAAATCCTCAGAGCAGGTCACAGGAGGAAAAAAAAAAAAAAAAAAAAATCAATGAGTATCTAAAGTCCCTTTGTGGATGTGGATGGTGATGTAAATGGAAACATAAGGTACAGGGAGAGTTCAGCCCTTCCACAACCATCATCTTTCTGGAGAGGTGACACTGCATTTAAACCTCTGCTGTCACCTGCACAGCCAGTTCTTCTCCTGTGCTGCCTGCACAGTTATTTAAGACTAAAGGTGTTGCCTCTGGGCAAATCCAGCATCAGGCTGTGGTGGAGTGTTCAGGATGGTGCTGCATGGGGAGCTCACCTCTTCTGGCCTTGGGCCAGGCAGGCTTCTCTGCCTCATTTCTGGTGAAGCAAAATCCAATGTCCTGCAGCCCAGGAGCTTGGGTGGGGGGTAAAATGCTCTTTACTGTGACAGGCTCTAAGTCATGATGCCCCGTGTGACCAGGCCATGGGCTGTCTGCTCTCATGCCCATCAATGGCACTTCCTGCTAAAAGAGATGGAAACCAAACAATTCTATGGCTCTTGCTCATTTTTGGCTTGAAGCAGAGGCATCACCTGGTGCAAAGAACCCTTGTGATGTGCTCTCTGCATTGGAATTGGTTTGGTTTTCTTCTGGTCTTTCACTTGGCAGTGATTACAGGATCCTCTGTGCCCCCTATTTTGAGGGGGGACATAAACTATGTGCTGGCAGAGCTGTCTCCTGTACCTGGTGAATTAGCCCTCACTGGCTAATGGACTCCTAAAACACTTTTGTTTGCCAATTCTATCCTCCACTGAGATTATCTCATGATTGTCCCACTTTTCAGGATTGGTTTGTTTGGGTTTCTTTTTAACCTCCTTCTACACGCTCCCCAATTACTCTCCTCAGTTTCAGTGCCCCAAATGACAGGGCTGTCAGGGAGTGACTCATGAGCAAACTGAAAGGTGCAATTTAGGAGGCTCATGTCCCATAAATGGGGAATTTAGTGCTGCCAAGAGCCCGGCAGGGATCATTGATTTAGCTCTGCCTATATACTAATCCCCAGCACTTCACAGCTGAACGCTGCTGGAGCATCTCTCCAGGGGAAAAGCTGTGGCCAGTCCAGATATTTCGTGGGGTCCCTGCCCAGTTTCCAGTGATGGATAGAAAGCTGCTACTTGGAGACTGGATCCCAGGAGAACTGGAGTAATTTCCTACTGAAAGCTTTTAAAACAGGTACTTGCTTCCAAGGTAAGGCAACTGAAATCTTATTGCTTGCCAGGCTTCTCAATAAAGTGGTGGCATAAGTGTGCCTGGGTGTGGAAATCTTACTTTAACCTGATTTCAGGAAACAGTTGGCTGAGATTTTAGTTAAGATTTTAAACAGCCTGTGACACATCAAATAAAAATATATACAGAAGCTTAAAGGCTGACAAAGCACAAAGTGAAAAAAAAATATTATAATGACAAGGAATAGGTAAGCAGCCTTGGCTCTAATGAAGCAGGGTGGGAATTATATATATATAAAAAATTACAAAAATATAGAGTGAGGCCCATAACAATAGCAATAGTGAATGCCTCACCTGCCAATTTTATCTCCTGATTTACGCTTATGATTTGGCTTTGGAGTGAAATGTTTTCTATTCCCAGCTCAAGTGGATAAGTAATCTGCAACTAAGTCTGGTATTTATTACAGTAATTCTGCTGATAGCCTTGTTCTTCATCATTTGAAGTTTGAGATCTTTTAAAAAGAAATACCTATTTTAAAAACAAATACCTACAAACAATTTTCTTTGGCCCCAGCTCAGACTATGCAGATAAATGACTCTGAGGGGAGGATAAGCAATTTAACCCCATTGAGAGGAGATGTGTGTGCAGCTCCGAGATTGGCACATCTCCCTGGGATTGCTCATTTCAAAATGAGAAATTTCTTCTTCTCAAGGTGCACTTGTTTTTCTTTATGAAAGTAAATGTCAGTGAGAAAAAATGATTTGATTGCAACTGCATATTTTTAGGGGGTGTTTGCTTCCACAGCTCCTTTCTCCCAGCTGCAAACCTACTGGGATATTCGGGCTTGTTTGGAGATAAACCACTCTGTGGTATGTCATATAAAATATCATAGAAATACTGATGGATGCAAAGGTAAATACTGTAAGAGTAAGTTCTACTACCTTAATTCACAAATATCCCCAGAGTCCTCAGCTGAAGCCCTGCAAGACGCAGACCAAACAACTCCTGCACCACTCCCTGAGCCGCAGGAACTGGGATTGGGGGATTTGGGGTGACTGCAGCTCCCCCTTGCTCTGAAAGAGAAGCAAAGATGAGCCCAGGTTCCCATGGTCTGTGCATGGGGTCCCTGTGGAACACCATTTCAGTTTTTCAGTCAGTGGTTCCCTTCCTGGCTCCCTGAGGCAGAGGATGATCCATAAATTTCTCTCTCCCTTATTTCTCAGACACTCACAGACCAGTGTCCTGTTCTTTTTGCCATCCTTCAGGGGCTGTGTTTTGCCCCTGAGAGTTTCTCACTTTTCAGCAGACCAGGGATCATTTTCCAAGGTGGGCAACCTTGGGAACTGGGAACCCTGGGAAATCTCTGTTGTTGTGCCATTACTGAGCTCAGGACAAAAGAACACATTTTTTAGCACTTACCACATTAAATGTTCTTCATGTACAACTACATGCTCCTGCTGTCTCTGAAGTTTCCTTGTTTTTGTTTCAGCCTCAGAGGAGTCTGTGAGGGTATTTCACACATGAAAATCAAGACATCAAGATGACAAACCCAGCAGGTTGTGCACAGGGGTGAAGCAGTAGTGGCTGCTCCAGGGGATTTCTTCATAGAAATAATCCCATCACTTCATAATGGCTTTGAACTGCTACTCTAAAGATGCAAAACTGAATTTCTGTAGCCAGAGGTACAAGATTGTCCTGGTCAAGCTGTGAGATGTTAAACTGTGTATTTGTCTGTGGAGGCTGTGTCTGGAATTCCAGCAGGGAATGAGCCTCCTGCGTTTGGGAACCCAGTGTGGGTTGGGGCAGGTTTTTACTCAGGGAGCCTCCTGCCTGATTCCTTTGCAGATTTTCTCTGGTGTATTAAATGAAGAAGGGAGGCCTTGCTCTTATCAAGTTATAGCAAATTACTGTTATTTATCATCTTATAACAATTAGGTATTGCATAATTTTTTTCTTTTTCTTAGATGATTTATGTTTCTGTCCTCTGTGGCTCTCTCAATTATTTATCACTGCTTGTTTTAGCAGGCAAGGTCCCTGTGAAAACACAAGGCACTGGCTTAATTTCTCCTTCCAGCCAATCCTCCTCCCCCTCAGCTTCAGGATAATGGAAATCCGTGGAGCTTTTCCATTTCCTGTTATCTGCAGTGTTTGTACAGCCACTTCCCTATGCCTGCCACAGCCAAAATTTCATTAGTGAAACTGGGATGAGACTCAGCTCCAGTTTTGCCTCAAGGCTGTTTACAACTTCTTGTTTACCAGCTTTTGACAAAAACTATTCCAAAGATCATTACTGAAGATATTAGAAGCTGCTGCCTCACAGCACAGTGTCAGAAACAGAGAGAAAACACAAAATATGTATCCAGAATAACCATTATTCCTCCTGCTTTTAGTGTGATAAGGGACAGCTCTGTCATGGCATGACCAAGAACTTCTGCCTCAGATCATCAGAGTCCCCTTGAAAAGCCAAACTCCAGCAGGTAAGGAAGGAAAGGCACCTCTGGGGACAGCAAAGGGACAGCTGAGTGTGGGGACTGGGAGTGTGGTGGCAGCCAAAAGCCACCTTCCTCCAACCTCAGTGTCTCCCTAAAGCAAATCCTCTGGGAAGTAAAAGGTTATGGAAGAAAATTAGTGGGTAATAATAATAATAGTAGTAATGTGGGGAAGAGCAGCAAAGGGAGCAACAGTAAGTCTAAGGGAGCAGGATGAATATTGTTTTTTAATGGGGTGAGACGGTGTCTGCTGGGATTTATAAAGCCCAGTGCCAGGTCTGGGATTAAAGGAACAGAGTGAACTCATTTTGTCAAATATCTGTGTTTGCATTCTGCCGGCGTTCCCCATCTTGAGCCCAGGTTGGGGTGCAAGTGCACCAGTGCTGCTTCCTTGAGGGCTCAGGAAAACAAGGAAGCAGCTGAAAACAAGTCAGCACAAGGCTGACTCTGAGCTCTGGCTGGGGAAAGAATTTGGTACATCAGACATCTCAATAAGATCACTTCCAATGATTTTGAAAGCATATTGAGTGAAACCTAATCAAGATAAATAAGCCTTTCTCTCTAAGGACAGCCCCACAGAATGTACAACTATTCCTACACTTGTTGAAACCTACAAGCAGCTGGTTTTTGGTGAGGGATTCCAGATTTTTGTCTCCTACCTGGCTGTGCAAGCATTTAATAAGTATGTAAAATACAGACTCATTAAAACACTTCACTGCTGCTGATTTTGAAAAGGCACAAGATACCAGAACATGATGGGGTTTTCACTGCTCTGTTTCTTCCAAACATGAGCCACAGCAAAATAAATACTTTTTTTTTACTGCACTTGCCTCCTGAAAATAAAGCACTTGCAGAGGCTTTGCTGAGCTTTTGTATGAGCTCATCAGGATTCAGATAACTTGTGCCTAAATGTAAATTCCTTTTCTATTAAGGAATTTGAACCATCTTAAAAGCATCTACACTCATACTTTAATTTCATGCCTGCTGCTACCAATTAATTTTGCCCCCTGCTTCTTCAGGCATCCTCATTTAGGAGACAAAACATATGTGGAAAAAAGTTCAGAATGCTTCCTCCAAGTCAAGTTACCTGCCTGGAAATGACCCCAGCTCTCTTGTAGCTCAGCATGTTTCAGACATAGTGTGGTCCTCCTTCATTACAGACTTGGAGTTACACTTATTTCAGCACACAGTGCAGCCAAAGCAGATAACAATGCTATAATAATAATGATAATAATATAATCACATTGCTTCAGATCAGTTGCAAGCAGACTAAAATGACTTCTTTACAAATATCTTTTAGGGCCCATTAGAAGACAAGGAGGAGAATGGACTCGAACTCTTCATTGATTTGGCCTCACTTGGATTTGCTGAATTACAATGGGACATACAAGTACCTTTCCTTGGAAGCAAATGTCTCCTATGTGGACTTCTACCTCCACCAGCCTTGGGTGGCTGCTGTCTTCATCACCTCCTACCTCCTCATCTTCCTCCTCTGCATGGTGGGCAACGGGGGGGTTTGTTGCATCGTCCTGTGGAACAAGCGCATGCGCACGGTCACCAACCTGTTCATCCTGAACCTGGCCGTCAGTGACTTGCTGGTGGGGCTCTTCTGCATGCCCACCACCCTCCTGGACAACATCATTGCAGGTGGGCTGGGCGTCCCTGGGGCAGGGAGAGTCAGGGGCACATGTCCAGGGGGCTCTGTGGGTGTTCTGAGTCACTGCCACCAGTGGAAGGTGTTCCTGACCGTGGTGGAGCTCCATGGTCTTTAGGAGTTCCCTTCCAATCCACACCACTCCGTGAGTTTATAATTCTACTCAGGAAATGGAAGATGACAGCAAATGACTTTAAGCAGAGTCCTGCAGTGAGATGGCAGCAATTCCAAAATGCCTGTTTCCTTGCAGGATGGCCCTTTGGGAGCCTGGTGTGCAAGATGAGCGGGATGGTCCAAGGCATCTCTGTTTCTGCCTCTGTCTTCACTCTGGTTGCTATTGCTGTGGACAGGTAAGATGCTGCAGAGTCTGTAACCATCAGTGTCATCTCCCCTGGCCCCCTGAGCACCCTGAGCTCATTCATTAACCCTCCCAACACCACAATAAATAAGATGCATTTTGCTCCTAAGCAAAATAAAATATGGGCAGGTCTAAAGAGCAATCTGCTCCTCCACCAGTGTCTCCTAAAGATGGTGGAACTGGGCTATCCTTGCCAGCCTGGAATTGGTTTGTTCCTCAGCCATGAAGCTGGATAGCAGACGTGTTAATACCTGCCTTGGTTAAGTGGAGAAGCACAGGCAGCAACTGCTAGGGAGGATGAAAAATAGTCAGCTTAAAATGTGTGTGCATCCTTGCCTGGGTAAGGAAGCGTTCCTTAAGCGGCTTTTCCGCTGCCCTTGCCACAGGTTCCGGTGCATTGTGCATCCGTTCAAGCAGAAGCTGACCATTCCCGCTGCCGTGGCCACCATCGCGGTCATCTGGGTGCTGGCCGTGGCCATCATGTGTCCCTCGGCAGTGCTGCTGCAGGTGCAGGAGGAGAAGCGTTTCCAGGTGCTCCTGGGCTCTGGCAACGCCACCCGCCCGGTGTTCTGGTGCCGGGAGGAGTGGCCAGACCCGGCAATGAGGAAGATCTACACAACAATTCTCTTTGCCAACATCTACCTGGCTCCCCTGTTGCTCATCGTGCTCATGTATGCCAGGATAAGCGTCTCCATCTCCCACGCCGCCGTGCCTGGAGCGGGAAAGCGCAGCGTGTGGAAGAGGAAACGGAAAGCCATCCAAATGCTCGTCCTTGTCACTTTGCTTTTCGCCCTCTCCTGGCTTCCCCTCTGGACGCTGATGCTGCTGTCGGACTACGCCAGCCTGTCCGACCTCCAGCTGCAGCTGATCAACATCTACCTCTATCCCTTGGCTCACTGGCTGGCCTTCTTCAACAGCAGCATCAACCCCATCATCTACGGCTTCTGCAACGAGAACTTCCGCCGTGGCTTCCAGGCCATCCTCAAGATCCAGCTGTGCTCCAGGGTGGCCTGTTCCCAGCCAGCGCCTGGCACTGCCGTCCTGCCAGCTGCCCGCTGCCAGCCGGCTCCCCAGGCAGCCGAGGAAAGGAATTGGGTGAATAAGCAGCAGGATTTGCTCATGGAGGAGCTCAAGGAGCCCTGTGACAACGGGATGGAGTGAAACGCGCTGTGACTCTGTAAATCTCTCAGAGCAGCTGAAACAAGGCTGCTCAAACCCTATTTATGGTCACATTTCAGTCTGTGAGGAATCCCTTATCCTGTAACTCTCATGGACTGAAATACTGCAGACACGGTCTGGAAGCCAGTGGTCCCTGGATTTTCTTGTGATCGTGCTTCTTCCCTTGTGAGCACCAGCTGGGTCCTGCTCAAATGACAAAATTTAGCGTTTTCCATCACATTCCCCTTTGTTGCTGTTATTTCTGTCACATCCATTATTGTTGCAGCTAGAGAATGGAAACAGAAATTTGAGAAATAAAGGATAAAATATGGGTTTGGTGGTGTGTTTTTTTTGGGGAACTCAGTTTGATGTTGTGGGGGATAGCAGCCACCCAAAAAGATGGAGATGTCACTCTGAGCAGAAGGGAAAACACTTGAGAGCCCATTGGATCGGACAAACCTCAGCAGGGACAAGAGTGACACAGGAGGAATGGTGAGGAATGGGATTTGTGCAAGGACCAGCACAGGATCACAGGGCACACAGGGCTTACTCTGCAAGGGTCTACAGGAGCCAAATGGCAGGTAAAGCCATTCCCAGGGCAGTCCTCCCTCAGGTAAATGGGAGTAGTGACTTCCATAATATGACATTCCCTGCTGTTCCCTGTCTCAAAATGATCATTCTCTTCCCTACTAAGTTTTACCTTCAAAGCTTTACCTACATCTGCACTGCTCAGTTTACCTCAAAATTTTCATTTTCCACACTATAGATTACTTCAGATTCGCTCAACATTTATTTTTCCCCTGTCTGTCTACTGCTTGTTAACTCATTTTCATCCCAGAATGCCCATTTGCCCTAGGGAACAACTCCGACTTTATGCCCAGGAGAAACATTTCTCCCACAAGCCAACACCTCCACTCACCCCACACCCGATTTAGGGAACTCAGTCGGTGTTTTTATCTGCCAGAAAAGACAGGAAAAGGGTTTTTTTCTGGGCTTTGGGACACGGTCCCCGCTCCCCCTCACACGATCCCGGCGTTCGGCCGCGGCAGGGGGCGGGGCGCGAGAGAGGCTCGCTTCCCGCTGTCCAATCAGCGCTGCGATCGCCTCACGGCGCCAGCCAATCCCGAGCCGGCCAAAGGTATATAAAAACCGGTGCCGGAGGCGGCCTTTTAAATGTTCTGGTTTGGGGCTGCTGTTGTCTGCTTCAGTGAGGTAAAAATACAGTTTAATGTATCTATTTGTGATGTTTGGAAATTGGAGTGATGTTTCAGTGTGTGATGCGCTGCGGGGCAAGTACTCAGTGACCTCCAGCTAAAGCCATGGCATGGATGAGAACCTGTTGATTTCTGAGTTTGCCTTGGCATCCCAGAGCCTCTCCCCGTGCAGTTTATGAGGGGAATATTTTCTAAATCGGTTGTTTACTGATCTTTTTCGTGTTGAATTAATGCATTTTGCTGATTTCATGTCGTTTAAGCTTTAGGCGGCGTTTCCGGTGGGGCTGGTGTAGTGCTGAGGGTTGCTGATGATGCTGGGAGAGGCAATTGCCCTGCAAAGCTTCCCTATAAAACATAACTATATGAAATAATGGAGTTTCAATGATAAGAACAGGACTTAGGCTCTCAGTTGAGAACTGGGGTGTATTGGGCAGGGACTGAGAAGCATGCAGGTTTTTTTCTGTATGGATTTCTCCAGCCATTGATTTCTGTCTGTTTGCAGCAGTAACTTCATCAACTGGAGCTGCATCATGGATGATATCCAAGCTCTTCTTTAAGACTGAGAGCACAACAAGGAGCAGAACCTAGGTTCAAGTGCGTTGGAACCATGCCAGGAACACATAAATCTCTCAGAAACCACCATAAAATAATGCATTATAGATGCCTTTATTTCAATCAAGTGCCTGCCACTATACTGGGTGGACATGAAGCTGTACGTACTGAGGTAACACACAGGTGATGCACTGGCACTCCTGGGTTAATGTGAATTGTTATTGCCAGGTGTTTTCCATTAGGTTCACTTGCATTGGAGCTGTGCTGAAACGCTGGAGCCCTGAAGCACAAGAAACTGTGCTGTCCATAGTGAATGTTGTCTAGTGAGTGTCCAGACGTCCCTGAGCTAACGCTGTGCTGTCACTAAGTCAGCTTATTCTCATTTAAACTCTCTTGGAAAGTGCTGGAAGTACGCATGGGAGTAGAGAACACATAGAAAGCTTTAGGGATGTGCAGCTTCTGAACTACACAGACCTTTTGGGTTTCCACAGCCCCTCCTGCTGTGTCTTTTCCTCTCTGGCAAGAGGAAAACCCACTTGGCTTTCCCACACAGGGCTGCCTGAGCCTGTGAACTGCAATTCCCAGGGCATCCTTGGGCTCCTGGCTGTCCTGGGATGAGTGGCAGCTTCAGGCAAGCCCTGCCTTAGCCTGGGATTTTTGTAAACACTTAACATTTAAGAAATCACTCTGGCCCACAAGTTCTAAGGATGGCAGATCATCTCTGTTCACAAAATGAATTATTTATTAAGCAGACAGGAGATAACAGGCAAAATTTGTCAAATGAGCCATTTTACTTTTGTTGTTACCAGTCTGTGTAGATCAGGATGTTCCCCACTCCCTGAGTCTCAAAATCATAGGAAAGATGAGAGGAAAATCAGGATCAAAGGAAAGTTCTCCAAGTTAATTTTTCAGCTGCAGTGACTGGAAAAGTACAACAGATGGGCCAGGGACTCCCTTCACTTCCATTCAAGCTTCTTAGTGCAGGCAAATCCAGGTTTCATTCAGGGAGAAATCCGCGGAGATAAGCAGGGTGAAGACACGAGCATTCCGAGGCAGCGCTGTCAGACACCCCTTTTGGAAAACACACAAATAGCGATCAGCAGCTCGGCCTCTGGCCCTTGGCTGCGAGCCGCGCTCGCTGCCGCCACACGGGGGCAATCGGGGATGCGCTCTGGGAAACCTCGCTCATTTCAGAGCCCCAAAACCATTTCTCTGCCAACCGGACCAGTTCTGGTGTTTCTGGCGTAGACAGGCGCTGACAGGTCTGGGTGGTTTTGTTCCACTCTCAGCTGGCGCTGGGGACACCGTGTGAGAACGCCTTGACAATGTCAATGCTGCTGAATGCCCAAATTCACAGTTTAGCTCCCCTGAGGCTGTGCTGGGTGTGGGTTTGGGTCATGCCTGGCCGCAGGACCCTGTGGCAGTGGGAAAGTCACCAGGTTTGGCTGCTGTGGTGTTCCAGCCCTGTCGTTTTTTGTCACTGCTTGTTTCTGCAGAGAGGAAAAGCATCCCTGCTTGGCCAGCATTTCCCTGCAAGCAGCAGAGCCCAGGCCTGAGGCTGCTCGGCGTTGGTGTGACCCGCTGCTGGTGTCACCCGCCCTGGGCACAGTCACCACAGCTGCCCAGAGCCAGGAGATGCAGCTGAGGGATCCAGGAGGATGCAACTCATGTTTTCAAGGAGGTAAGAGTGCAGGATGTGGAAGGGGTGTTTTCCAGGCAGGGAAAGAGAGGTGTCAGGGAGAATTTTAGCTGGCAGCAACTGTCAGTGATAGATGGACTGCAAGGACATGGCTTGGTTCAGTGCTTCCCACAGCTTGCACAGGAGGTGGAATTCCAGTGGGACCTCACAGATGGCTTGTGGTGTTCCCCAAAGGAGCATTTCTGCCTGCAGTGACAGTTCTGTCCCTTATGAGCCGGTGTGAGGAGCACAGGGTTTGCAGCACCAGGTCTGGAATGATGTTCCTATGGCACAGACATTCTTCCCTGGCAGGTTATCATGTCTGAGGCACTGGCTGACAGCAGCAAAGCGCTGACAAGGGTCCCCGTTGTGCAGGGAACAAAATCCTTACCTGGAAATGCAGCGTGGGGATGTTGTGGCTGCAGAAAGAGCTCTGTGGCCATTTCCATGCCCTGAGCTGACATGGCACCACAGGCCCCGGGGCTCAAGCAGATCCATTGCTGGTTCTGAAGGGGCAGTGAGCTGGTACAATGGGCACTAAGCAGAGGAAGCTGGATGGGAAGATTTGGGTCCATCTGGAAAGTTCCTCGAGCCCCAAGGATCATGGCAAGTGTAGCACTAACAACTCCAAATTAGGAATAATCAAAAGATGAACCGGTTTCAAAATGATTTTTCAGGATAAGGTAAGATTGAAATGAGCTTGGCAAGAAAGCCCCTGTGAAACAAAGCACAATGAAAATATCTGTGAGCAGAAACAATATGGAATTCTTGCTGCTCCTGCTGTCATGGTCTTTTCAGGTAGGTTTTGTATGGAATTGAAAGGAAGTTTTCGTGCCTCTGGTGAGCTGCAGCCACATCCCCCTTGAAGAAGAAAATGTGGAGGGAGTGGCAAGCAGGAAGGTGGCTTTTAGACCACCACACCAATTGCTGCAAAAGAAAGAAAAGGAAGCCAGTAGCCTGGAATTGGATACCCCTGCCCCCCCCTGCCAAGCACAGAGGCTGCTGCTTGGTGTTTTTTCTCCACATTGTTTTTCCTGTTCTCTCAATTCAGGGCTCATTCCTCAGTGTTCCATCCAATAAAAAACCTGGAGAAGGGCACTTATATATTTAATATGGCTGACACCATATAAATTAAAAGCTCTATAACAAGCAATGAAACAAATATGTGAAAGCCAGGAGCTTTTGACTTGCACAGGACTTAGTTTTCCTTTTCTTCTCTCTTTCAGGACAGGAAAAATCACTTAATTCGACCCAGCTATGCCAAAACCTTTGGTTTTAGGTGGGATTGAGCAGCCAAACCCCAGAGCCTCCAGCCCTGATAGCCTGCACTGGAGGACACCTGGTCCTGCACACACAGTGGGGTAAGTCAGAGGGAGACATTTCTCTTTTCCTGTCTGTTCGGATTAGCTCACTGGGAAATGTCAGCACAGCTCTGCTGTTTACTGGGATCTGGTTGAAACTCCATTTCCTCTATGTTCAGGGATGTGCTGACCAAGGGGTTGTATGGACTTGGGGACTCCAAGGAGGCCAGGTTGTTTTTTTTTTTTTTTTCCCCACTGAATCAGGTCTTCAATGATCAGTCTGTGTTGTTCTACATGCTTTGCTTATGGGTCAGAGAAAGAATTGAAATTACATTTTATTATCTTATATTTTCCCAAACATAAAATAGGATGTTGTCCTGCCACTCCCCAAGCCACTCCAGGCACTTGGGAGTAGCTCAGAGCTGGCAGGGTTGCAAGGGAATTTAAGGCAAATTGAGGGAGTCAGTAGGGAACAGACAGGGAAAATTCTGGGGGTGAAAGTTAAAATAACCTTTAGGGCAGAGAATGAACATTTTTGAGGTAAACATGAAGTAATCACTAGTGGACAGATAGGGAAAATATTGTGAGTGAAGCTTTAGTTAATATGTAGGGGGAAGAATGAACATTTTGAGGGAAAGTGGGGTAACCCATAGTGAAGCAGTAGTATTTTCCGTAAGTAGGGAAAATTTTCAGAGCAAACTTGAGGTAGTCCCCTGGGCAGAGGATGGATAATTTGAAGTAAACTGAGACAATCAGGAGTGCACAGGTAGGAAAACTTCTGTCAGTAAAATCTGAGGTAACATCTAGGGGAGAGCATGAACATTTTGAGGTCAGCTCAGGTAATCAATAGCATCCAGGTAGGGGAATTTTTGGGTTTGCTCCCAAGTAAGGTACAGTGAATACTTCAGAGGTTAAACCCTAGGTAAAATCTCTGTTTACAGGTATTTCCTGATATCATTTCACCTGCCTGAATTCCTTGCAGCTCCAAGCTGGGAAAACCTGGCATAGCTTAGAGGGGACAGAGGTGACACTTTTGGCTGACAACTTGTGCAATTTATAGGGGACCCAACATGTGTTTGTGTAGGAAAATGTGAGGGAATGTGGAGGGGAGTGAGGTGGCATTTTCAAGGAATAGCTTTGGGGAGAGAATGCACATTTTGGGGTAAAAATGAAGAAATCAATAATGTGCAGAGAAGAAAATTTGGGAGGTAAAGCATTGGGTAATCTTGAGGATAGAGAATGATCAATGTATTGTAAAAATTTAGGTAATGAGTAATGAAGGGAAATTTATGGGGGAAAAGCTTGAGGTACTTTCTGGGGGAGAGAATGAATATTTTGAGGGCAAGATGATGTAATCAGAAGCGGCATGCAGGGAATAATTTGGGAGTAACTTGAGGTATTCTGTATTGGTAGAAAATGGAGATTTTGAGGGGAAAATGAGCTGATCAGAAGTGGACAGAGAGGGAATATTCTGGGGGCAAAACCTGGGGTAATCTCTAGGGGAGAGAATTAAAATCTTGAGGTAAACTGAGGTAATAAGTAGTGCAAAGGCACAGATATACTGGGGGCTAAAACTTGAGATAATCTCCAGGGTAGAGACGAAATATTTTGAGGTAAAACTGAGGTAAATCAGTACTGGCCAGGTAGGGAAAATCTTGGTGAAATTTGTGATAACCTCTAGCAGAGTAAATGAAAATTTTGAGTTAAGAGTTAGGTAATCAGTAGCACACATTAGGGAAATATTTGTGGCTAAAAACTGAGATAAGCTCCAAGGTAGAGAATGAACATTGTGAGGTAAACAGATGGAGGAACCAGTGGATAGGCACACAAAATTTTAGGGGTAAAATTGAGGTAATGGGTAGAGGAGAGAAAACAACATTTTGAGGTAAAAGTGAGGTTAGAAGTACTGGACAGGTAGGGAAAATTTCAGGGGAAAACCCTGAGGTAGTCTCTAGTGGATAGAATGAATATTTGGGATTGGATAGAGATAATTGGTGGTGGTGGGGGGGGGGGTGTTTGTGAGAAAATAGAAGTAATCTATAGGGACAAAATGAATGTTTTGGAGTTCAAATGTGAGTTAACCTGTAGAGGAGAGACTGAAAATCCTGAGGTAAAAATTATGTGGTCATTAGCAGATAGGCATGGAAAATTTTGGGATTAAAACTTGCGGTTGGGTAAGGGAGAGAATGAGCATTGTGAGGTAAAATGAGGTCATTAATAGTAACAGGTAGGGAAAATCTTGGGTGCTGGGTCTGTAAAGAAAGAAAATTTTGAGGCAAACAGAGGTAATCAGTAGTGTATTGGTAAAGTGAAGTTTTGGCTTTAAAATCTGAGATAATCTGTAAGGAACAAAGAATATTTGAGTGAATAACCTGAAGTAACCTGTAAGGGACAGAATTAATATTTTAGGGATTAGTTAAAGGTAAATAGTGGAGGGTTTTGGTGGTAAAATCCAAGTCATCCATAAGGGACAAGAATAACATTTTGAGAGTAAAACTTGAGGTAATTTGTAATGGACTGAATGAACATTTTGAGGTAAAAAAGAGGTTGTCAGCAGTGAACGTGTCAGGAGAATTTTGGGGTAAAACTTGAGCTGCTCTGTGAAGTACAACGAGTATTTTGGGGGAAAAATATCAGGCCATCTGTAGGGGCCAGTCCTGGCATTAATGAGGTTCCTGGGAATCCATGACATTTCTCCATAGAATTTTAAACAGGTTTTGAAGTTTTTTATGACAACAATGGATTTCTTCCTTTGGATTATTCACTCTGTAGGATCTGGGGTTTATTGGGGTTTTAACTCCCTCGTGGTAGGATTTGGGGTTTATTGGGGTTTTAACTCCCTCGTGGTGGCCCTGATACTGCTCAGGAATCATAGGAAAAGCAGTCAGAGCTCCTGGCAGGTGCAGGTGTTTTCCCCAAGACCGGACAGCCGGGATCCGCTTTGGGTCCTTATGGAACCTGCTGGAAGTACAGAAGCATAACCCCAAACCTCCACACTGGGGGTGGAGTCGTGGAATCTACACCAGCACAAATGGATGCTCCAAAATGAACCATGAGAGGACAGGACCAAATAAGGGTCACTGACACTATGGTAAGGCAAAAGGAATTGTAGCTATAGCCCAGAATTCCATGCTGAGGCTGGAATATCCTCACAGCGCCTCATGGAGCATGGGTATTCCCATGCAGAGCTGCTGCTTTTGCACCAGGTTTGTCAGGAGCCAGCAAGGGTTCTGAGGAAGCTCAGCAGGATCAGGACAATTACAAGTCTATATTCCATAGAATTGGGTATTTATAACCTTATTGACAGTATTTTGTGTACTAAATATTTACACTGAGGGCAGGTGACTCTTCCTTTTGCCAAGATCAGATCAGGAGATGGAATTAGATGCTGTGTCATATGGATATTGAAGCTGCCCAATTGCTGTGGAGAAATTATTGCTCTTATTTTTAAAGAAAAGGTTTTTTATCACAGGTCTCTCTCTTATTTCTCAGTGGTCATCGAAGTTTCATGTGCAATTGCTGCTCCCCTGAAAGAAGTGCTCCCCAGGATGGAGCCACTGAATGCTGTGAGGGGATGGTGGCCCCCAAGATGCAATTCTGGCAACATCCTGGTGGCCCTGTGGGGTCCCTCGGGGGAAACAAAGGTGGCACTGGCCATCAGCAGAGGTTTCACATGTGACAATAAAACACACCTTGGACATCCCGAGGCTGTCCCTGCTTTGATTCATATGGCAGCATCTGGATCTGGCATTTTTAAGTTTCCACTTTTTCAGCCATTTCCATCCCAGGCAGGAGCTTCCCCGACTGGAAATAAAGATTAAGTATTGTAATGGGAATTTTAAAAACAGAAGCTTTGCCAATGGAGAGTGTGATGTGCAGAGACATTGAGGGAGAGGAAGGAGAGCAGCAGATTTCACCTGGCAGCTGTCAGATGGGCTGCGCCTTATGGTGGCAGGGAGAAAGTCACTGTTCGAAACTCCCTAAGTTCCAAAGGCACGAAGGGCAGGAAACGCTGAAGGCGGAGCGGGGATCAGCCCTGCCTGGACCCACGGCACGGCCAGTGCCACCTCCGGGGCCAGGGGTGCTCGTGGGGCCACCCGAGGGCGGGCCCATGGCGCGACAGACAGGCGGCCGCTCTGGGCTCCGGAACGTCGGGGGCACCCGGGAAACGCCGCTGCCGCCGTTCTCCCGGGCCCCGGCACGGCCCCGGCTCGCCGCAAGCGGAGCGGGACCGTGGCCGGATCTCCGGCGGAGGCCCGAGCCCGCACGGCGTCACACCGGGGAACCGCAGCGATCCCGCACGCGGCAGCACTGCCCGCGGCCATCCCGATTCGGTCCTGGTGCCGGTGCCGCCTCCATCCTCCCGACGGGGAAGAGGCGGCACCGCCCGGGAGCCCCCGGCAGACCCGCTCGGCCCCGCACCCCCGGCCTCGGTCACGGCTCCGCCGCAGCGCTCCGGGCTACGAGCGGTCCCCGCCGGGAGCAGCCCCCGGGCCGGGGCTCGCACAGCGCCGAGCGGGGCTCCGGGACAGCGGCACGGGGGGCGGGGCCGGCACAGCTGTGAGGTGCGGGGCCGCGACCGGGGCCGAGCACTGCTGGGGTCTGCCGGGGGGTCCCGGGCGGTGCCGCCTCTCCCCCGTCGGGCCCGGGATCGGTTCCGGCCCGGGATGGCCGCGGGCGGCGCTGCCGGGGCGGGATCGCGGCGGTTCCCGGGGCGGACCCGGAGCCGCCGTGAGGGCCCGGGACCCGCAGGGCGCCCCCTGGCGGACACGGAGCGCGGTGCGCGCGCGGCGCCCCCGCGTGGCCGCGGGACAGCGGTGCGGGGGCGGGGCCAGGGAGGGGCGGGGCGGGCACAGGTGTGAGGGGCGGGGCCACAGCGCGCGTGCGCAGCTCGGGGCTGCACAGGTGGGAGGGGCGGGGCGGGCACAGGTGCGCGGGGCTCCAGAGCGCCTGCGCGGGGCGGGGCCGAGGGCATTTAAACCCCGGAAACCGCCGCGGGCGCCATTTGCTCGGCAGCGCTTGGAGGTGCCGGGTGTGGCCGGTGCGGGCTCCCCAGGCGGGGCTCGGGTGAGGTCTTTCTTGCTCCTTCTGTCTGCTTCTTCTGCTTTTCTCCCCTTCCACCTTTCCTGCTGTACCGCCCTCTCCCATCTCCGCCCCAAACTGCCCGCTCCCTCTCTCCCCTCCCCTCCCTACCCGCACCCCGACAATTCCCTGCCCCTCCCACCTGCTCCCTTCTTACCCACTACCCAGCCTGACCCCTGCCGCTATTCCTGCTCTGTCCATTCTTCCTGCTCCATCCTCACCCACTACCCAGCCTGACCCCCATCTCTTTTCCTGCTCTGTTCCTCCTGCCTGCCCCCTCCTCACCCCGGTATCCAACCTGGCTCTCCCCGCTGTTCCCCTTCTATCTCCCTACCCTCCCCTGCTCCCCCTATCTCCCCTAAGCACCTCCATATCGCCCCTCTGTGCCCCTTATCCCCTCTTTGGCCCCTTTATCCTCCCTCTGTCCCCCTTATGTCCGCTCTGTGTCCCCCGTTCCCTTCCCTGTGTCCCGCAGCCGCGGGGTTCGGGGCGCCGCACAATAAAGCCCCGAGGGCCGGAGCCGGCGCCCCTGGTTTGGTTAAAAAGGGTCGGGACCCGCTGTGGGTCCCCCCTTGCAGATGCCAACACTGCCCCACACTGCCGCGTTCGGCTGTCCCTGCATCACACTGGGGTCAGGGCGGGCCCCTCCTCAGGAGGGGTCCTGGGCTGGGCTGGGTTAGCGAGGGGGGGAGTGGGGGTTAGGGGGGGCCCCTCATTAGGAGGGGTCCCGGGGGGGTTGGGGACGGGGAGGGAGGGCGGGGGGCGGAGGGAGGGCGGGGGGCGGGGGGGCCCCCTCCGGAGGAGGGGGTCCCGGGGGGGGTTGGGGCGGGCCCCCTCCGGAGGGGGGGGCCCGGGGGGGGGGGGGCTGGGGGGGGTTAGCCCCCCTTAGCCCCTCCCACCCCGGACCCTCCCCTCCGGACGGGGCCTGGCCCGGCCCCTCCTCGGGACCCCCTCCTCCGGACAGGGGCCCCGCGGGGGGGGGGGGGGGGGGGGGGGGGGGGTAGCAGGAGGGGTCACGTCACTCTGAACCGCGATTGTAAATTTGTGCGCAACAACAGCATCTCCCCCCTTCCTGACCCCCCCCCCCCCCCCCGGGGCCCCTGTCCGGAGGAGGGGGTCCCGAGGAGGGGCCGGGCCGGACCCCGTCCGGAGGGGAGGGTCCGGGGTGGGAGGGGCTAAGGGGGGGCTAACCCCCCCAGCCCCTCCCACCCCGGACCCCCCCCTCCGGAGGGGGCCCGCCCCAACCCCCCCCCGGGACCCCCTCCTCCGGAGGGGGCCCCCCCGCCCCCCGCCCTCCCTCCCCGTCCCCGCCCCCCCACCTCCCCAACCCCCCCGGACCCCTCCTAATGAGGGGCCCCCCGTAACCCCCACTCCCCCCCTCGCTAACCCAGCCCAGCCCAGGACCCCTCCTGAGGAGGGGCCCGCCCTGACCCCAGTGTGATGCAGGGACAGCCGAACCCGGCAGTGTGGGGCAGTGTTGGCATCTGCAAGGGGGGACCCACAGCGGGTCCCGACCCTTTTCAACCAAACCAGGGGCGCCGGCTCCGGCCCTCGGGGCTTTATTGTGCGGCGCCCCGAACCCCGCGGCTGCGGGACACAGAGGGGGGACAAGGAGAGACGGGGGGATAAGGGAGAGAGAGAGGAGGATAAAGGAGAGATGGGGGATAAGGGAGAGAGAAGCCAGAAAACGGAGAGATAGCGGGAATAAGGGGGGATAAGGGGGACAGGGAGGTGAAGAGGGGGCACAGGGAAGCAGGAGGGGAGGGTAAGGGGAGGCAGGGTCGGGATGGACAGGGAGGATTGAGGGAGAACGAGAAGGAAGAACAGAGGCAGGAGTCAGGGCTGGTAGGGGAGCAGTGGGGTACCGGGGGAGAGAGATGTGGGGAGGAGAGCTGGAGGGGGATTTGAGGGGGGTCGGGCTGGAGAACAGCGAGAGGAGGGGAGGGGAGAGGAGAGGAGCAGGGAGAGGAGGGAATGGAGATCTAGGGAGGAGAGGGGTAAGGGGTAGGAGGAGGAGAAAAGAGGGACAGAGAGACCCTCACCCGAGCCCCGCCTGGGGAGCCCGCACCGGCCACACCCGGCACCTCCAAGCGCTGCCGAGCAAATGGCGCCCGCGGCGGTTTCCGGGGTTTAAATGCCCTCGGCCCCGCCCCGCGCAGGCGCTCTGGAGCCCCGCGCACCTGTGCCCGCCCCGCCCCTCCCACCTGTGCAGCCCCGAGCTGCGCACGCGCGCTGTGGCCCCGCCCCTCACACCTGTGCCCGCCCCGCCCCTCCCTGGCCCCGCCCCCGCACCGCTGTCCCGCGGCCACGCGGGGGCGCCGCGCGCGCACCGCGCTCCGTGTCCGCCAGGCGGCGCCCTGCGGGTCCCGGGCCCTCACGGCGGCTCCGGGTCCGCCCCGGGAACCGCCGCGATCCCGCCCCGGCAGCGCCGCCCGCGGCCATCCCGGGCCGGAACCGATCCCGGGCCCGGCGGGGGAGAGGCGGCACCGCCCGGGACCCCCCGGCAGACCCCAGCAGTGCTCGGCCCCCCCACCCTCGGCCCCGTCACAGCGCCCCGTGCGCGCCCTCCGTGGCCCCGCCCCCGTGCCGCTGTCCCGGAGCCCCGCTCGGCGCTGTGCGAGCCCCGGCCCGGGGGTGCTCCCGGCGGGGACCGCTCGGAGCCCGGAGCGCTGCGGCGGGGCCGTGACCGAGGCCGGGGGTGTGAGACCGAGTCCTGCCGGTGTCCGCTGGCGGAGCGGGGCTGCCTCTCCCCCGGCCGGCGGGTTGCGGGTCTCGGGGACGGCGGACCAGGGCCGGACTGGGGCTGAGACAGGGCTGAGGACTGGGCAAACCCAGCCTGGACTCGATGCCCGCTCCTGCTACGATGCCGGGACGAAGTCGGCCGAAAGCGAGTGATGGAGCCCACAGCCGGAGCCGGGATGGGGCTTTCGGGTCCTGCCAGGTTCTGCCGTAGCGGTGGCAGAGGAAGGGACAGCCCGGTCACCTCGGGTGAAGTTTTTATTTCAGCTCTCTTCCAGAGGACCAGAGGCTGGCTGAGAGCTCCCACACGCCAGGGGTCAGGGATTGTTTCCCCACACTGCTCAGCCCCCGGGGCGAGCCGGAGCAGCACCGAGAGAGGGCAGCAGTGCCACGCCGTGAAGTCGCTAAGAGAGGAGCAGCGGGAATTGATAGCGCCTCTCCTCGCCAGACTAAAAAAAAAAAAAATAAAATACCCGCGTGGCTTTTCAGTTTGGGATTATCTTTATTTTACAGTTTATAAAAAGCTTTTCCCAACGCGAGTGCTCCGTTAAACTTCCGTGCCGTCGTGCAAATTGCTGTGGACTTTGACTTCCAAGTTCACCTGCTTCACCTTCCTGCCCTGCCCCTGGCAGACGCCGCCCAAGTCCCTCGGGGGATGAACGTTCCTGACGGTGCAACACCGGCTGCCCACGGCCTGCGGGGCGCCCCGGGGCAGCTCCACCTTGGTGTTCAAGGGATGCTCCTCGGGAGCGCCCCTGGCAGCCTCCCGCTTCCTCCGCAGCTTCCTGCACTCCCTGGCCAGGAGGCAAATCCCGCACAGCACCAGCAGCAGCAGCGTGAGGGCGGCGAAGGCGCTGCCCAGGGAAGCGCCCGCTTGGGACAGGGAGGCTGCGGTGGCAGCTTCCTCCTTCTCCAAGAGCAGCGATTTCATGTTGGTGCCGTTCTTGAGCTGGTCGCCCTCGTTGTCGTAGACGAGGGAGTCATCCAGCTCCGGCCTCCCGGCGCCCTCGGGCAGGTCCCTGCGGCCGCGCTGCCAGCGGCGAGCCAGGGAGCGCTGCACACGGGGCCCGGCCGTGCCCTCCGGGCCGATCACGTAGATCACCTGCAGGTACCACTGGTGTCCAGCTTCCACCTGGAGAGAGAAGGCACGGACAGGGGGAATCTTAGCGACGGCTTTTACATCAAGTGATTCTGTTAAGAGCGGGTGTGGCTTGTGGCTTGTGTCCTGTGTCTGACAGAGTTGTCTCTCAGTGGGTTTTTCTAAGCACCTGCAGTAACACTGACCGCCCAGCGAGCTGTCCAGCCTTTGCCAGAAGCAGTAATTTATTCAGAAACATGAATAATAATCTTTTAAAAAGTTAAAGAGCTTTTTCATGAGTGCTTCAGGGAAAAAAAATTAAATTACCAGAATAATATCCTAATCTCCATTTTCAGTCTCAGACTTGAATTCTGAAGGCCCAGAGCCTACAATTCACCAAGTGTTTGGGAGGTCCTGGACAGACAAGTCCGTGTTGAGCTACCAAAAGCACTGGGTACATACCTTGTAGAGAGCATCCACCTTGAGAGTAAATCCATCAACTCCAGGCATGCTGCTCACCGAGTGGAATTCAGACAGCTCAGAAGCAAAGTGGGCGTCAAAAGGCACATCGTGGAAATACTTATCCGTCACTTCCGGCTGGTTTCGGTCCTGGAAGGCAGAGAGGTGTCCCGAGGGATGCTGTCTGCATTCCCAAGAGAGGCTCGAAGCCAGGGCACAACAGTACAAAACATCTGGCGCGCTCCTTTCCTCACCCCTTTGCAGTCAGCATCTGCTGGGTGCCAGAGAGAAAATCCCGAAGGGGACGCAGGACAGAGGACTCACCAGCAGGAGGAATCGGTGTTTCAGGTACTTGTTGGGCTGGATGCAGCCGTACTGGGGCCCCTCGTTGTAGACGGTGCCCGTGGGGTCGAAGAAGGGCACGTAGCCATCCCTGCCTGTGCACAGGTAGACCTTCTCCAGCTGCAGCTTGTAAGCAGCGTTGAGGTTTTGTTCCGGGTGCCAGAGCACACGCCCGTACAGGATTTGCCCTGGGGAGGTCAGGACAGAGAGGTGCAGGTGAAATTCTCCAACAAATGTGCCAGACCACATGTGAGTCTGTGCTGAGAAGGGTTTGGAATGTTTGGGAAGGGCTTGGGGTGTGGGAGTGACAAAACAAGGTGCCAGAGCACGCTGTTGTTTTACTGGGCTGTAAAATGTTCAAAATGTCATTTGTGGCTGTGGAAGAGGCAAAGCCACATCTGGGTTTTCTCCTTTTCTCTCCAGGAAATGGAAGCTGTGAAGGGAAAAACACTGGGCACAAGCAGAAGAGAGGTAAATCCTACCTTTGGAAAAAGCCCCTTTGTAATCCATTTCTGCCAGAGACATTTCAGATTTGGTGGGGTCCATGAGAAAAACCTTCTCGTTGTTGCAGAGCTGAAACTCTGTGTTCAGGGAGTAAACAACTGGAACTGGGCGGTTTGTCTGCTGGAAGGCAATGGGGATCAAAAACCTGGAGTTGGGACAAGGAAGGAAAGAAAGGAGAGATGAGGTTTGTGCAGCCCAAAGCACTGGGCCTGCCCTGCTGCCATGGGGCTGCTCCTTACCGCTCAGGAGCGTGAGCCGTGCAGGGCAGGGGCTTGTCTCCAGGCTCTGCCCACGGCTGCGTGGGCTGCACCGTGCAGGGGATCAGGAAGATGGTGTATTCTCCAGAGTAATCCTTCCTGGGAACAGACAGGAGGAGACCCTGCGGTCACCAAGCAGAGTTCTGAGCTCTTCACCCAGGGCAGCACCTCTCCCTTGCCCCAGCAATATCATCCAGCTGTCCCTGAGGGACAAACGTGACCTTCTGAAATCCACTGTCACCTCTGGGGTCAGCCTAACCACAGGCTTCATTGCTGGAAGAATCCCTTTACAGGAGGCTGGGCTGATTTTTCTCTCAGCCCTGACAGCAACTCCCCACATGCTCCAGCTCTGGCCAAACTCCTGAGCATTCCACACTACTGCTGTGGCTGCTGGAGGAGTGCCAGGGAGAACGTGGTGCTGTGGGGAGCTGCTGAAGGGCACTGGACCCCCCAGCCCTCACCTGTTGTAGGAGCTGGTTGCTCTCCAGAGCTGGTAGGGGGAGTCAAAAGTCTGAGCACTCCACAGCAGCTGCAGGTCAAATTCGATCCCTCCCAGGTGCTCAGGAGTCATCAAGGAGGACCTGACATCTGGCAGGCTGTGGTGCTCCATGACAAACAGCCCTGGGGGAGGACAAGGACTTGTTCTGCTGCCTGTGACCCTGCTTTGTGTCCCTGCCAGGATCACTGCCCTCACCTCTGAACTTGGCCTGTGTCCTGAACTCGATGACCAGCCGGCCGTCGTCGCGGATGTAGATGCGGATTATCTGCAGCCGGGCCGAGAGCACGCTGTCCGTCTGGATCCCTGCAAGGACAGGGGGCACGCTCGCTCCTCAGCTGGGCTCTGCCCGCCCCAGAAACCTTTGGGACATCCCCCAAAGGCAGGGTTTCCTTGGGATCACCCTCCAGTGAGCCAGCTACACGCTTCCTCCGTTACCCACCGGCTGCCTAAGCCCCCGTAAGCATAAAGGAAGGAATATTCCGAGTCCCCCGCTCCCTCAGGACTCTGCTGGCAGTGCAGGAGCTAAGGGGAAAACATGAAGGAGCCACTTCTTCCATAGCCCTTGGAGTGCCTCAGGCTCACCTGTCCTCCAGAGAACGGTGTCGTAGAAGAAGGAGAACTCCATCTCCGTGTGGTGCTCCAGGGAAGCCCAGCCCCTCGGTGCCGTCACGTAGATGTAGGACACGTAGAGAGGGACGTGGACTGTCAGGAAGGACTGGGCAGAGTCCCTTACCTGGCAATAAAACCCCCCAAAAAAAAGAGGGTTACACACCTTCAAGTGAAGTCAGAGGTGACTCTGGGTATTCTTTACCTCAGACAAACCTGTGTTTTAATTTGGGGCACTGCTAAGGCTTGCTAGGACCATGGGACAAAGGAGCTCTGGGTGCAATTTCACCTCAAGACTCCCCTGTTTGCAAAGCTGTGAATTAAAAATGAACCATTCTGCTTGCTCAGGCCTCCCAGAGCTCTCCATTTATTATCTGCAGAGTGCAGCTGTGCTTTGCAGGCCCCGGAGAATTCAGGGAGATGTTCCAGCCTGGCTGCTGCCAGGCTCCACATGCTCCACGGGGCAGTTGTTCAGGCCAAGTAGCTTCTCTGAGCTTGTGCAAACAATTGGAGCTATAAAAGGAAACTTAATGAAGAAATCCAGGTTGGCAGGAATTAAAAGAGATGATGCTGGTCCTGGCAATGTGACTGGGAATTTAGTGCAAGAACCGAGGGGAGATGGAGCGGGCTGCACATGGATAATGCAGCCAGGAGAGGGCGGTGAGACACTTTAAATAGAGAAAGCTGCTCATTTAGAGAGGAGCATTTCTGGCTCTTGGTCTGCCAGCCTGTTAATTAGGAAATTAATTAGAATATCCCACGGCCTCACTCTGTTGTGGAGCATGGACTGAGCTGCCTCTGCTCTGTCCTTTGCTCATTTCTATTGGCTGAGAACACGGTCAAAATTATAAAAGAGAGCCCAGCTGAGAACGTTTTGTATTTCCAGTATGGCCACACATGAAAAAAACAAATATTTTCCTGGTGCTCTGAAGATGAAGAGAATAAAACCTGTGATACCCCCAGGAAAACAAATTAAATAAATGCACATAGCACTGTTCTCTTCCAGGTGACGGGGTGGGAGGGGGTGGGGAGAAGCCACACTCCATCTGCACAGAGCAGAGCAGCAACTACAGACAAGTGCAAGGCAGAGCTGTGCCTGAGAACTGAGAGGGATCTGGGATAGGTGGGAGAGCTCAGCACGGGCCTCTCACCTGGAAGTCAGCGGTGACAGAGCCTCCACAGACGTCAATTAATTCGGTCATGTCGTAAAAGGCGTCGAAGGTCCAGATGCAGCTCTTGAGGTTGAGGTGCTGGTACAGCTGGATGCTCTTGGTCTCCCTCACCGTGGGGTCCAGCTGGTAGGGGCGGTCGTAGCCCGGGCCCAGCACGGAGCTGTCCTGGGTCACCTCATCCAGGAACCCTGCCTCTGAGGGACAGAAACCAGGACACTGATCCCTCCCGATTCCTAACAGCCCCAGGCCAAGCGTCCAGGTCTTGCTTCTCTCTTGAATCACAGGAGAAAATGCTACAGGAATAGGGCATCCTAAAAATCAAACTTAGGGACCTACCAATTCAAAGCTGAAGTTAAACTTTAAGAAATGAGGAACCGGTTGAGTATGGAATTATCAGAATGAAGTACAAGATCCTGCCTGGATCTAGCATGGACTTCATTCCCTGGAGTATCAGAGACACAATCTGCCTGTTTCTTTTCAGCTCTGACAATTTCTTCCAGCAGTGAATTGATTTTTTTCCCTCATGGGAGACCTCAGTGACCCAGCCCTGCAGATCCCTCTCTACCTAGGTAGGTGTCACAAGAACGATTTGAAAAGCAGAAAATCACCAGCACAACGTGAGCCTAAACCTCAAACATTCCCATGCCTGGAATCCCACCTCCAATGGGGCAACTCTGGTCACTGCTGTTAGACCAGGAAGATTCATTGCTATTTACATCATGTCAAGAGAGCCCAGAGGAAGACAAAGCCTCCCTCTCCACATTTCTTTCCAGGCTCCCACATTCAGGAAGCAGAGGCTGGCCTAGAAGGTTACCTGAGATGCCTCTGAGGTCCCTGACAGTGACCAGGTTGGAGCAGACGTGCTGGTGCCTGTAGATGGACTCGGAGAGGAGGAAATGAAGGTTGTGCAGCGGCAGCGTGGAGATGAGGGGCAGCATCCCATCCTGGTGGGGGATCTGCACCGAGATGTGGATCCTGGAACAAGCAGCACATGAGATAGCAGAACAGAGCAGCCTGGCAGGCACAGGATCCCCACAGCAGCACAGCCTTAAGCTGTGCTTAAGCTGTCCCCAAAACTCCCCGTTGCAGAGGGGAAGGGCACCCCCTCAGCTGAGCAGAATGTGAGAAGAAAGTGGGGCAGGAACCTGAGCGGTCCATGCTGCAGGAGGGATGTGGTTTCACACACACATCATGCTCGTGAGCCCGGGCACCTCTGTAAGCCCAGGGGGGCTGGGGAAGGGCTGCACCCCCACTTCTCCAGCCTCACACCTGTTGGGATGCTCCTTGTGCTTCACATCCAGGTACTTGAGCGTGGCAATGAAGGACTGTGCCTGGAACCCTCGGGCCGTGCCTGCCACCACAGGCGTGTGACAGATGGCACTGTCTGTGCCGATGGTCACCACGTTGCTCCTCAGGGGGGTCCCCACGTGGCCGGCCTTGTCCACAGCCTTGGCCACGCAGCGCACGTGGAACCGCCGGCTGAAGTAGATGCTGTCCAGCACCTGAGGGAACGAGGAGGGGGAAACCACTGGTGCTTCCAGCAGGCTTAAGGGAAAACAGCACTCAGTTTTCTAAACCCAAACACCCACGCCTCGCAGCAAGTCCCAGATCCAAGGAGATCTGAGGCTGGGATCTCTGTGTACCTTGTGGTTGACGCTGGTGAAGGGGGTGTTGTCCGTGATGGTCTCGAAAGGCGACCGGGCTCCGTTCCCGTCCGTGGGGGCGGCCACTTCCCAGCTGAACTGTATGGAAGACTGGTTGATGCCGGCCTCGCCGCAGCGCTCCTTCATCAGGGCGTACTTGGGGAAGTGAGGGTCACAGGGGGTGACACAGATGAGGGGGTAGCCTGGGGAGGGGGATTTCTTAGCACCCTCCTTGGTCACTTCTTCCACGCGGTCATAGTCAGCCAGGGTGACGACCTGTGTGGAGGCAAGAGGGCAGCACTCAGCTGGGGTTGGGGGAGAGGATGGAAAAGGCCATCCTTCCCTCCCACGTGGTCACTGCAGCTCTACTTTTTATTTCCAAAACCCCTCTGCAGTTTCCAGGCTGTACTTGAAGTTTCCAGTCTGTACTAAATCACATCCGCTCACCACGGGAGGTGCTGGGAGAATCAGGCTCCCTGCTGCCTCCTGATCCAAAATAGTCACTGTGGCAGTGCTGATGTCTCCAAGAACTGCTTCCACCGGATCATCTGGGCCCAGCACCAGAGAAAAGGACTCGTGCCATTCCCGGTCTTCGTTGGACATGATCTCCACCTTGAACATGATGTGGGCCACACCTGTAGGAGCGAGTGCAAGAAAAACAGAGGGAAATCGATTCATCATCAGAGACTGCTCTGAAGTTCTCATCCAAACCCTGCACAGCTGCTCTAGGCTGTGACCATGGAGACATTATGATAAAATACACATTATAAATTTTATTTCCACTCATTGCTGCTAATAATTTACCCAGAGGAGTCTACTATAAACATAAAACTCCAGCTATGACAACTGATCCAATCGATCTGGTGATAGATTTATTAGCAGATGCTGTCTGAGGATTAAAAATGATGGTCTTGTATTAGCTGTCTGGAGGAAAAATCTGGGACGCAAAGCACATTCCCATCCCTCCTGTCCCCTAGACGAGTGTACAGAGCTGTTTGGTGAGGTCCAGCAACACGGTCTGAGGTGCTCACAGCCCTATACACCCTGGGGAGGACTTCACTCTGCCAGGCACCCGTGCTTCTTTCTCTGGTCCGATCACCCTTTGTTTAACACATCAGCTACAGGTACAGCCAACTTCTGGCGAAAAGTGGCTTTTCCCAAATCCCCTGGATGTTCTGGCCACAGCCCCACCTCTAACCCTGCCCAGGAGGCCCCTTTACCTGGGCTGAACTTGAGCATGCGGCTCTTGGGGTAGTAATCCAGGCCGGCCTGCGCGGAGCCGTCGCGGGTGCTGCAGCGCACCTTGGAGGTCCTGTTGCGGTCGCCGCGGCGCAGCACCGGGATGGCCAACACGGCCACCGCCTCGGGGCCCGCCGGCTCCCGCACCTGGTACGCCGCCTCCTCGAACTCGATGGTGGGAGCTGCAGGGACAGCAGTGAGGGAGGAGCCCCGGCTTTGCACCCCTGGCTGGTTCAGCTCAGCTCCTTTCAGACCCATCCATGCGCCGCCGGGGCAAGGGGCTCCTCAAAGGCTTGGGTGGGACTTAGGGTAAAAGCTAACCAGGGTGTTGGGCTACAGAGGATGGCATCCCATCCCTGCCTCCCACACACCCCCAAATCCCTGCCACGTGCTGGTGCTCCAGCCCCTGCTGGCTGTCACGCCACAGGGACCTGGCATCCCTCTTCTCCCCTACAGATCTCTCCAGGCTGTGATGCTGTGGAGGGAGAGGAACATCTCCCAAGGGAAGCACAGCAATTCCAGCTGCAAGGGAATGGGAAACAGGAGAGGTGGTGGGCCCAAACACTCTTATCCAACCTCCCCCTTCAGCCCAGCCCAGTGCACACCAGTGACCTGCACACGGGGCTGTGACCGTGGCACCAAAGGCATCCACGTTGATGGGACTGTGCTGACTCCCTGGGAGCCCCCAGACATCCCTACTGAGCAGCCCCACTCACCATCTTCGTCGTTGGTGACAGTTATGGTTACCATGTCCATCTTCCCAATCCTAGCTCCACTCCAATGGTTTCCAAGGGGGCTTCCCAAATAGACCTGGAACTGCTCTTCTGGTTCGAAGGCAGAGTCGTCACTGATGTGAACACTGCAGTTCTTCACCTAAAGCCAAGTGAAGAGGAGAAAGCAGCAAACACCGATAAATCTGATAAAGCCACATAAAGGCCAGGCTGCACTTCCCTATCCAGGGTTGCACTTCAGAGTGCTGTCCATCCTGGAAGAAACTCTTCTAGTTTCAGGGCTGCTCCTTCAGTGTGGACAAACCACGCTATTACATGATTAGACACAGCAGCAAAAGCATGTCCTTCACAAACCCTCTGTACAACAATCCCAAGTGATCCTGATGCATCAGATTTGCATTTCACAATTTAACCAGCTCCATCATGAGACACCCACCCCTTCTGAGGGGATCACATTGCCAGGACAAGAATTTGAAAGCAGCCTGGACCAGTCTGCCAGCTTCCTCTGATGACAGAGGGCCGAGGAGGAGATGCAAACCTCTCCCAGCACCGGTTCTTCGCTCCCCCACGAGGCAGGTCCAGCTCACCTTCTCCCCTTTGAGGAAAGTGATGCGAGACTCCTCTGTGTCCCTCCTCTCCGTGAAGTCCTCCATGACCTGTGCTGTCTGGCTCCGGGTGTAGCACCTGACGGAGGACTCGTAGCTCAGGTCCCCCGTGCGGAAGATGGGGATGTGCAGGGTCCCCTCCTTCTCCTTGGCCGTGTAGGTGTCCTTGGTGAACTGCATGCTGGGCACTGCAGGGGGGCAGAGACGGAGCCAAGCAGTGCTGGGGATGCACAGGGAGCCAAGGGGCAGGAAGGGAGCAGACACAGCTGCCAGGGATAACTGACCGTCTTGGAAGATGTCATTAATGGCCACGATGGCTTGGAACGGCTTCGCCAGCTCGGCTCCGTGGGGGGAGCTGAGGTAAACAACAAATGTCTCCAGCCCTTCTATCACTGGGTACTGAGCATCATCCAGGATTGTCAGGGGGCAGAACTGGGAGGAAAGGGGAATTCCTGCTGTTAGATGTACAAAGCTTTCCTCCTTCCCAGCACTCACATTTGGGAGTCTAGCGTAAAGCCATTACGATGATGTTTTCTGAATCCATTAATCAATGTAGAGAATGTTCTACATAAACCCAGCATATCATTTCAGAGAACAGGCAGCCATCCTTGTCCTGGAAGAGGTGGCATGACCAAATCTCTCCAGGCTGGAGAGCTGATGGGGCAGGAGTCTGTACCTAGCAGAATCATTAACAGTTCTCAAGTGGCCTGAGATGATTTTCAAAACAAATGGCACAGAAACAGAAGACAAGTGTCACCATGCAAAGCAGACTCAGCAGGAGTCCAAGTGGCCCCTCACCTCTTCTGTCTTGCCTGGCCTGAACTCTATTTTCCTGGAGCTGGGGACATAATCAACTCCTGGGCTGGCCGAGGGCGGGTCTGATGTCCGAGTGGCACACCACACCGACATGGGCGTGGAGAGGTCAGGTCCCTGCCGGAGCACTGGGATCTCAATGTGTCCTGCAGCACCAGATGCACATGAGAGAGAACAAACTGAGAGAGCAGCCGTGTTCCACAAACCCACCTCCTTCCCTTCAGCACTGCTCCTGCCCCCAGCCTCCCCCTCGGCACAGAGAGAACCACAGAGCCCCTCAGCACATCTTTGAAGTTGTGCTGTGCCCTGAACCACTCCTTCTGACACCTCTTTGTGGTGAAAGCTTCCACAGGGAGCATCCCAACACGGCTCCCTGCTCCTCACCCGCAGCCTCGCTGACAGTAAAGGTGGCATTCCCCAGGAACACCGTGGAGGCGTCGTTGGGGCCGGCGATGACCACGTTGGCTGAAGCCCGGCTGCCAAGGCGGGCGTTGTCCGAGGCGTCGGCCAGCACCACCTCAAACTCCTCTTCCTCTTCATATTCGCTGTCATCGACCAGCGTGACATCACAGGTCACCACGGTGACACCCGGCCCCAAAATGAGGCGGTTCTCATCCGACAGCCCCCGGGACTTGAAGTCAGAGCCGGATTCCAGCATGTAAAGGCTGCTGCCTCTGGCTGATTTGGGGATGGTGTAGCAGATGGCAGACACAGTGCTGCTGGCATCCCCTAGGAAGCAACACGAAAACCCCATAGTTCTGGGGAATCACTTTTCATCTACTTGGTGGAGAAACTGTTCACTGAAATAATAAAGCAGCACTTGGAAAAGAGGATGAGGAATGAAATGCTGAACTTGCATAGCAGCTGGCTTAGATATGACTTCCAGGCATGCTCCTAACCCACACTCAAGAAACTGGTGGCACTTGCCTGTTAGAGAACAGACAGCCCACTGACAGGGTCCACATAAAACACTGTCTACATCACAGAGAAGCAGCAAATACAAAGGTTTGCTCCTGCTTGTGCCAGGAGTTGAAACAAATTCAAACCAAGAAGCTTTAACGGCAGAGACAGGAAAGGTCAAAACAATAAACAACGATGCCCCACGTGTTGCTTGCCATTGCAGCTGTGCGTAGAACCTCTTCCAAAACATCAGAGAAGGCCCCAAAACCATAAGCAGGCAAAGCCCAGGGTTCCCCCTCTGCACGTGTCCCTCCCACGGGGCTCAGCACGTCGTGCTGCCCACCCCACCCACCTTTCCTTTGCACAGGAGCCGAGAGGAAGCCGGCACTCTCGCTGACGTGGAACGTGCTCCTGTCGAACTGCAGCGTGGGCTCGTCCTCGGGGTCCGCGATGGTGACGGTGGCCCGGGTGACGTTGCCCAGCAGGGCGTAGGCCGGCATGCTGAGCTCCACGGAAAAGCTCTCCGTGCCCTCGAACACGTCGTCGTCGTTGATGGCGATGGTGCAGGCCTTGGTGTCCTCCCGCTCCTCGAACTGCACCTGGAAGGCAGCAAGCCGGCTGCTGTCCTTGGACTGCGGCCTGGAGCTCCCTGTCCTTCCTGTCTCACCCTGCTCTGAGGTGCTCCCTCTTCCAACAGCAAATAACCCGCCTGACTTTACTAACAGAATACACCCTCCTTGGTCTTTTTGTCACTTTTCTCCCATTCTTTCCCCCAGGTTTTGTGGCAGGCATGGTCAGGCCGTCCCTTTGCTGTGTGCCCACCCACCTGCCCCGCATACTCCACGTAGTCCTGCTCTCCGGGCCGTGATCCAGCTCCAGCGGCGGCTGTTCCCGGCTCGGTGCGGCACAGGACGATGCTGTACTGGTTGAGGTTCCCCACCCGCCTCACGGTGACGCTCACGGAGCCAGCGCTCTCCCGGACCTTGTAGCTGGAAATGGACCAGGCACACACAAAGAGCAGGCTGGGGAGCAAACCCATCGTGTTCGTGTGACACTGAGCGCCACGCGCTCAGGGCGAGTGTGGAAAATCCGAGGCACAGCAATAACTGGGTGGCTGCTCCATGGTTCAGCCTGGCAGGCCCCTCTCCTCACTGGCAGAATTTCCTTCCCACGCTGTAGGGATCTCAGGTAAGAGCCCAGCTGCCAGCCAAGTGCTGTGACCCTCGTGGCACTTACCTGGTGTGCGTAAAGCTGAGGAGGGACCACTGGACATGGAAGACGTTGCCGCTGACCACGTTGGGTTTGCCGTCTTTCACCAGGAATTGGAAGCTGTCCATGGTCTCCTGAACCTTCTCCTTGTGCATCACGTACCGAATGAGGCCCTGGTTCACATCCTCTGCCAGGATAAACTCCAGTCAGTCAAAACAGGAATCCAAAGGCAGCTTTGTAGATGAGCAGTGTGGATCTGCACGGCCGCAGGGATTGAGGATCCCCGTGGCACAGGAAGCAGTTACCCCCTCAGCCCTACAAGAGTGACATTCTCCCACACTGCTGACTCTACACCTCTGCCAGACTGTGATGCACTTGCAAGATCTACAGCCCCTCTTTACTGCCCCAAGTCACATCTCCAGCTCTAACAAGCCTGGAGAACCTGGGACAACCTACAGGACACAGGTCAGTACGTCTAAAAATTACAGGATTTCTGCAACTGACAGCGAAGTTCAACGCTTATTTTCCACACTCTTTGGAGATCTGCCCCTTGTCTTCTCCCCTCCCACCTATTTTTCCCTTATTTTAACAAACTTAATCAACTGATGGAAAAAAGCAGCAGGGCACAGCCCAGCTCCATACCCTGTGTAAAGGTGGTCACAGCTGTCCCTGGCTTCAGCTTGTTCTCCACATGACCATTTCTGGGACCGGTTGTTATCTCATAGATCAGCTGTTTGTCATCTGTGTCAGGATCTGTTGTCAGTAATTCCTTCTTAGTGATGAGATTGGTGGCCTGGATTAAAGCCAAACCAAGGGAGTAAAACTGAAGCTCCAGCAGTGCAAGTCTGATTGACTGTTCATTCAAAAAGCCCACCCATCCCTCTGTCAAAACAGCTCTCTGTGAGGGAAAATCTAGGGATGTGAAAGTACAGAGCAGCTTTGAACAGAGATATCCCACAATGTGTTTGACAACACAAGAAGGATTCATATTTTGCCTCACATCTGGTTAGTTTAATTAAAAAGACAAATGTGACTCAAAGAAAAGCAAATTCCAAAGCAGCTGCCCAGCCTTATTTAGCTGGGGCTAAAAGCTAGGACAACTCATTGGGTGTCATTTAGGCACCTCTATTCCATGAGCTGTGCTGATGCTCAGGTGAGGCCCTGCTTGGCAAAAAAAACATCTCAGACTGAAGGACTCAGTCAAGACTGTTCACACAGCTCTGCTGAGCCTCCATGAGAGCCTCTTTCAAATGCCCTCACAGGAATCTGATTCAGTTCCACCACATTCTGCTTTCTCTTCAAAAACAAAATGTTTTTAACAGCAGGAGAAAGAGAGAAAATGGAGCTGCTCAAGGCTGCAGGCGTGCCTTTCCTGAGGTGAGGAGTTTGAGCTGAGATAGCCATTTCTTAATACAATTCCTTACTACAGCATCTTCCACTCATTTTTTTTTCTGGGAAGAACCAAAGTATTTCTTTACAGTTAATGCTGGCTCCTCAAAAACAAGCCAAGAGTTTCCTGGGGTTCTGTTTGGACTTCAGCACAACAAAGGCCTGTTACAGCAAGAAGTCCCTGCACCATATCCTTGGAAAGCCACATATCTCTGCCACGGCTGCTGCAGCACATCATCAAGCCATCTCCACCATCAGCAAAGCTAAAAATGTACCCTGGGGTGGGTATTTTCCCTCAGAAAAACAGAAGTGAAGGATGAGGATGTTTTCCTGAGAAGCCTGAGAAGCAGCCCAGGCCGAGGCCAGGCAGGTGTTACCTTGCCATCTGTGTACTCCAGCCACTGCAGGCCCAGGTTGGTGACAACCCTGGGTGTCCCATCATCCACAGGGAGAATGTCCACCTGGAAGCGCTGCGGTGCTGCGGTCACGACCTGACAGCGGTTCAGAGAGATGGGGGTTACTCTGGGAGTCAGAGCCCCTGGGAGTCAGAGCCCACCCACCAAGTTACCAGCTCAGCTCCCTTCAGCTTTGCTGCATCCCAGGCCCTGGGGTGAGTTTGCACACTCAGAGGGCAGGGAGGGAAAGGAGCAAAGGCATCACACAATGGAGACCACTCAACCCTTGCCTTCAGTGCAGCCACAGCAGCTCAGCCCCCCCTGCACTGAGAGGAGGAAGACAAGCCCCCTGCCATCCCTCCTCCCCTCTGACCTTCCTCCCGCCCTCCTGCACCACGAAGAGGGGGTTGGTGCCGTCGGACACAGTGAAGGTGAAGCGGTCCCTGAGCGCGCCGCTGCCGTCGTGGCTGTAGCTGATGAGGTTCTGGTAGATGTCACCCATGGTGAAGGTGCTGGTCTGGAGGGGACGCTGCCCAGGGCCGCCGCGCTCGATCAGCCCGTGCCGGGGCGGCTGCACCACCCTGAACGTGATGGACTCCACCTGTGCCCGGACAGGGAGGGACAAGGCTGGGGACACCGCCTCAGGGCCAGGCCAGCACATTCCTGGTTCCCCCTGAGCCCTGCCCTGCTCTTATCCCTCTCCCTATACAGCAAGGCACACCCCACCGAAGCCCTGGTTCAGCCGGCCTGAGACAGCTCCCACCCCTGTGACAGCTCCATGAACACCAGAGCAGCCCCCAGCCCTGCAGCCATTCTGGGCAATGTGTCCCTTGCCAACTTCTGCCACAGCGGAAGCAGCAAAAACCTTTGGGGCGGGATTTTGGCTCAGGCAGCCAGATCTCTTGCTGCAGGGAAAGTAGCAGTGAGGTAGAGCCAGTATTAGACAGCTCAGCCTCTGGCCAGACCCAGCAAGAAGAGGAAGTGCCATTTTCATCCATGCTAAGCATAAGCTCAGCGTCAAGGCCCTAAGTCTTTAAACACCAGCCCATTTTCCCAACAGCCCAGATGTGCAGCAGAAGAGGGGAGGGAGGAGTCAGGGGGTCCTGCCTTACCTCTGTGTCAGCATCTGTTGCTTTGAGCTCAAACTCGGTGATGGTTTTTCTCACCCCTTCCTGAACCATCATCCCAAAGATTTGCACCACGGGTAAGGAGTCATCCACGGGGTTTATGGTGATGTCAAATGTCTGGCTCACCTGGACAGGGGGAAAAGCCTTGCTTGATGAATTCAGCCTTACAAGAATGTGACTTCATCGCAAGAGCACAGCCATCCCCAGTTTGGGTCATTTCATTTCAGCCTTGTCTGGTGAGTAAATCTGAGCTGCTAAGCCCAGATCACATGAACGTGATCTTCTTTTTCCCTCCCCACTAATTAATTCTCCCTCTTTCTGTGATATTTATGCTCTCTCCCTCTCTCACTCTGTGTTGCCCCTCTCCCTCTATGTGCAGCTATGCCTTTTCTCTTTCAGAAAGCAGCAAAAAGGTGTTTCTCCAAGTGCCTGACTGTCGTCACTGTGCAGTCAAGTGCACTGGATCAAAGCTGAGCTCCGGGAGCAGCTGGCAAGCAGCTGCAGACCAGGCACTCAGCTCTTGGTGAGCCAGTCCCACCAGCACCCTGTTCCCTGCACAGGGCTTGCTCCCTGCCCTGAGGGACATGGGGAATCTCACAGCAGGAGGAGGAGGCTGGGGCTGACCTCGTTTGTCCCGTCAGACACAGAGAAGGTGAAGGCGTCCCTGTGCTTTTCCGTGTCACTGGTGTGGATGTACTGGATGCTGCCAGAGGCCAGGTCTGCCTGGCTGAAGGAACTAATTCTTGTCCCTGGAAACAGACAACAGAAGGGAAATGTGCAACAGAAAGAGCAAGGCAGGGGAAAACTACAGAAAGCAGGACATATTTAGCCATAAGGACTCTGCTTTGGCTGGTTCTGATCCAAGTCAGGCTGCCTGACATGAACCTCAGCGGAGCCAGGGATTTAGCTGGCACAGAGCCTCCTAAAATCTCCTTCTCCAAAAGAAGTCCAGGCTTCTTTTGACCTCATCCTGTTGGGAGCGGACCTCCTGGGGGTGAGAGAAGCTGGGAGAAAAATGGTCCATGTAACACTTGGATTGTCACTGCTGGGCAGGACAAACCCAACCAAGGCATCACTGAGGATGATCTAAAGGCCTCCTGACCTCACAGCAGTTTTCCAAAATGCCTTCCAAGTGTCTGTTCTCTCTGCCCCTCCTTGTACCCCTGCATTTTGTACACAGTCCCTTTTTCAGCACTGATTTATAGTGACATCTTTACAGGCCATTAGGTGGGACACAGCCACAGAAAGGTACCTGACAAGCATTTTAAAAAGCACTTGAGCTTTTTAAATCTTGTTGCTGTGTTCAACAGTTTTACTGCTGTTGTCAACAAACACCCTGACAAGAAGTTTGCCACCAATATATCACACTAAATGGCTGCTGACAAGTGCTGGCCACACTACAAAAGACACCTGGATCTGATTTAAATAAATGAGCCAAAATTGAATGATCAGCTAATATTTCTTCAGAGCTCATCAGGTGTAAATATTTGGGTTCTCTTTTGAACATATCAGTACTCTCTTCTTAGGTTTAGGTCATTTTAATCATGATTACAACTACTTCTCAGTCTGTGACTGTGTATCCTTATTAGTCCCTTACAGACATGAAAAAGTACAGAAATCAGAATCATCATCAGATTTTAAATAACAGGAGGAATAAAGTCCTTAGTTCAAGTCTCCAAAGTACAAGATTCACTGGTTGTTTTGCAATTTAGACAAGAACAGTGCATGTTTTTAATTTACTCTCAGCAATGAGTTATTATAACTCATTTATTATACCTGCCCTTTCAACACATTTTGGGTGGGAAGATGAGGCAAACCACACACTCAAACTGAGCTGTAGAGGGACTGTCTGCATCTTGAAAACACACAGCAGATATTTCCACTTTCCTCTCATGTTAATGAGAGATCTAAAGCTAAGAAGAAATATAATCTTAGATGAGTATAATAAAATCAGAAGAGCGTATAATGTGACACCACAGATTTAGATTAATTCATCAGAGAGGAGCAGCACACTCACAGTGTCAGCAGGCATGAAAGGCAGCTCTGAAATTCAGATCACATGTGCAGGACAAGTCATCTGTTCACCAAGATGGGCTGTTTCCAAGGACATTAAGGGATGGATTCTTTGGGGCACTGTGCTGTTCACAGCAATGGCCAAAGGTTTTCCTGTCATGCAGAAGCAGCAGTAGGGCCATAAACTCACATAAATCCTCAGCTGGGATTATTGGGCTGTTCTGCTTCCACTCCATTCCCCAGCCCTCTGGGCTAATGGCCCTTTGCTTTCTAACAGGAGTGGGAATTCTGTGCTGCTGCCTCTGGGCACGTTTTTCCTGTAGTGAAGGTTTAGGGCTCAGCAGTCTCCAGTGTTTTGCTGCTCCGAGGGCCCAGTACCTCCCTGCTCACCTGGGGAGGCCACGTGCTCCAGGTGGCCCAGCTGTGGCTGCCGGGTGACCTTGTACTGCAGCTGGGAGGCCTCGCTCTCCTGGTCAGTGGCCGAGAGCTGGAGGGTCGTGATGGCCTTCGCCGAGTTCTCATCCAACACCAGCCCCTTGTTGGTGATGATGGAGGGGGCAAACCTGTCCTCTAGAAGGGGTAAACATAAAGCTGAGTTAGGAGGCAGTCACACTCCTTCCCTTGGGTACTTGTGCTCAACCAAAACACAACACACACACAAACATTTTGGCAATTCCAAACCAGGAACTTTGGGCCATCCCATTAATCAGGGATGGTAACATTACGATGTCCTAAAGACAATCTAAACAACATGAAGACATTAAGGGGAATTTTTCACCCTTTCCAGTGAGTTTGTCAGAAGCCAAAGAATGAACCCTTGCATCTGCAAAATCTCCCCACGCCCCTCACTTCAAAGGCCTTTGAACTGACGGCGCATCAAAACTGCATCTCAAAAATTACTTTTTGCCTTGTTGTTGGCAAGGAGGATGGGAATCTGTGGGCTGGTCCGAGCTCTGCAGCAAAGAAAACACAAATTCAGCACTGCTTCTTACCCATGACATGGATGTGAAAAACTTGGTCCATCAGTTTGTTACCATCTGCATCCATCACATCAAAGGTGAAGGGGAAGTTTCCGCCAGGATCCCCTTTCCCGTGGCTGTACACCACATGCCCTGGGGAGAGGGAGAGCAGAAAAGAGATGCTTTATTACAGGCTGCAGCACTTAATTCTTAGTTTGGAAGCAGGCTGGCACCATCAGCTGAGGCACTTGGGCTTGACAGAGCTTCTGGATTTGGGTTTCATTACTTTCTCTCTCGATTCTCTTTCTCCTACTGAGAAAGACTTATTAACATATGTTTAATGATATATGGTTCTGCTCTAGCTTAACAACCTGTGCTTATTTCTTTCCCTCTCCCTTCCCTACTTTAGCTCATCGTCCCCCTCTCAAGAAGATCACAGAGTTATGGAATATCTCAAACTGGAAGGGACCCATAAAGATCATCAGGTCCAACTCCCTGCTCCTCACAGGACTACCTTAAACCAGCCTTGGTTTATATACTTGCTGTGACTACTAAAATCCAGCACTCTCACCTTTGTTTATATCAGCCTGGGTGAAACTTCTCAGGGGTCCTTTGGCAGAGATCTGGACTGGACTATCAGCTGTGGTCAGCTGCAGCTGGCCCTTGCTGGGGTCCCTCCTCAGGACAAATCTGATGGCCGTGTCCCCTGAAGGTCCAGCTGCTGCTTTCAGGTGCTGAGCCGTGAGCCGAGCTGCAGAGCCTGCCCCAGGGAAAGCAAACCCACAATCAGCTTCAGCCAGCCTGGCCCAGCAACTGCTTTAGGCCCATCCAGCAGCACCCAGCAATGCCTCTCTCATCCCTGTCCCCGTACCAGCTGGGAGCTGCAGGTCCCTGTTGACAGCTACCGTGGGTGGCTGCTTCCTGGGCAGCTCCATGGAGAATTCCAGCTTCCCTGCCTGTGTGTGGAGCCCGTCCGTGAGGGAGAAGCTGAACTCGTCCGTCTGTGCTGCGGCCCCGCTCCGAGTGTAAACGATCAGCTCGTCCAGGACGTCCTGGTAGGTGAAGGAGGAGCCCCTGGACAGCACCCGGCCCTGCTCCAGGGCCTCCGCCGCGCTCTGCCTTCTGCGGAGCTGGCCTGGCAAACCACACAGGGATCAGCACAGCCTGCTGGGGACAGAGCCTTCCTTCACCTGACACCCTGCCTGGCGTGGGCACTGCAGGGAGATGCCACCTGCCAGCAGGGACTGGGGGAACACGCCAGGGAACACCCCAGGGAAACACCTGCACCTGGTCCAAACTGTGCTTTATCCCACATGCCAGGCTCCCCTCTCACAGCAGGGGCTCTTTCACACAGACAGACAGACAGACTCCCTGTCCCTCAGCTCCCAGCCTGTCAGGACGTACCATGCTCAGGACTTTGGCTGACCACGATGACCAGCTCGCTGCTCTGGGTGTCCAAGTCCTGCAGGCTGAGGGAGGCGTTGGTAACAACCACGGCTGAGCCCCCCTGCACCCGCACAGGCTCCAGAACCATCCGGGGGGGCTCGTCGTTCTGCCGCTGCACAAAGGCACACAGCCAGAAAAAGAACATGAACGCAGGGAAAGACCCACCTGAATGAAACACAAGCTCCCAAATGACAGCACTGGTGCTGACATCACCAGTCCCTCCAAATTTGTCCGGCCCCATGGCTGCTTCCCAGAGAGTGGAGACACCAAAACAGTAATCCCTGGGGAAGAGGCTACAATGCACAACTGTCTTTGGGCATCAGAAGTAAATTATGTGCCTGTGCCAGGTGAAGCAATTTCCCTTCAATCCCCCTTCCCACATACTAAAAAGGAAGGAGTAAAGCCTTGAAAAGTGTTTGTGAGGGGGTTCTGGCAGCCAGCATACCTGGATTGTGATGTTGATGCTCTGCACCTCTGACTGGCTGAAGCCGTCACTCACATAGAAGCTGAAAACATCACTTGTGGGCTCAATGCTTTCATGGACACTCTGGAAGTAGTAAATGCTCTTCTCCAGGACATCTTGAAGGGAAAAGGATGCGTCTGTGGTCCCCGCAGCCTCACTCTGTGGGCCAAAGCTCTCACCTGCAAACCAGAATATCACTGGTGAAAGGATGCTCAAGTGGCTGATAAACTCAACATAAAGCCAGCAGGACGGGGGGAAGAAAAGCACATTGTGAAGGCTGCAGAAGGGGGATGCTCCTTTCTACAACTCAGCTTCTTACATCTTGGGGCCATTGAGGGAGGCAACATCTGCTGGAGTGAGCACTGGGGAAGCTGCAGTTTTAGCTGCTGTCCCCTCCATGGGATATGACAGATGTGATCTTGTTAGGAGCACAAAGCAGCCAGGAGGAAGAAGGGAGAGCCCAGCAGTTTACCTGTCCTGGTGTTCTCGATGTAGCCATACACAGGCAGAGTGACCACGGTGACCCTCAGGTCCTCCTTGGCAGCAGTATCATAGTCAGCAGTGAAGTGGTGATGAGCCAGCAGCGGGACCCTGCCCCCCTCATCCACCTGGGGAGCAACAGCAGACAACATAAATCCTTACTGAACGAGGCTGCCTCCATGGAAGAGCCTTGCCCAGGCTCTGGAGTGCTGTCCCACCCTCCCCTAGGTCTGTTAATCAGGAATTCGGCAGGGAGGTGAGGTGGGATGGGAAGAACAAAGCCTGCCTGGCCTCCAAGAGGAGCCTGTGAGTTCTTTATCAGGGCAGGAAGGGAACTGGCAGAGTCATGGTGACCTCTTGGAAGGCAAGACCTGCATTTCTTGTTGTGGAGAGCCTTTTGAAGGCAAGGGAGGGGGAATGAACAGCTGGAAAGAAGGGAGATAACTTCCAAAGGCTTTTATAAGGTGTGTGAAATGCTCTGTGTCAGCCCAAAGCACCAGGTGTCTTCAGACTTGTCTTCTGCTCATCTCTTACACACATGCTGGTGAAATTAAGGATGAAATATCGAGTAGGGATAAATCTGACTTGCTCCACTGATATAAAGAAGACACCCTAGGGACAAGCAGCTCCTGACTGGAAGAGATATAAACAGATGAGGTTCGGGGATGCAGATGGACTGCCAGCCTCCTCCGGCCTCCAAGCAGTTTGTTCACCCTTTGCGTGGCACAAGTAACAGTACGTTTTATTCAGTGACTTCCCCCCAGCCCAGGAAAACTGTTGAGCTGCTCCCATCTAAGCCAGCGCTGTCCCTGTCCCCAGGCACTCACGGTGACATGGTCAGCGAAGGCGATGAGGGCGGGCAGTGCCGGGGCAGAGGCGATGGTGACAGTGAACATCTGCCTGTCCAGCCGGTTGTTGTCGGCATCCAGCACAGAGAAGTGGAAGATGTCGGTCACGGGCTGATTGCTGGTCTCAAACGTGGTGGAGTAGCTGTGGGATCAGGACACGGAGAGTCAGGGAGCCCCAGGCAGATCCATCCCATCCCTGTAGTTAGAGGAGAGGCAGTCCTCTTGGAAGAGAGGTGGTGCCTCTGTTCCCAACTCTGCTTCACATTCATTCCCTGAATTCTTTTAAGCAGCCCAGAGATCCCTGGGGAAAAGTCCACTGAGCTTTTAAGTGGTATGGTTTGAAGGAGAATAGTGCTCTTTGCTACCTGATTCTCTGGCTGTTGATGTCTTCCATGGTGAAATTGTAAACCTTGGAAAGCTCTTCATTGTGGGAGCCTGACATCCTTAGGAGGGTTCCATAGGCTGGCAGAGATATCAGCTGGATTCTGATCTCTGAGTCGGGAGAGTTGTTGTCCTAAGCGTGAAGAAACAAACCAAATGAAAACAGGGCAAAATTAGGCATTGCTTTGTTCCACTAAAAATGGAAGGAAGAATAAGTGTTTTATAGGGCATTATACCTGCCTAGCTGGGTCAGACCCACAGATGAATATTAAATGAAGCTCTACTGATGATAAGAGAGTCAAGAGGGATGACATTTTCAAAACATACCCCAAAATGTATTTTCATTTTCTCTCAGCTCAGCAAGGCTTTCTCTATGTCATTGTATCACGTTAACACAGTCTCCCAGACATAAACCCGGTATTTTAATTTTCAAAGTACTTCACAGTGAATTAAAAACTGATTTTGTCTCTTTACAACCACATTAAGTACAACCACACTGTGACTCAGATGCCATCTTTCTTAGAAAAGTTTTGTTAGGTGGTTGAAAAATAAAACCCAGAGCAGAAATCAACACATCCTGAGCATATGGGTCAGGAGTGAAATCTTCTTTTCCCTATCTCTGCTCTTATTCAGATTAAACCTGAACATCTCCCTCGTCAGCCTTCCACCTTAAGAGGAGGACAGGACAGATTCCTGTATCCAGACTGATTCCTTAGGGGAAAAAAAAAAAAAATTCCCAATCATCTCTCTGACAGCCAGCCTCTCTCAGCTCAGGTCTCTCCAGCCTCACACCTGTACTGCAACCTCTCCTCATCATCAGCAAGGAGTACAGAGCTTTCTTGGGAATGTCACCAGCAGGATAACTCTTGCACAGCACACAAGCCCTGGGACCAACTCAATCCACCAAGTTCTGCAGTATCTTGGGGTTGTTTACTCCTTCCCTCTTCCAATCTCCCCAAAAAAAGGTGGGTGAGGGGGCTAAAATTTTCAAGGGATTAACACTTAGGAAATCCATGTGCTTTATTAGCAAGTCTGTTTGATAGAAAAATCTGGGATTAACCAGGTTCTCATGTTTAGCGTGGCACTTCACATCTGTCAAATGGGGATAACCTTAAATCCTTGTGGGATGAAAGAGTCTGTTATCCCTTTTTGGCAGCAGCCAAAACTTGAGCTCTCTACCCAGAATCCACATTAACAGCAGAGGGGTGTGTGGGGGATAAGGAAATGGAGCCTGGCAGCATTCCCTGGGCTTAGGGACAGATGAAAACCCACCGTGTAAGCGAGGTGCTGTCGGGAGAGGGTCACAGAGCTTTTGCTGGCCACGGTGACGGCCAGCAAGCAGCCCGGGGCCAGCTGTGGGCCGTGGGTGTCCAGCTGGGACACATCCACCCTCAGCACCGTGGTGACTGTGGTGACACCATCCGTGACAGAGATTTCCATGCTGTCCTCTGCTGCTGCTGAGCCATCGTGCACATACTGCAGAGCGTTCCGGGTGACGTCCTCGTAGGTGAAGCTGTCACCTGCCCAGGGAGCAGATACACGAGTCAGAAAGACTCTGCTCACAGCAGGAATCCAACTCAAATTACCTCAATCAAGAACTAACTGGCATTTAATCCCATCCTGCAGGGGCTCTAAGTTATGAGGACACTCATTAAGTAGCTGGCAGGGCAGAGGAAAAGCTGTGACCTTCCCAGTTCCAGCAACTCCTCCTGATTCTCAAGGAGGGCACCAACTCTCCTTTTCTTCCCAGCTGCTTCCTGAGCTCACAGCTAGATAAGGCTTCCCTATGGATGCATCCTGATCTGCCAGGGGCATCTGTCTCCTCCTGCTCACTTAAACCAGCTAGGCTGATCCCCCTCTGCACCGAGGGAAACTCTCCACTCACCTGCTCTCATGAGCTCCTGCACATCTGCGCTGTACTTGAGCACAATGCCATGATGGGGAGGTTTCACCAGCTCAAAGAAAAGACCCTCAGGAGCTGTATCTGTGTCACTTACAGCCAACTGGATCCCTGTGCCAGGGAAGGAGAGCATAGCTTGTGTGAATGGAACAAAAAAAAAAAACCCCACGTAATTCAGTCAGTACAAGAAAAGTAAATAATTCTGGAGCTGCCCTAGCCCAAGAGCTGCGAGTTCCATGGAAAGAGTTTGTCCCCTGATGATGCTCAGGCTGTATCAGGGAATTCTCTCCTAGAGTGGCTCTCAAGTGACCCCCGGGCAAGTGAAGCTGGGCCTCCTGGCAGTGAGCTGAGCCCCACACCGTGCCCCATGCACCCCACTCACCGATGGTGGCTCTGCCCCCCTGGCTGACCTCCAGGAAGGGAGCTGCGATCTGGAAGACCGGAGGCTGCTGCTCAGCGGAGAGCAGGTGGATGACAAACACCATCTCCGGGCTCGTGTGCTCCCCACCAGACACTAGGCACAGACAGAAACCATGCCTGAGTGCAGGGACCCTTCACCTGGGAAATTCACCTGTCTGTACAAAAATCACCATCCCACATCGCTGGCTCATCTCCCACCTTTGTCTGTGGGCATACACACACACTTCACACAGGCCAAGAACATTTCTCTCTGCCCCTAGCTCAGAACACGGACTTCTCCTCGTTGGTGGAAGCCAGAAAGCACATGGAAACAGAAGGATGTGTTAAACAAGCAAGCAGCTTATCTGTGGCAATTTAATTGCAGAAATGTCTCCACGCTGTATTAAAAAAAAATGAGAGCGTAAAACTCCTTGTTCACACTGGGAGGACAACAGGAATAAATCAGGCTTTTAGGACTGATTCCAGGCAGCCACTGGAAAAAGATGCCTCTACCAAGCTGCGGCTCAGCTCCTGTAAAACACTGCTGGGAACCAGACAAATTAATATTCCCCAGGCACGTGTATTTCCTACAGAAATTCCCTCTGAGAGCCCACAGGTGTGCCTGCAGCACAACAAAAGCCAAGGAGTAACAGGCAATGGGAAGGGCAAAAGAAGGATGCAAACTGCTCTGGCCAGGGAAGAGCAAGTGGTTGACATACCTGTGAATCGGAAGCTCACGGACTCCGGGAGACCTGGCGGGACAAACACAAGCATAGAGTGACTGTGGTCAGGAGAGGAAAGCACGCCTTGATGTGGACTTGGAGGATTTTGGGGAAATCTGAATTTTCCTCAGCAAGGAGGAACACCAGCAGTCCCAGCTGGTGTCCCAGCCCTGCGAGGAGCGCTGGGATGCTCACCTGCGAAGGAGAAGGCCATGATCTCCCTGAGGTGAGGAGCGGCGGTCGGCGGACGATAAGCAATCCTGCCGTGGTTTATGTCAGCCTGGGTGAAGTACCTGGCTGGGGACAGAGGCCTGTCCTTGTGCTCCACGATTCCTGTGGATGCAGAGACACCAGCATTACCAAGAGGGGTTAATTACTCCATCTGATTCCACAGGTTCATTTGCTTTCCCTGGGTACTTCTTTGTACCACTTCCAGAAGAAGTCGCATGGATGCAACTGCATGGACAATGGGCTCTAGGGACAAGAGAAACTAAACAGAGATTCCTCACTGAGGCATTTCTTCACAGAACCTCTCACTCGAGAGGTGGGAAGCAGAAAGCCATGGGACACAACATGCAGCATTATTCAGACAGCAGCAAAAACTGTCTGAGCTCTGCAGCACATTCCTAAAGAAGCCAAAGAAATGGGGTTAAGGAACAAGGTGTTTAAAAGGTAAAGAAAGAGGCCAAATGGATTAACAGGTGCCTCCACAGAATGATACTCCGAGGGAAGGAGGAGATGTGCTCAGAAAATGTGGCAATTAATGCAGAAAATGTGGCAATTAATGCAGCAGCAACAGGTTCACTTGCCTTGCCCAGGAAGGAGAGGCACAGTCACGTTGTACAGGATTTTCTCACTGGGAACCTCCGGGTCTACAAAGGAGAGGTGATGGGGCTCAATCACTGTCACACGGTCCTCCAGCACCTCAATAAACACATCAGACCATGAGCATCAAGGCCAGAGACATGGGAAGATTGACCCAAAAATGCATTGAAAGAGAATTTGCTTTGCTCTACTTAAATGTAAGACAGTCTTGAAATGTAAAGGCCCAGTTCTTAAACCTAAACCTGACCCCCTGTCCCCTGCAGATGCACAACCTCCACACTCACAGGTGGTCGGGTTTCTCCTTTGGCCTACAGCAATTAAAAAGAGAGAAAGGAAAACCTAGTTTGATCAAGAACTCCCTGGATGAACACGTGATTCACTGTCTGTGTAGTTTTCTCATATAGTCTGATGTGGCTGGACTGCATTCTCTTTTAAAATAAAATTACTGAAAATGACTCAGGCCTTTCAATTGGAACATAGAGGAACCAAAGTTTTCCCTTTTGTTTTAAACCTGTCTAAAATTGCTCTGATCCTTCAATAACAAGATTATCATGAACCAAAGGCAGGCAGGGCATTAAAGGAATTACAATGCTGCTTGAAGAGTCTTAAGTGCCCAAAACCAGCTAATTTCTATGTGTTCATGAACCTTAATCCTGCAGAATTAACAAATTAAACTGCTCAGCTGGGTATGAAAAGCATCCAGCTCATTTCATAATCTTGAGCAAAATAGGGAGAGAACAAGCTAAATTAAGGATTTGGGCACTTAAATAGCCTGCTTTGGAACATGAAAGGTTACCAATATGGGGGAAGGAGGTTAACTAGATTGAAGAAGAACCAATATAGACGTTGTGTCCAGTTTAACAAAAGAGTCATCAACCTTCCCTTGACCTTTCCCAGCAGCACAAGTCCAAGTCAAGACTAGAGGGATGGGAGGGCTCAAAGTATTGTGCTTTCCTCTCAGCTTCAGAAGTCTCATTCTGAAGGAGTCTGAAGACGAATGAACAGAACTCAATCACACTGGGGCAGAGAAGTGCAGTTTTCTGACAGAAAGATTTAAGGTTATGTTTCTTCCTCACTGCCTCCAAGGCCTATTTGTCTCTCCCAAAGGTGGGACTCGCAGGTGGTGAGGTAAAAGGTGTTTTATGGCCCTATTGAATTTTGTGGGGAGTAATTAGCTATAAAACCCAGTGCTGTGTGGCTCTGCCAGACATCTCTCCCATCAATTTTGTCAATAATGACAACAACAAAAAGTCAAGAGCAGGAAGATAAATGGCTCCAAGTAGCAGTCTGACCATGTTTCATTATCACCCAGGAAAGGCCGCCACTATTTTAAACCTTGACAAGGCTCTTGTGCCATGGGTTGCCCACTAATCCCTCTCCCATTGCTTCCTGTGCCTTTCCTGGCCCCATGCCTGGTATGCAGAACAGGAGAAGTAGAGGGGACAGCTGGACTTCACCCACACATGATGGGGACACACAGGGAAGGTTTGCACCACAGTCTGAGAGCCCACAAAACCGACTTGAAACTCCACAACCATCTTTCCAATCAACGCAGCCAGGGAAGGAACCACCTTGGAGAGACCACTCTCATCCAAATGCTCATTCCTAGAGCTAGAGTTGGGGTCAAGTTTGGTACGGTCTAACCCACAGCTTTTCTCTCTTGCCATTCCTCCTGGCTTCTCAGGAAAGGCTAAAAATTCCATGAAACATTGATTTTGCTTCTCTTTCCCCCTCTCCTTCCAAGTCTGTACATTCATCCCTTTTAATGCTGAGTTTTTCAGCTTTTCATGGGTATTTTCTGCACTCCCCAACCCCAGTTACTCTTCTAATCTGTTTTTTTCCCACTCCTACTCCAGCCATCTGTGTGGTGTTATCACTTACAGCCATGTGCAGAGAGGAGCCGAGGGAAAGCTGAGGGGCCTTGGGTGTCTGGGGCAGAACAGCAACGTTGAACACGTGGCTTTCCAGGCTGGTTTGTGGACTGGCAGAGCTGGACACCTGGGAAGGAAAGGTCACAGGAATGGGTAAGTGATTTATAGATCAGTTTCAGACTTTCCCTTGGCAGTGGCTCCCTGTGATCCCAACAGCTTCCAAGATGGGCTGCACTTGTGTTTCAGAGGCTCATAAATATTGTCAACTCTAGCACCAAAAAATTAAGTCAAGGGTATCTAACTCCTAATTGCAAGCCTGCAGCAAAGACATACAAAGCAAATTATATTAAACTGGCAAAAACTCAGAGTACCAGAGCCATTCCCTAGAGGAGAGCCTGCAAATGTTCCCAGCAATCCTGGGGTGAAGTAAGCACCCAAAGAAATACAGCTCTCTTCTTTGACAGACTCAGTTACTGCTTTATCTTTTAGTAGGGATAGCAGTGTGCTCTGGAACTCCACAGAGCACTTTGTGAGCGGGAATGGACATCCTGAAGTTTAATTTGTAGAAAATGCATAAAAATCTAAGTTCTGATGAAAGGAACTATATCATTTTAGCCATTTGCTGCACCTGCTCCGTCCTAAAGCCAACGAAAACAACATGTTGGCCCCAAAATGTCCCAACCCAAAGTTCAAGGCTTGGAGTTGGACAGGGATGCTGTGGTCTCCTGATGTGACCAGGTATTCCCAGCTCCCTTTCTGAGCTCTCTGTACAATTATTGCAACTGCTCCGAGATACTGAACCCAAACACTCAACTCATGCAAAATGCATAGTCTGTAAGAGGAATGCAGCAATTAAGCCAAAGATTAGCTTGTTCAACACTGACGCTTACAAATTCCTCATTATCACTTATGTTAATTACTCTAGAAATTACCTTAATTGCCTCTGCGGTGCTACAGTAATTGCTTCTGCCATGTAAACCAGATGTAACAAACACTGCATTGCCAGTGTTCACGTAGGCTTACTTAGGGCAGGCTGTGAAACCCTTCCAGCAAACAGCAAGGACCTGTCTGAGGAACTTTATGGCTCTTAAACCTGTGGGGAGTGGGGATTTATTTCAGTTTCCCAGCTGCTGGGGAGTATTTCTACCTTTTGGCCTGTTTGCAAGACGAAGGGCTCTGAAGCCAAAATTAAATTATTAGCTTAGAAACCAAGGGCTCACCTTTTTTGAAAAGGCACTTGGAACGTTTTTCACTTGGTGTAAATATTATAGGTTTTATGAGAGGGTGGTGTGCTTGCCAGTATGTATTCACACACAAATCTGTGTCATTGCTAAAACTCAGCCTCACAGGACACCTCACGGGACACAAGCGGAGTCACCTCGAAGAGCTGCCACTTGGTATTTCTAGGGAAAGGACACAGAATGACGAGGAATACCTGGAACTGGAAGGAGTCACTCTCCACTTCAGCCCCCGAGTGCCTGTACCACACGATGCCATCACTGATGTCCTGCTGGGTGAAGGAGGAGGTGGGTGAGGCCGCTCTTCCGTCAGGTAAAAGCTGCCAGGAGTCCGCCGGGCCGTCCGCCGGCATCGGGACCAGCAGCACCACTTCCCCTGGAAAAGCAAGGAGCAACTTGGCAGAACACAGGGAGCAAAGAGGTGCCCTTGCAGCTAAGGAGCAGCCAAGGCAAATGCCCACCCACTCAGAGCCTTTTTCCATGCAGTGTTAAGTGACAGAAATACCAGCAGAGCTCCCAAAAGCAATCAGCAGACATTGAGACATCCTGGTGACACTGAGATATCTTGTTAATTAATTCCATTAAACGGGTTGATAATTCTGCTGATTGATAATTAATCACTCGGTTATGTGAATCATCCATCAGAAGCACTCCCATTTCATTTCCCCAAACCACCCTTGAAAAGTTGGAGCGACAAAAAAAGTAATTCAGCAAGATGCAATATCACACTTCCATTTGATCATCAAACTCTGGGCTAAAATTCCTTTATCAGTACCCTAATTACATTCCAGATCTTACGGTTTTGCTCATGGGAGTTCCCCTAAAAATCTAAAAAATCAAATTCTATGTTTTCTATAGATACGAATATCCCTCCCATTAGCCACAGACCAAGTTAGGCAGACAAGCACTTCTGGATTCAGGACCAATTTTCCACATTTCTCTCTTTGCTATTTTTACTCTCCCTTTCTGCAAAACAGTATTTTAGATAAAATTTTGGAGATCATTGATTTCTGCTGCTTCTTTCTCACCTGCAGCTACAGACCTGTTTATATTACTGCAATTAATCACGGCAGCAATAATTATGGTGATACAAACACAGGATTATAAATTTTATTTAGGGTTAGGCAGCAGGAGACAAGCTCCTTGGGGAAAAATTCCTGTTTTCATGTAAATGCTTATTAAAAATGAGAAGACAGACCTTTATCTGCAGAAAACTAAAGGGGGAATACAAATTAATTACTCCTCTTCTAAACTGCAAAACTCTAATTATCTCTGTTTCCATCAGGTGTTGGCAGCTGTTATGGAAACCAACCTGTCCTCATAGCAAAAGGAAATTAAAAAAGCATGGATGTTGCTAGAGGGAGCCTCTAATTTTGCCAGGTCAGCAAATTAAATGTGGCATCATTTCTTAGAAGTGCAAAATATGTTATTGGAAGACATGGTTTTTGTGAAGAAAGTAGTGATGCTGAGTAAGAAAAGAGCATTTTTCTTGTCTTTCCGTATTTCGTTTCCTTCCATGTGGCACCTCTTCTTCATCCCATTTTTCTCTATTTAAGCTCGGTCACAAATCCCAGAACCTCCCACACCCCCCTAACCTGTGCCCAGAGGATCCTCCCTAAGCATGAGGTTGCTGGTGAAAGTCACTGCTCTGAGTGCTGAGCTCAGAGTATCTCAGAAGGAATTTGGGGACAAGAATTATCTCCAGATCCAAACAACATCACCAAATCCCGTTTCAGTTGGCAACCCCTTCCTCTGGAACAAATTAAATCTAAAGTCACAGAATTTAGGGAATTCTTCAAGGTAAGCTTCTGCTCAGCGGTTTCTAGAGGTAGATACTGCTCTGTGCTCCTCAAGGCAGATGTTTACTGTGGAGGATTATCTTTTGGCACTAAGATTCTGCTCTCTGAGGGCTGTAAATACACCAGGATTCCACCACCACTGGAGGAACACGGATGATCAGGAAGGGCAAAAGTGCTTTGTTACTCTGCCTGGCCATTAGAAGTGGAAAGAGGTGAGGCTAGCAGCACTCAGCCAGCCTACCATTCTAAGGAAATATTCCCCCAAATGTGCACATAACACCATGGAAAGGTGCTGCTGTTGGGCAGCAGGACTCCAGGGGGATTTACCATGTCTGGGCTGCTCCTCGGCGATGGTGTAGGTGATGTCAGAGTCCCGGGCACCCGGCAGCTCGGCGTGCAGGATTGTTTTGGAGATCTGCAGCATGCCTCCCTGGGGCACCCACACCAGGGAATTGGTCACCAGCCGGGGAATCCTGGCACTCTGCAGGCAGGGGGACAGCAGGAAAAGGCTGACTTGCAGTCTGAGTAATTGGAATGGGACTTTCAAGGGCAAAGAAAGGATCAAGGAGAGTATTCTGGAATTTGTTACACATTCCACCCTGGTTGTCTGCTTGAAGAAATGATTGTGGACCCTTCTGCTGTATCCCTCAGACCCCATTCCCAGACTCTAGAACTGACCTTGTCCTCTAATTCCTAATTTCCTGCTGCTGACCCTAAACCTTTCTGACCCAAGTCTTCCTCCATAATTTTGTCCTTTATCACCATCCTCATTCTCTCTGAGCATCCACCCAAGTCTTTAGTTACTCAGTGGGTTTCCTAACCTTCAAACTATTCCTGTGGCTTTTACTATTAATTTCTTTTTTGTCCAATATTAATTTAAGCTTCCTGTGAAAAATGCATATTATATGGTTCTACGCAGATATTTACTATATGTATTATGTTATATTGATTAGTTGTGCTGTATTAACATTTTTATAGTATGGTAAATGTAGTTTTGTAGTTAAAATGAAGCTTTAGTAGTTAAAATAGAAACTATGTATGTGGGGGTTTTTTAAAAGGAATGAGATACTCGCTTTGAGACAACAGTCACAGAACACCTAAATCTTCCAGAGAAGAGGAATTGATTGTTTTCTTATCAGAAGAAGCTAATTTCTTCAGGCCTTGCTCAGACTCGAAGACACCGTGAGGATTAAAAGAAGCAGTTGACGTATACAGAGTTTCTTGTTTTAAATAGAATGTATGCATAACCATGAAGTATGTATGAATATGCAACAGTGTATGGTTTTTAAGCGTTATTCCTTTGTTCATAAAACATGTTTTTGGCAGCTTAGTGCCCAAAAACATCTGGATGTCCATAATCCTTTACTTTTTACAGTCTTGTAATTGTCCTAACTCTAAATTTTTATTACTGTAATTATATTACTATTTTATAACCATTTTATTATTAATAAACTTTTAAAAATTCTAAAAGCAAGTGATTGGCATTTTTCACACTTCCTGAAATGTGAACGTCAGCATTGGATTGCAGTAATAGTTTCACTACAGTTCCCTTTTATTTCAGTAACACTACTCTGGCATTCAAGGATTGTATCAGCCCCTTTTTGGCTCTAATTTGCATTGTTGGACAGGTCACCAAAACCCGTGTGACCTCTTCCATGCCATGCTCTTTCCTATTACCCCAGCTCTGTAAATGTGACTTCTATTCTGGATTTCTGCACATTCACCTTGAAACTGGCTGTGGCTGCAGTTTGCCTTGAACTGTGTGATCAGCCAAAATCCTGATTGCTCCATCTAAGGGATCACCCTCCTCCTCACTTACTACTCCACATAATCAGCCCCCAAACTGCTAAGTGACTCATTGCTGTGGTCTTCTGGATCTGCCACAGAGACAGGAGAGAGAGCTAAAAAGATGTTTGTGAAAAGGAACCACATTACAGGATGATTTCCTTTTTGGCGTGTCTGCTGTGCGCCCACCTAATTTGTACTCCACTTACACCGCGGGTTTGTTATAAACATGGAAACCTTCAGCTCTTAGGTCACTGAATGACTGAATGTTCCTTCACTGGCCACATCAAACCCATCCAGCACGTTTTGATACCATTCCCACATGGCTTTGATACTGCTTGTTAATAAGAACAGACTCATGAGACAGCTCTTTTTGCTTGGTAATCTATTTTAAAAATATTTTTTACTTGTAAAAGTATTTTCAGCTACCTGCTCCCAGGCAGGGCAAGGTCAGCTGCCTTACAAATAAATACCTTGGAGGCCTCCCTTAGCTGGATCTCTAGAAGTCTGGGGTACCCCTAAAATAAACATCTTTTGTCTTTTTTTTTTTTTTTTTTTCTGTGCTCCCCCTGGCCTCTCAGAAAAGAAAGGCTTCCATGTCCCTGTTCAGAGTGCAACAGTTCCAGCAAAGGATCTGGATGGGAAAAACAGCCATTAGCAACCAAAGGGACTGGAAAAAGCCCTAAAAGCTGCCCTGCTTTCACCTCTGTCACCAGCTTCATTCTGCTCTGTAGCCAAGTGCTGCACAGAGAAATGTGGAATGATAAGGAGAGACAAGAGAGCACAAAACAGGATAATAAAAGAAACTACTCTCAGCAATTCACACTCACTGCCATTTACAAGAACCTGCTTAATCAACAGTGAGGGGGAAAAAAGGTGTTACAAAGAATACAGAGCGGTGTCCAGGCATTTTCACAGCCCCTGTGATCCTGTTTTCATCCCCAGACTGCTATGTGAATCACAGCACTAATTAACATTAATTACTACTGTAGCTTTAGGGGAACCTGCAGGGTCCAAATGGGATCAGTGCCTCCTTGTGCAGAGCTCCAGGGCCACATGGAATGCTTGCAAAGCTCCCTTCAAACTGTCCTGGCCAAGCTGCTGTGAAAGACATCTCACATAGCAGAGAGGGCAAAGGAGGGGCAATGTCATCTCCTCCTATGTCAGCTCCTTCCCAAGGGCTGGAACTCCAAGACCCTGTGTCAGGTCTCTACATAAAAGCCAGCAAACCGTGACCTTCTCTAATGACAGCTCTAATGACAGCTCTACTTTCTGCTACTCTTTCACATTAGTAAGGAATGAAGATATCTTCAGATTTTTCTCCTTCTGCTTTATTACAGTTTATTACCTTTTATCAAATAACTATGGACTTTGAATCATCGAAGCTGCACAACTGGAGCTGTTGCAAACCAAAAATTCGGGTGACCTCCAAAACCCAATCAATCCACTGCTTCCCCCGGCTGGTTACTCAGGATTAGTGACACCTCAGGGAAAGAGCAGCACTTCTCCAGACTCTCAGCGTGCCTGCCAGGGTTTATGTGCCAGCACATACCTCGGGAGCAATCCTGATGTGGAGCAGGATGTTCTGGAAGTGGTACCCGTCGCTCACTTGCAGAAGAGCCGCGTCCTGCCGGCTGTCGGAGCCGTCGTGGGCGTAGCGCAGCCGCCCACCCGCGAGGTCACCCAGGCGGAAGGTGGCAGGGTCCCCAGGGGGCTCGAGCAGCTTCCCGTGCCGTGGGGGCTCCAAGGCCATCAGCACCACGTCCTCAGGGTTGTCACTGTCCCCCACGCCGAGCACCAGCTCCGATATCGTCCCGGTTCCCCCCCTGCCAACGAGGAGGGGCTCGTTCCTGAACACGTAGGGTGCCTGGAACACAAAAGCGGCTCTGAGGTGTCTGCTGAGCCTGGGAGATTGGATCATGATCAGAGGCTGGAATTAAAAGTTTGGGGATAAGGACATCAGCTCACTTCATCCCTGGAAATCTCCTATTTCTTAGCAGCAGAGAATCGCTCTCCACACCTTTTCCCCCGATGGGCAGATCTAGTAATATTTAGCATTTAAACTGAATTAGTCCCATTAAAAGAATATTCTCATATCACATTAGGCTTAGGAAAGGCAAAAACTTGGGACATTTATATAGCAAGCATCGGACTCTAGCTGATCCTCATGAGCCTTTTGAGATGACAGCAAAACCGGGTGTCTTCATCATCAGTATTTATTTCATTTCTAACTTATACCAAAAACCTGCTAGAGGCCATATTTCTGCTGGTTTAAATTAGTTCTCCAGTTCTTTGTCATCAAAAAAAGTTTCAATCTGCAGTCTCTATTGATCCCAATAAACATCATTTGCCATGGGTAATGCACTGCCTCAGGAGGGAAGCGTTCCCACAGAGACAAAGTCAAAGCCCTGGGAACATCCATCAGGGAGCTACCTCACCCGTGCACAACTTCCCAGGGTTATTAGGGATCAACAGCCAGAATTCCTATCATTAAACCTCACTTATGCATTCTGGGGCAGTGACTGCAGCTCTTACTTAGGTGAACGTCCTACTGAGGCAAACAAGAGATTAGGCTGAACCAAGATCTCAGCACCAGCCAGAATCAATATACACATGGCAGGATCAAAACCCACAGTTTGTCTTATTCTAAAGCACAAACTAGAGCACTTCTAGTTTCCAGAAGTTAGGGGAATGACTAATATGGAATATAAATTACTCATGGGGAGGGTGGAGGCTGATCCAGACTTGTAGGCAGGAAGGAGCCAGCACTAGAAGAGTTCTGTCAAGTCATTTGGTGCCCGTCTTGAGGATGTAAATGGGCCTTATGAGTAGCAGATTCTCTTTCACACTTCAGGGCCTCTATTTGTAAGGTTATGCCAAGTACTCACAACTTCTGATCGAGCTTTCCACATTGGAAAAAACTCAGTGCAAGCTGCAAAGCCTCCCTGGAAACCTGGAACCTGTTCAGGTGCCTGTACCCTCCCTGGGGTGAGACCCATATATTGTGCCACAGACTTTGAATAACAATAATACAGGAGACACAGACACTTGGCAGTACCATCACCTTGCCCAGAAGTGGTGAGAAGTTTAAGAGACACACTGGAAATAGCTCATGCTGATTTAATTCCCAGCTGTCTCAGAACAGAGCATTGAACCTGAGTGTCAAAGCTCTCCTGCCGTCAGGATCAATCCTGGCCCAATTGGCCTGCAGCAAGAGGCTGAACTGGAGCATCAGCAGATCCAGAGGATAATCGGAGCAGTAGGGATTCCTCAGTCCTCACTGATAATTGCTCTATGATTGCACAGCTGCAACTCCCTACACATGCAAAATGACACAGGCCAACCTCTCCAGTCAATTCCCCAAGTCCCTTTCCTCCATGTGACTCTTGGCAGCTGCCCCTAAGGGAGAGTTGAGCCCAATCTGCCTGATCTGAACTCCTGCTCAAGTTCTGCCCAGCTCCTTTTTTATCCCTGCAAGAAGCCAGGGCCTCAAATGGTACCAAATTTGGGGCTGTTTCCAGGCTTTGTTACCTGTGTTGAGAAGGCTTGAATGTTGATCACCTCAAGGTGGGAGAATGACTGTTGGTCACTGACCTTCAAGGAAAACTGTCCTTTCCTAAATAGGTCCCCAAAAAGCAAAAATACAGAATAATATAAATTAATGAAGTACTCTTCAAGGACTCAGTAATGATAAGCACATTATGTATTCAGCAAAAATGACTGGCTCAGTGACAGAAGCTTTAGCTCAAGATTTCTTCAATTATGTTTTTATAGTATTTTTTCCTGAAGATTCACAACAGTCACAACAGGCAATAAAACACCTTTAGCTGTGTGATAATATACCCTCATCTCCCTTTGAGTAACGTTATCCACACTGGATGGCATCCCCAGGATAAAGTGCCAATTCTAAATACCAGTCACTTGCTGCTAAAGAAAAGCCTCACTTTATCTGGCTTCAGGACTTGCCAGGAATTTTCCTTCCCATTTACTTTTCAGTGATGCCACCCAAACGTCTTGAAGTTTAAAGTAACAGTATAAATAATAAATAGAGTAATAATTTTTTTAGTAATAAACAGCTTTGTTTTTCTAAGACAAGCTGCTGACGTTTCATGGTGGCTACCAGGCAGACTTAAAAAGAAAAAAAAAAAGCAGGATACAGGAACATATGCCTGAAGTCTGGTGAACACCAGCTAACACTTGGCATCAGGACACTCTGAAAGTCTTCTTCAGATCTGATTTAGATGGAAGATCTCCCTGATTTATACAGCCAGAAATTTAGAACAGTTCCACCCACATCACTCTGGTGCCAAGGCTTTATGGTGATGCAAATCAAGTGTGAAATTTGGCAGAGTGGCTGGCTTATTGCCTGGCTGCAGGAAAAATCTCCTTCCCTGCAACATCCTTTGCAATGTGAGCTTTGCCAGCTACTAATCACCAGTAATTATTCCAGGGTACTAACAGAGCTCACACTGGAGGCAAACAAGGAATGGCTGAAGGCAAACTACGCCAGAGAGCACAGCAGTGACATCACTTGAGCATCTTCCTAACAATATCAAGAAACTGTAGTAACAATTAGACTAATATGCCAGTTTTAACTCTCAGATGAGTATCCTGAGGATGGTACAGATTCCTGCACCCCAAAAGCACAGAAAGTTTGGAGTCACAGTGACCTGAGAAGTTTTGCAGCACCAGTTACGCTATGGTACAGCGTAAGTACGCTGGAAGTTGATTTAGCAGCGGTGGGAAGTGTGCCTCCCTGTAGGAAAGCTCCCAAAAAAGAAGGAAATACCCATTCTCAAGATACAGCGAGTTTTTTTGTGAGGCGAGAGCTCAGGCAAGACGCTTCCCCCGAAGTCACCTGGGCTGGTCTCTGCTGTGCACGAAGCGGACCCGCCTGTCCCGCAGGTCCCTGCAGCTGAAGCGCTGGCCGCGGCTCAGCGGCACCTCCTGCCCGCCCTGCAGCAGCACCAGCCGGCCGGTGGAGGGAATGCTGTCCACCTGGAACAGCGGCTGCCCCGAGGCACCATCACAGCCCAGCAAGGCCAGCTCCAGGGGCTGCACCCCGCCGATGCCCACCCTGAGGGTGCTGCTCACTCGGGAGCTCCAGGGATGCCTGCTGGCTGAAGGGAAAGAAGGGAGAAGTGTCACTGCAGGAACCACCACGGGCTGTGCTGGCATCGTGCCTGCCAGCACTATTTTTTGGGTGCCCTGTTCATTCCTGACCCAGGTGAACTGCAATCCATCCCAATCCCCACCAAACTTGGGCAAATCACTTCCCACCTTGATTTCCCAATCACAGAACTGAAAGCCAACTGCAGACAGACTAGTAAATCTTCATTTAGAATAAAGAATGGGTAAGTAACCACTAAACTTGATTCAGGAAGTGATTTCCCCCAAGACATTTTGTCACTGGCTTGACACTGATGATAAATGGTGCTGTCTCTTGAGAGACACTCACCTTCTTCACACTCTCTGGTCTGTGGATTGCCATAGAAACCCTGGCCACAGGCAGAAACACAGATCTTATTCTTCAGAAACGTGGTTCTGTCACAGAGGTGGCACAGGCTGCCACTGTCACACTCCAGGCATCCAGGAGGACAAGCTGCATCGGACAGAAAGCAAAACCCCACTGAGACACTGCAAAACCAGCAAAGCCACTGGCACACAGAACTGTCCCCAGGCTCAGAGCAGGAACACCACTATATGTGTCTTACCTGCCTGACAAAAAGAGTCAAGACAGTGGGCAAAGAGTTATGAGAAAAGTTGGCAAGCAGTTCCTTCCTCATTTGCCCACCGTGCCTGCACCAAGCTCGCCATGCTCACCTGTGCACTCACGCTGTGCCTCGTCTGTGTAATATCTCTGCCCACATTTGGGAACACAAACACCGCCCAGGAGGAAGAACGGGGCTGGGCAAAGGCTGCACTTGTCTGCTTGGTGGCACCGAAGGCAGGGCTGATCACACCCTGAGGAGATACAGACAAAGAGCTCAGCCTGACAGCTCTTGGGAGACAAGCAGGGAAACATGCTGGAAGCAATGCTCCATGAAAACTCACTCTGGCACGTGTCTGATTCCTGGTAGAAAGCTGGAGGGCATTCTTCCACACAAGCTCCTTCGTGGAGGAAGTGGCCTTCCGTGCACTGCAGGCAGTCAGTCCTCTGGGGACCTTTGCAGGTGTTACAGCTCCAGTCACACTCTGGAAAAAAACAAAAATCAGTTCAGGGCAGCCCTTTCTGGGGTGCTCACCCTGCACAAGGGCTTAGCACTTGGGGTCTACAAGCTGTGGGAAAACATCACTTATTTCCATCTCTGCTGGGGAGCTCTGGAAATCTTTCAAGTCACGTGTCTTTTAAATCACTCCAAACTGCTGTTTCTGCAGCCAGCCAGTGATGCAGGATTTAGTAAGACAGAGAGAGACACAGGTAAGTACGGGAGGCCAGATAAGCCCCTGAAAAGAGACTTAGCCTGGCAAGCTCACTCGTTATCAGCTGACCCGTGACTAAATGAATTGCTGGACCTGACCCCTGAAAACTTTGCTGGCTCAGTTACAAAATCATTTACAAGAGAGCGATTTGCAATAATCTTGTTCCGCCGAAAGGCTCAAGTATGTGACAGCAGGCTGCCCAAAAAGCAAAAAAAAACTTGCAGAAACCTTGCAAGCAACCTGTCACTGAACAATTTCCCCCTTCCTGTACCCTTTTTAAAGCAGGCCACCTGCACAGCTCCCGCTGCCATCTAACAGATCCTTAGCCAAGGCACTTGCATTTATTCCTTTTTCTCTCTCCATTTTTTATTTTTTTTTTCCTTTTACTTGAAACCAGCCAGGCATTTTTCACCTCTGCAAGTCTTGGTGGAAAAATCCAGGTAGTACTGCTGAGCACAGCTCTCGTTCTGGCACTGCCCGAAGAGCAGCACCTTGGCTGCATCTCTGCACGACGTGCAGCCGGCAGCCGAGTCACAGCTCCGGCACTGCCTGCTGCAAGCTGTGGGAAGACAAGGAAAACCAGTGTCATTCCTGATGCTGTTACCCTGCAGCCTTGCTACTCCTCTTGTCCTCTGTGGAGACCTCAGGATTCTTGCTTGTTTTGTTCCCTTTCACATTCTCCAAAGGATAAAGAGCCTCATTCCATTTGGAATAAATAGGCTGGAATGTCCCTTTACGCTGCTTTTTACTTTCCTCTGGACAGGTCAGGGTAAAACATTGACCCTGAATCCAAATCTCCAGCTAAGAGCTTTCCCTGTCTCTGTTTTTTTTTTAATTTCCTTTGTGCAGCCTGCATTTCATACAACTCTCTACCCAGAAACACAGAAATTTGGAGAGCAGAGTAGACTGCTGCAATCCTTGGTGGGACCAAAGGCCCATTTAATTTCACTTAACGTTTCTACCTCTTTATGTGTGCACAGTGTGAAATTCTGGAGCTGCAGGGAGCAATAAAGGTGCCAGGAAAAATATAATTCAGGGATGTACTGAATCTAGGATCAAAGTCCAGAGTTTCAGAGTATTTCAACTCACCTCTTTGATGTCCAGGAACTAAACTTCGCAGGAGGCTGTACTAACAGTTTGGGTGATAAATACTGACATGTTAATTCAAAACACAATTTTTTAGCCAAAAAAACCTCCAAAGTAAATGTGAAAGTACCCATGTTGCTCAGTGTTTTTCAAAACAGTTCCTCGTTTTAGCTCTTCTAAAAAATGTCACAGGTCTGCATTTTATTGATGTACAAATGATTTCTAGCAAAATGTGTACCTAAAGAATCAAGTAGCTGGCTTTTAGGTGCTCTGGTGCAACTCTGATTATTCTTCACTTAAGACCACTACATGAAAAAATTACTTTTTTCAAGTGCTCCAAAGAACTAACTATTAAATATACAGTAAAACATTCTACATGAGGTCTAAATCCAGGGAAATCAGGCTACCCATGGAGGCATGCCAGAAGAGCTAGCAAAAACTGTATCTGGAAGCAAACCTGTCTGCTTGTTTTATCAGCACGACTCTCTATCTGCATTTTTAAGCCCGTGAAGGACTCGTTAAGCTTCTCACTGTTCCTGGGCCAGGATGTCATTGAGTTTAAAAATATCTCCTAGGGCCCATACGTGCACTCAGCATCTCTCTGAACCTCATTCCAACCCCAAGTTCCTCAAAAGTGCAAAGAGACTAAAATAAATGTTGAAGAGAGACCAGATTTTCTCAGCCTAGCAGCCAACCTCCGATTAAACAATCTTCATTCCCTCCAAGTGGCAGTTTCCCAGCAGCCTGGGACAATTTGTATCTCCCTGGCTTATCAGCAGCACTTGAAAAGGCACAAGTGACACTTGGAATGACAAAAATCCAACACACTTGGCCTTGAGCCCCCTGCTCCAAGGATTACAAACACTTCTTAAAAAGCCATTTGCAATAAGGAGATTAGAGTAGCTGAATTGGCTTGCAAAAAAACCCAACTATTTGCAGTTGAGCCCCTGAACCAATTTCAGGAAGGGTGCAGGCCTCAGGAACATTGCCAGTCTACCTTGATATGCTGAGGCAGGAGCTATCAACAGGAAAGCTTTTATTGGAAAGGGGAATGTTAATTAGGAAGGGAGATATGCTGGTGCAGCGAGCAAGAAGAGAATCCCTACTGCAGGAGAAAACTGAGTATTTTGCTGAGCTTGTAGGAAACCAGCCAGAACTTTTTTTTAATTCCTATTTTTTATTACTTTCTTTTTATTATTAGTATTATTGAATATCCTTTCTTTATTGCACAGGAGAAGAATGGTACAAGTCCTTCCAGCTATTTCCTTGAACTTATGTAAGGTGTCTGCATTTCTGCTGATCAGATGGAAATAATAGTTTCAGGAGAACCATCTATTTCAACAAAAGGCAGGTAAAGCTGACAACCACTTCAGTTTCCTCCTACAGGACCTCATCAGTGACAAAATTTGGTCTAGGTAGGATGACACTGATACCTGGACTCAGTGCAACAGAGATGTACTTGGGAGAATTTAAATCAGGGTAATGCAGGACTTCACTAATCTGAGTGTTCAGGTTCACAGTGACCAAACCGCTTCAGCATTCACTCAATTTTAGGTGTGTGTATTATAGAGGGACAATTCAAGCAGGGCTTTTTCCAGTTTTTTTGTAACTTTGGGCTATACCATTTGGATTTTGGAACATTAAGCCAAATAACTTTGAGAGGAATTACCCTGGGCCAGAGTGAACACAAAATAATAAAGGAAAAGGGAGGCCCTGAGAGATTCACAAAGGATAGCAAGAGTAGGCCTAATACCAGATCAATTCCACTAGATCATTAGGATCAACTCAGGTCTGTGTCTACCAAGCTGTACCTTGTTACTCCTGGGGTTTCACATGAGGAGAAATGGACATAAATGCTACAGTGCAGCTGCCAGGTATGTTTCCTGGCATGTACTGGCAGGTAGTGCAGTGGGGAGGGGGTTTGCCTTAGTAAGGACTGATTAAAACTGGTCTCAACTTGCCAAGTTTTCATCAAGTCCAGAATCCATCACAGGGAAACCTACACAAATGCTCCTGCAGATTTTTACAGCAGGACACAAAGCCTCTTGTCTTTTGAGGTCAATAACAAAACTGCAACTGTTTTGAAATTTCAACCCTGCTGTAGGCTCTTCTCCTGAGGCAGCTCATCACCTCTGTCAACTCACATCACGTTTTTAGGCATTTGAAACATTTCTTTTCCAGGCAACAGCCACAGTGAGCAAAGGAACAAGAAAAGACAGGTTGGTAACAGCACTGTGGAAAGGAGAGCAGGCTGGGGGAGAGGCACTCACGTCTGCAGGTGTGCCTGTCATCCCTGTAGTATCCCAGGGAGCAGAGCGGAGCACACGCGCCCGTGTGGGACAGAACCAGGCCGGCCTTGCAGGAGGAGCAGGACAAGGGACCCTCGCCAGTGCAGCTCTTACAGGAAGGGTGGCACCCTGCAGGGACAGCAAAAAAACAGGGCTTCTGTTCAAGGAAAAGCAGGTCTCAGGGCAAGTTTCACAGGCTTAAGCAGAAGCACTCTCAGAGACTGAGAGCAGGGATGCCGAGCACCAAAAGTTCCTGCTAAGTCTAAGCCCGCAGTGCTGCACAGTGCCTCCCACCCAAGAAAGGATCCCCTCCTTTCTTTCTCTTTTTATTTACCCTCTTCTCTTCAGCCTTCCCTTCTGAAGAAAAACCCTTGCAGGATGTGGCCAGGACCTGTCTAACAGAGAAGAGTGAAAAAAGGGCCTGCACATACATCCTTCTCATGCTTTCTCACAGCTAGCTTCAGGTTAGATCCTCTTTGTCTATGCAGGAACCATGTAGTGCTTTTCTAACAGCTCCACACTTCCCTGAAGATTCACACCCATCCCTTCATCAGGAATTGCACTGATGGAGACCAGACTATCTCCATGCACCCTCTCCCTGTTTCCCTCATGACTTTTCAGGCTCATTTCCTAGTCTGATGGAAGAGATTTAAAATATCACAGGGGCTGAGGCCAATGTACCCTATTACTTTCTCCAGAGAGGTTACACACAAAATGATTAGTCTGTTTTACTTCTTGACAGGCCTTTACCTAAAGATTGATGCCATCATTACACCTAAAATGATAGGTGGAAAATTAATCATGAGGGAGAGTGGGCAAAGGACTCAGAAGCAACCACACTGAGCTGTGTTGGGGATCTTAAAAGGCAGAATAAAATGTCCTAGAGGCTTTGACATAGTCTGAAAAATACACTACTCCTTTTAAGTCAAACCTTTAAACCAAAGGGAAGAAATGTTATCCCTAGGCTTTTATTTCCAGGAAGGCAAAACCTCTCTCTCTCTCTCAAGAGCCTTTCCAATCAAGTGACACGGAGTATGTTTCATAGTTCTGAGATCTCATTTGTCAAAAACAGGTAAACAAACACACAGCTCCCAGAATGGTGAAGAGAAGCTTTGAAATATTACCCACCCTAAACTAGATTAGGAAATGCCACTTCCTGCAAAAGGAGCATCTACATTGTGCTGAATTTCTGGTCTTGGTTCCTTTCTCTAAAACTAGAGTGCAATACCCTTTGCTCAGCTTTGAGCTTTACCACGTCTCTGTCAGGCACAGAACAAGAAAAGGAACCTGCTTACTTCTAAGAGCCCAGGGAGCAGAAAGCAGCTCAGACAATGACTGGAATGTGAAACCACACCAACAACAAAAAGTAGAGGAGATGCAGGGACACAGTAGAAAATAAAATGTGGCCTGGGTGCTGCATCCATTGCACCAGCCTGAAAAGCTGAATGGAACTGGCTTTCTGTTTTGGGAGCTGCTACAAGCCATCACCTTCTGGGCCATTATTGCAGCAACACAAGCCTCAGTAACAGACAGTAATCAGTCAGGGCGATGTTCCACCAGCATGAAACAAAAACCTGTCCCAGTGCAGCGTCCTGCCTGGTGGACAAAGCTTCTCTCCCAGGCAGGAACCACCTGGTGGAAGCTGTCCCAAGGGTGCAGGCAGCTCCCCGAGGTGTGTGCAGGAGGTACTCACGTTTGCAGGCGCCGTGCTGGGTGTAGTGTCCCGGCGGGCAGTCCGGCACGCAGCGATCCCCCAGGAGCAGGTGCCGGGCGTGTTGGCACTTCAGGCACACGCTGCCGCTGTCCCACAGGTTGGCCACGCACTGCTGGCACAGGGGGTGGCAGTCTAGAGGCAAAAAGGGACACTGAGCACAGAGGGACAGCACAGGGCTTAGCTGAGAACTGCAGGAAGGCTGTAGGGATGGAACTTTGAGAGCAAGTCCCACTACCCGGAACTCCCGCCTCTGCATCCCTCCTGCCCCATTCAGGCATCCTCTTTGCCATCCTTAAGTGAGCTTGGGAAAGCTTTGCACAAAGCCAGCTCAAAGCCCTTTGCTTCCCAAGACCTTTCTCTGACTTTGAATGCCTCTGCCTACAGGTTCCTCTCTAGCTCTGCTGGAGGCCTTGGGCATCCACCTCCCTCCATTCCCACCATGGCAAAACGAGGAGCAGAACCTGTACAGCTGTATGACCTTCTCCTGTAGTTCCTGCTGCTTGCATTTTCCCACACAAATGAGACATCCATACCCTGACACAGCCACAGCAGCCCTCAAAGCCAGGCCAAGAGTGGCATCAGAGTGCCTCAAAACCTTTTCCTTTTTCCATTTTTCCCCAGCAGGACAAGAGCTTGCGTCTCTTGACCTCTACCTGAACTTAGGTGCTTCACAAGGTTTGACAACAAGCCTTTTGTGTGCACAAAGGTGCAGTGTAAGGCAACCTGGAAGCCAAATTAATCCTCATTATGGTAATAGAGAAAATTATAAAGGAAATGACGACTGACTTGAAAGATATGTAACAATGAGGCTTGATTTGCCAGATTTCTGCTGCAGGTTCACCTTTCTGTCTTTTGTCTCCTGTGACAGCATTACTACAGGTTGTCAGGCAGTCTAGATTTACAAGCTGAACACAGGCTCACATGGGAGCCTGGAGGAGTTCTGCATCCATAGCTGCAGGAGCCTGGCCCCAGCTGATGTCTCCTGCATGTCACACACAGGTGATTTGCACCCCACACTGCTGGATCAGAAATTGATCCAGTCCTGACTGCAGGCAGGGATCCAAGCTTCTTACAGAGCTGCCTCCTTCACCTCCTGCTTTTGCAGGGTATAGAACCCATCGAGTTTGTGCCCTGTGCTCTCAGCCTTGGAGCTGGGAAATGACCAGCCAGAGTTGGGGTACAGAGGTGGAGTACTTGGAGCCAGAAAGGATCACATGCAGCCCACCTTAGGGAACAAGGACTATGAGTTCATCCCAAAGGCCCTGGGTACTTGTGATTTTATGGGCTGGAGGTGGGGTGACAAGTTTTATGTACTTAAAACCAATAAAATTAACACAAATCCAACCAGTTTTTTGTACCTCCATATTTACCTGGTAATATATTGACTCTCCTTACTGCTAAAATAATACTCTTCCAGTTGAATCTCTTGCTGGAGCCACTGGTCTCTAATAAAGAGCTTTGTCAGGGTATAATGAGTAACAAATCTGCTCAAAAGGTTTCATAAACAAAGTGTAAAAAGGAGGCTGAGAAAATGTAGGGTATCCACACAGTCAGTATCTGCAGCAGAAAACCTAAATTCTCCCAAACTAATATTTAAAAATCCAAGTGTCTACAAAACTCAGTGCTGCTGCAGCAGAGTTTCCTCTTCACAAGCCTCTATTTTTGCTCCTGCGAGTGGAAAGAGTTTTCTCAGTTACTGTTTTAGGATGAATCAGCCCCATCACTCTCTTGTTCCTTTGCAAGCCTGGAGATCAAAGCACACACAACACCAACAAAAAACCCAGGGCTGCCGCTCATGGTGAATTTCAGGGACATTGGGGAGCGAGTGAGAGAGTGAGGGAAGAACTGAAGGGCTTTGTTTAGGGAGAGATGATTTCACTTTTTCACAGCAGGCTCCCTTTGAAGCCAGTTCTAACAGAAGGGGGATGTTTTCCTTGTGCCTCTCAGTCACACCCCCCAGCCCTATTTGTTTCCTGCTTCTGCCTTCTCCCAGCCCAGCCAGTGGGCACAGCCCATGGGAACTGGGTTTTCTGGAGCCTTCACATCCCCAGCTGGCTGCAGGTCAGTACCACACAAGTTAGTTAATTCCCTTACACCCCTTCCAGTATGCAACTGGATTCTAAGGAATTCTGCCACCACTATGCTTGTAGTCCCAATGCCTCCCTCCTCATCTTTCTGAGACTGCTGAGTTTCCTCCCACTCTCCAAGCAAAATGTTCTCCTGTTCCCCTTCCAGCGGGCTCTGATTTCCTCCTTCTTCACCTCTATGCAAAAATAATCCCCATCACATTCCCTATCACTGATCTTCCTATAAATCTGCTTCCACTGCAAAATAAAATGGAAATACTTACATGGATTTCCAATCTACTTGACTTCCACAGCCTCTTAAGCTTTCTCTTAGCAAATAAAGGAAGAAAACGGTGCCCTTCCTATATGGAAATTATCTGTTACAGATTGTTCCAAGATAAAAGAGGCTGCTGGGGAGACAAAACCATCTCTGAAGTGTTTGTGAATGCTCACAAAGGAAACCAGTGGCATTTCTGCCTCTCAGCACCACCACTTGCTAAGCATATAACAATCTTTAAACACATCACCTCTCTTAGGGGGTCTCCAGGAAAGTATTTCCTGATGCAGGTTTTGTGCTGTGCTCTAAGGTGAGACCTGAGGTTTACAACAGAGCATGACTTAAAATCAGCTCTGAAAACACCACACACTTTATAGGCACCTCAACGTGCAAAAAAGTCTCTGGTCTTACAGTAATTCCAGAAAGCAAGTCAGTGTAGTTGGTTTAAAAGGATATGCAACACTGACCAGGATTTTTGGCTTGTTTTAGCTGTTGGAAAGTTTCTCTTGTCTCTCTTTTCGAAGATCTGAGAGGGAACCTGTCACTGAAACAATCCAAGTGCAATTCTGGTGAAGTGCAACCATGTTTGCAGGGATCTGCCTGCTCTGTGAGAGCTTCCCTGGGCAGTGTGAGGTGGGAGATCCAACTGGAAGGTGCCTGGCACAAAGAAGCACAGACCAAAGCTAGGAAAGGATTTTCCCTCCTCAGGCAGCTCAGCTGCTGGTCCTGTAGGAGGTTGCATGCCAGTGAGTGAGTGGAGCTAAGTCCCTCTTGCTCCAGCTCTCCGTGATGGTATCAATGTCTCTCTAAACAGACAGCAACAGCTCATTAATTTTACAAGGAACTTAAGTGTATTTCTTGTTGTTAGAGTGTCCCTTCTGGAATTTTAAGAGTAAGGCAGCAAAGCTTGTTACAGGCCCCCTCCTGAGCAAGCTCTTCTGGTTTAGCTTTGAACATTTTCCCAATTGCACACAGCCTAAGCAAGCAAGGGCCTGTGGAACACAGGGATTGGGAGAGCCCTTGCAACTGGAGTTAAGACCAGGGGATTCTCTATCAGTTGGTGTTCACAGTTTTCTTTCTAACTGCCCTTCCATGTGGTCAGGAAAAGATCAACAGAGAAGCTTCCAGATCGACAGGGAAACCTCAAATCAGAGAAGCGAGGGCAGGACAAGGTTTTCAACAGTGTTCGGGTTTTTTAGAGTGGTGATTGCAAAGCTTCCTGAAGCTGAGCTGGACAAGAGGGAGAGGGAAATCACAGAGTGTTTTCAACCTGTGAAAACAAACCCACAGAAGCTGTGAGATCCAACAGGGGATGGCTCAAGTCTCAAGCACATTCCTGTACATTTGGACTATAAAATAAAATCAATCAATTGAGCACTCTCAGGGAAGAATTGGTACAAATTCTGCATGCCCAAAACAGAGCTCAGAGACTCATTGATTTTCTAAAAGTTGAGGACATTTTATCTTTCTTCTGCTTAAATGTGAAATGCTTATTTGATTAACTGCTGGAAACAAGACCTTTTTTTTCCTATTAACAAGGCAAATGTTCCAATCCTCATTCAGGTAACATGCACAATAACATCATTAATTCCCAGGCAATGGTTTGGAGTGACAGTTGCTTTTCTCCAGCCTCTGTGAAAGATTTCCCCCTCCAGGTCCATAAAGTATGGCAGGTGACTGTGATACACAGCAGGCCCTATAAGACATAACACAATTCTGCCTGCAGGGTCGGGAATTAAAGATAAATGGGAGGATAATTGTAAAAATATATTGCTTTGGGAGGCGAAGGAAAAAGCTCTGTTAGATTCTGATGCAAATCATATCTTATGAGAGTGTCAGGAGTTTTAATGGTCTCTTTTATGGGACAGCTGCTCTTTAACTGAGAATTAATAACTTGGCAAGGGCAAATTCAGCATTTCAATCAGAGCTGAATGAGAAGAATGAGTGAAACTTAACAACCTGGATGTGGAGCTCTTTACCTCCAGGAGAACTATCTACAAACATGCTTTGCTTAAACACCACAAATTTAGCACAAAGAGCAACACACTTCAGACTGCAGATCTGGGGCCAAAGCACAACTTTTTTGTCAAGGTGAAAATCCTCAGTTATGTTCCTCTGCAAGGGTTCTAACAGCTTCAGTGGGACAAAAAAAAACATCTGGACACTGAGGGTTCCCATGCCACAAGGAATGCCCTCCACACTGCTTCCAGTTCCTGTGAGCTTCCAGCTCCTGTGACATCTCCCTGATCACCGGGATTTGGGAGCAGGAGAACTGGTCTGTGACACCAAACAAAGGGATAATTAAAGAATAAAGGCTCCTCAGAAAGAGTCCTGATTGGTGATAAATGGTACTAAGGTTTTCCCAACACAATTCACAGGGGAAGGCCACTTTTCCATGGCACTTCTTTCATAGGGAGCATAATGCAAATTAATGGGGAAATAAGGTGGAAGAAATACAGGGCACAGAGCTCTGATGTGCCAGGACATTAGTAAGTACCACTGTATCCCCTGAAATTGTACAGGACAGATACACCTCTTTACACTGAAATGCTGAATTATTTCCAGTTTGTGCTTATCTGACTCTATCTTGATTGCCCAACTCGAATTCCTAAGGAGCTGTACAGTACTTTCAGGATGTTTTCCTAATCCTCAAACACTTTCTTTCCCTGCTCTTTTTGTCTCTGCAGACAAAACAATCACTGTTGTTTAAAAGGGAGATGGAGAAATGCTTCATAGAATTAAGCTGTGGAGAGCAAAGAAACAAGTCTTTCATTAAAAAACATTCAGAAATCCAGGATAGATGTTTAGCAAAGAGAAGACTCTGTGAATGGAAATCATATTCATCTGAGAACAATAGCATCTCAATGGATATATTTATTACTTCTAATGCATTTTTCCCTTTTCTTAGGATTCCTTATCTCATTTGGAACTGTTCAGCCTGGATTAAGCCTCACACACCGTAGCCTTTTTTGATAAAGAAAAAAAAATGGCTTGATAAAGCTCAGAAATAGTTGGAGCAGCTCCCAGGATATGTTTATACGTGTCTGTGTGATGGATTAAAAGTGATTTTTCTTTTTAAACAGATAAATGCAATCAGTGGTTTCAGATGATTGGCTTAAGAGCAGGGACTGAGCACCCACACAGCATAACCCCCAATCCAGAAATCCTATTACCTCCCAAAAATGCACACAGCAACGCTTGCTGTGCCAGCTTTTCTTTAGGGCTCCATAAACTACTTCTTTGGATCTCAAACTCTAACCTAGCTCCTCTTCCTGAAGCTCTGAGCAGGACCCAAGCAGCTTTCCTGGCAGTGTGAAGCAGCAGTTCAATGGCACAGACAGCTCATCCCCCAGCAGCTCCCCTTACTCACCCACACAGTAGCCCATCAAGCTGAGGTACTGCTCCTCCTTGCAGCCTGTCCTGCACTTCCCACCATCCAGGGTGGCATGGGGGTGGCAGGTTGAGCATTCCCAAGCAGAGGGGCCATGGCATGTCTTGCAGGATGGATGGCAGGCTGAGGGAGAAAATCAACACTCCTGGTTATGCTCCCGGTGCACTCTCTCCCCTCCCTTCCCAAAAAACCAGCTCCCACCATCATCTACTCCTACAAAACATGGGCAGAAGATGGTCTAATGGCACCAGGGACTGCAGGGCTGTGGTTTGGAAGGCTCTTACATCCTCATTTTGAATAAACAAGATGAGGAATGGGTTGCCAGTTTAAGAAATGTGGTTTGTTGCCTGCATTAATCAAGGTATAGATCTAGACACAATATAAAAGAGAGAGATTGGCCCTGTCATTCCTCCCTCCAGCATATGCTTGTGCATATAAAAAAACAGACTGGGATGCACAGGGGAGGTAAATTAAACTTCTCCTGGGATTGTATGAACATCATTGTGGAGCTTGCTATGCATGAGGAAAACTGGGGCATGGTTTCTCCAGCAAGCCCTCCCAAACTGCAACCTCTGAAGCAGGAATGCCCTGCCAGCTCATTAGCCACTTCTGTCTGCCAAAACTCAACAAAGACATGGCAGAGAAAGTGGCTTAAGAATGCTCAAAAATAATTCATGGGCTGCTTTTGTATCATTCCAGCTTTAGTGACAGATGTCAGATTCCCATGCTACAGATCTGAGGGAGATAAAAATACTACGGCTACCAGCCAGTAAAAAATTCTTAAAAATTACTTTCAAAGCTCTTTAGGAATAAAAGGACACAGCTTGCAAGATGCCACTTTCCTGACACTGAAATTTTGTTTTTAAGACATTTTTATAAGCCTGAAACCGCCTAAAGCAGCACTCAGCAGTTACCTCAGCTCTAAGGTGGTAGTGCACAGCTCAGAACTGATGAATCTTTACAATGGCCTGCCAAATAAATCTATTTATAGAGTTGTTCCTTGGCTGAATAAATTGAATAAATAGAGCAATGGACTTTTTGGGAAACGTTTTTCTCTCTAAATCTGAGGCTTTTACTAATAAAAGCATTTTTTTCCCTCAGCATTGTCCATTAAAGAGTTTTTTTCCACAGCACACAAGCTAGGAGCACCATCCTGAAATCAAGCACAGAATATCTTCAGGGAAACAGTTCTGAGGAGCAAAACTGAGTGTAATTTATGATTCCAAGTGCACATCTCTCTCCCATTAGGAGGAGATTCCATTCCCTGAAATTGGACTGTCCTATTCTCCCCTGCTAATACTTAAACAGCTTCATAGGAATCAGACAGCATCTCTAATTAGACTGAGAAATGCCCCCCAGGGCAGGGAATGAGATGCAGACTCACGGGAGCAGCGGTCCTTGTGGCTGAACAGCCCCTCAGGACACGAGGGGAGGCACCTGCCCTCCAGCAGCACACCAGGAGCCAGGCAAGCAGTGCAGTCCTGGGAAGAATTCCCCACGCAGCCTGCACAGGAGGAGTGGCACTCTGCAGCAAAGGGGAAAACAACAGCACACAGAAAGACACATTAATTCTGGCTTGTTTTGCTCGTTACTGCCTCAAAACGTGGCCAGATTGCTTTCTTCTGAAGGATGACAGGAAGGTATTTTTCCTTTAGAGGATCCTCTGCTTGTGAGAGGTAGGAAGGAGTGCAAAGTAGAGAGCAGTTCCTGAAGATAAGGAGCAAGCAGAGACAGCTGCATATTTAATATTTCTTTGCACCCACGCAGTACATTACTGAAATGCAAAGCTGCCCAGCACTATGTGATGCTGTTGTCCTCCCTGGAATAGCTCTGGAGTTCTGCAAACTTACCAGCTGCTGAAGTCACCTTCTGTTATCACCCTGCAGTTACTCCAGGCAGGGTTTCTTATCACTGCACAGTTATCATCAGCCATTCTGGAGCAACACCCACAGAGGTGGACTGGCCACCTGAAACGAACGCTCATCACAAGGATGGCCCAGCAAGGAGGAGTGCAGTTAAAAACTGCACTTCTTTCCTAAATCAAACCATCTTCAGCTAAGCCATCTGATTAAATAAACACATAAACTCACTAGCCAAAAACCTCATAGTTAGTAGAGTAGCTGGAAGCTACAGGTTCCATTGTGTGATTTGAACACAGACCTCTGGACTCTGGGGAGATAAGGCACAGGGCTGGACAGAGGAAATGGAATGAAACAAAGTAATTTATACAACTACACATAGCTGGCAGCCAGGGAGATCTTTAAGGTTCCTTCCAACCCAAGCCATTCTATGACTCTACAAAACCAGCATTTTGCCCTACATAAGAACTTCTGTGTTTCTGCTCTGCACAATGTTGTGGGTTTGCTTTTCAAAGCACTGGCTATAAAATAAAAATAACTGGATTTTAAATTATGTCCACTTTTAAAATACTGTTTTTTCCCAACAGGAAGAAATGGCCACAGTAGTGTGGTTAATATTGTTATTACTACTACTTTACTTCAGTCACCATCTCTCTGACTGGTGGGAAACCACATATATTCAAACACCACAGTGCCCACTTTTCCAAACTCCAGCCTTCATGGAAATGCTTCCTTGTTGGTATTTCAGGAGCAGGGATGGCAGGTGTGCTGCAGGGCATGTAGCAGAAGAGCTTCCTCAAAAGAAAAGACTGCTGTGGGATGTCTTGACCTGCTCCAAGGGCTAAGAAGGAGAAAGTCTTTTTTGAAAAGGATTTAAGGGTTGATCCTGCTTCAAAGTAAGTCAGTGCTAAAAATCACGTACTCAGCTTCAATGGAAAGGAGCTGAGCTGTGCAGGCTTGAACACAGGCATTTAAAAACAAAGTACCTGAGTATTTCAGTCACGAGTCTTCTGTAGATTACATTTTCCCTCAAAAGCACTGGGATATGCCATTTTGAAAGTTACAGAGTTTAAAAAGCACAAAGTTGTACAAATCAAATGTGGTACAAGCTCCCCCCAAACCCCCGGGCTCTGAACAGCTCTTCTCACCTCTGCAGACTCCTGTGCTATCCACATGGAAATGGGATGGGCAGAGGGGGAGGCAAAGGCCATGGAGAACTCCTTCCCCGGGCGGGTGAGGCTGCAGGACGTCCTCGGGCGCCTGGCACCGCAGGCACTGCGCAGCCCCCGGGCCAGCACAGGAGCGGCAGGACGGGTGGCAACCTGGGCACAGGGGGAGAGAGCCATCAGAGCCACAGCTTTCCCAGGGAGAAGGACAAGGGACAGCTTTCTAGAGACCCAACAAATGAGGCCCAACAGCATCTGGTCCTGCCCTCTACTACAGAACAGGGATTTTAGAAAAATTCTTTGACATCGTTCCCCCCGCCCCCAAGGAGCAGCTCTTTTCCCGAGTAAAGCTGGTGAACAAATAAAAAAACTGCAGCCCTGTGCCACAAGCAGCCAATTCTCCTTTAATTTCTGGAACTGCAACAGTGAGCTCAATCTCATTAGGAGGGACAGAAGAAAGACCTTTGTGTGAAGGTCTTGCACGAAGCAGAAATTCACCTTTCCAATTTTCACTTTTCCCACTATTCCAAAGATGACCTCAGTCTTTGCGAATCTGCCAGATGTGTGTGGAATTTCATACTAGGTATATGCGGAATTTCATACCAGGTGTATGTGGAATTTCACCCACCGCTTAACTCGTGTTGAGAAAAACTTGGGAGCAATGTACATTTATTTCAGCAGTGTGCACAGAGAAGGAAAAAAAATGTCCCAAAAATCACTAAATCCTGGAGGTGTGAAAGTACATGGGAAAATTCACTTCTTCTCAAAGCAGAAAACAATCAGCAGGAAAGGCAGGACTCAAGCATTGACTGGTTCAGCACAGCATAAAGGAGAAACAAAACCTGGTTTACAGTAGGTGGGGAACTTATCCCAAGTACAGAGCTTACCCTTGCAGATGTTGTGATCCTGGTAAAAGCCCTCTCCACAGTTCTCCAGGCACAGGCCCTGGCGCAGTGCCAGAGGGAAGGAACAGGAGGTGCAGTGAGTGGCCAGAGGTCCCTCGCACGTGGAACATGAAGCGTGACAAGCTGATAGAGAAACAGAGCACACAGAGCTGAAACATCCCATTTTTACTCCTTTAGAGTGGTGTTGCTGATTACAGCCTTCTCCAGCTGTAGAAAACTCCCATCTGGAATGAGACTCAGCTAGGTGAACTAATGAGGGCAGAAGTGCCCATGTATTAATAAGTATTACCAGTAATAACTCCCGCTCACACGATGTTGTGAATGTGTATCTCAGCATGTTTGGCAAGGAAAAGAGGTTACTTGAAACAATCCATCACAAGTGAACCAAAGAACACAAAAGAAAATCAAATTCCCTGTCCTCCCTCCCATTTCTGTGCTCTCAAAACTCCCTCCCCATGTCTGGGGAAGAGCAGACAACACGAGGAGGGTGCCCTGAGAGCCTAGGAAAAGGTCATGCAAAAATACCCCTCTTACCTGTGCACCTTCCACTGCTGCTCGGGAAATGTCCCTGTGGGCACTGAGGGAGGCACTGCCCCTGGTGCAGCAGCTTCCCTGCAGCACAGCTCACACACCTGGCTGCCTCTGGAGAGCACCTCTCGCAGAACTGGCCACAAGCTGCCAGAGAACAGCTCATTAATGACAGGCAAATAGCAACAATTTTGCCACCAGTTCCAGCTTTTATACTCTCTCTAGCAAGCTGTGGCCCAGACACACCTGTGTGACCCACACACCTGAAGCCCAACAAGCCCTGACTGACCATGGATACTCCTCCCAAGCAGCCAGAGGTGGTTGCCAACAGCAATCCAGGTTAGACTGGAATGCATGTGGTAAATGTGAGATTCCTTATTTGAGATTTTTTTCCCCCTTCAGGATCTGTTTGACTTAAGTCTTTTAATTCCCTCTAGCCGCCTCTTCTCCCTTTTTCCCAGCAAACCTTCCCAGCTCCCAAGGCACATCTGCTGTGCAGGTACTATAATACTGTGATGCTGAATTATAATTAAATTTACAGAAACCTGCTGGCAAAGGCCATTTTTCTTTCTGCAGACAAATGGATTTGTCAAGCCCTCAGAAACAGCCCAGCTTTTCAAGCTGCTCGGCGAGAAAAAACCCCTCCAACCTTTCAGCATCTGATTAGTGTAAATGAATTAATAATCTCACAAACAAACAGCAGCCTCCCTCATCCCCTGTGAATGCTCAGGGTGCAGCTGGCTTGTCAGACATGAATAAAGCCCCAGCTGCTGCACGGCGAAATGAAATATTGATTCCTGCTTGTGCAGAGCATTCCTCTCACAGGTATTTACCAGTGCAGACACCATCCCTTGGGTAGAACCCCTGGCCACAGCTGGCCAGGCAGAACCCAGCTTGGAGCACGTGTGATGGATCCTTGCAGGATAGGCAGTGGCTCTCAGCAGCTCCCCAGCACGAGGAGCAGGACTCGTGACAGGCTGCAGGGGAGAAAAGTGCAGGATTAGCCAACAAGCCACTTCCAACAGCAAAGGGTCTGCACCACTGCACTTCTTGGCAGGTTTGCTCAGGCTTTCACTGCTGCAGAAGATGAAAAATAACAAACACAACCCATCGCTGCTTAGGTTGGAATCTTTCATCCAAGCCATCCCAGCAGGACAATTTCCAGCTGTGTTTTGCACATGGAATGTGGCAGCAGCACAGACCAGAGCAGTTACTGTAGCTGTTATCAGCCCAGGACGAGTGTTAGGAACACTGTAAAATCCCTGAAGCACAAAGGGAAATAGGAAGAAATCCCATCACAGGCTACTTAAAACCCAGATCCCTGGGGTGGCTGCTGACAGTAACCCAGCTCCAGGCACAAACACAGAACTGTGCTGCAGGGCTGCAGTCAAGGTTTGGCAGAATGAAAAACAAGCCAGGCTTCTTCTAGAAACAACTCATCTTGTCCTGCCAGGTGCAGAAGGAACTGACTTATCAGGAATCCTCATATGCTCAGCCCAAGTAATTCCTAGGGAAAATATGGGACACAGATTCCTATTAAATCCCATGCTACCAGTGTTGCAGGAACGGTGCAAATCACAGTGCTTGTTGCTGTCAAGGGTTTGGTTTTTTTCCTCAATTACACCCAAATATGTTCCAAAGATGTTCTTCAATTCAATATTTCACAATAAGGCAGGTACATGCTTGTGCTCCCAGTCTGTGGCAGGTGGGAGAAAAGGGAACTTCTTGATGTTTGCCCTGCCAACACGTCTGAAGTTGCAGCCACCCAAGAAAAACTCATCTGTGAGTACATCAGTGCAATACAGGAACCTGCAGGCACAGCAGCAGCTCATCCACAGAACTGAGAGCACATTATATGTGAGTCATATGGCACAGGGGGGCACAACACCCCATCCCAGGGGATTTCCCTGCTGCCCAAGGCAGGGAAGAGCTATCAGCTCCATCTCACACGCAGGGAACTGAACACCTGGGGTTAGAACAGGGAGTGTTCAGGGGGCAAGACACAGGACATTGGAGCTCATGCCCAGTACATGATCCTTGGGCATTCTGGATGCTCCTTCTCCACACTTCCACCTTGGTTTGTTTTCCCTTTTTTTGTCTTGATTAGCTGCTTGCTCTCCCCCTTCTCACCCTCCTGCATGTTCTTTCCCTCCACCTCTTTCCCAATCATTCCAGAATGCTGTGGCTCTTCTGGTTCCTGAACACCCCAATGTGAGGGGTGTCTCAAAAGGACCCTGCCTGGGCACCCTGTACTGGACAGGATCTTCCCCTCACAATCCCAACACAACAAACACCAACCCTCCCATCCCAAGGCAGAGCCTGAGCACAGTTTCCTGCTCCAGTCAATAATTTCCCTTGCTGCTAAAAAAGAAAATGCATCTGATTTCAGCTTGGATGATTTCTCAGGGCACGTCTACACTCGAAAGTTAATGGCAGAGTATGAGTTCATGCTGTAAATTTCTAAGTAGTGAAATGTCCTCACTTCACCTTCCAGACCTGACTGTGTTGCTCCTCTCTGAGCTCACTCTAACTTTCAACGTGTTTTTGAAATAGTGGGTGCCAGGACTCGAATCCTTTAATTGCAGACTTCCCACTGCACAGTTGGGACCCCTGCCTGTTCACCTGCCTCAGTAATGTCAGCACATCTGAACATTCCCAGTCACTTGCAAAGTTCTCAACTCCTCCCTAGAGGTGCTGCTCCTTTCCAAGAGACACTTTTCCCTGCTGGCAGCCTGACAGTGTTTTTAAACAGCTACCAGTTGGCTTTTGCTGGGCCTTGGCAAAGCCCTGTGAGGGGATGAAGCCCTGGCACAGGTTGCCCAGAGAAGCTGTGGCTGCCCCATCCCTGGAAGTGTTTAAGGCCAGATTGGATGGAGCTCCGAGCAACCTGGGATAGTGGAAAGTGTCCACAGCAGAGGGGTTGGAACACAATAATCTTCACAGTCTCTTCCAACTCAAACCATTCTGTGATTACACACCCTGGCTCCTTCAGCACTGGATCATTGCCAGGCTCAGCAGCTGCTCCTCACCCAAACAGCCAGGCACCAGCTCCACAGAAAGAACAGGGGAAAAATGGAAGCATTCCATGATCCACTGTCAGCTCAAACATCTTTGCCTGCAGCAACCAAGTGGCTGTGTGAAAATAAATCAACAGAAGTGACTGCACGGCCAGGAAGCTGATTCCATCCCCCTGGCTATTTCCAGTTGGGATTTGTAGGGGCTCTTTTGCAGCTCACCAAACTTCTGCAGACATCTGAAACCCTCCCCGGTCTGACCTGAGCAGGATACAATGCCAGTGGTATCCCAGTAAAAACACAGAAGGCATTGCTGGGCTTTGGGGTCCCATGTGCCACCTCTACCCTGCATTCTTCCCTGGGAGCTGGGCAAGCTCAGCTCTGCTGTGCTCAGCCCTGGATCCTGGAGGATCCTCCACAGCCCAGGGACAACAGGGAAAAGCAACACATAGGAAGCAGGAATCCAAGTGCTTTGCTCCAGAGCGAGCTGGGTCTGTTAGTGTCAAGTTACACACTTCAACATTCACATTTTGGGAGATGAAAGCAGGAACACTCCAGTTCTGCCTGGGCTTTTGAATAATCCTGGAAACATAAATAATTAAGTTAGAAAAATGCAGTGAGAGCATTGAACACTGCAAGTCCTTCGAGCCCTTCCATTCTACCATGCACACATAGTTTATTTTTGCTTCCCTTTGCTTTGCCTTTGGTGGGGGAGTTCTGTTTCTGCCAAGGGAGAACCCCACTCTGCCTGGCACAAACTTAACCATGAACTTTAAATCCACTGCTACATAACTGAACTTATTACCTTTTATTCTCAATTTTACTTTCTCTTAATTGTTTTAATTCTTCACAAAAGCAAATGGAGGGATGGGGACAGGAAACAACCCCAGTGTAGGATTCAAATAGGGCAGAGATCAAACAATTGTAATCAAAAATTCAAAAGAGACTCAATTAAACTAGATGTTGCAAAACATGAACAAAAGGAAAGGCTAATTCACTGTGATTTTCCACAATGCAGACAACAGTTTTCCAACAAGAGGATAAAGCAAGAAACCTGGTGTTAAGTCTGTTTCAAGTCCGGAGCAAATTCCTCAAGAGGGAATTTACTAGAACTACAGCAATTAACACAGTCTAGTTCATCCTTTCTGTGATTTTGGAACATGCTTATTGTAGATGTTAAAACCATTATGAGGAAAATCTTTTGGAGCAGTCTGAGGCCCATCTCGACAATCTGATTAGAGATTTGCAGAAATAAAGAGGATACAAGGAAAAGAGTGAATGGCCATGAATTACGGACCACATCTGACACGTAAGACTTTCTCCACTGGTTTGACTTTATGCAGAAAATGCAGCCAGGCAGAACTAAAGCAAATTGGTTTAATTCCCTTGAGGAAAGAGGAACAAATTTTCCCAGCAACATTCAGCCACAAGCATGCGTGACTGCAAATTTGGATGGAGTGCACAATCAGTAATCTAAAAACCAGCAATAAAACGAAACATTAGCCTTTCCCTACCCCTTCAGCAGTGCATGGGCACTGCCAATTAAAACACCACGAGCAGGTGGAAAGGAAATGATAAAATAAAACCAAATGAAGTAGAAGATTATTTGATACTTAAGCCTACAAATTCTTTTGGACTGGGTCTCTCTTGTCTGTTTATACATCCACAATGGTGTCCTGGGCTGTAGCAGCTGCTGGAGGACAGAGGTTTTTCAGACTTTCAAAACCTGAAACAAGTGGTCAGCTCTTCAAGGGAAGCCACTTCAGAAAAGGAAGCCCAACTTACCATTTAAAGTGCTTTGCCCTGAAATGTGCCAAAAGCCCGCAGCCTGTATTTGATTCTGAGCAGGAGGATTAGTTCCAAATAAATTAAAGTGATGGCTCAAAAGTTAAGCATTTGCTCCACCCCTCTGCTCAATAAGAGCTGCAGAAACAATTAGAAGCCTTCTAAAAAGGCCAACATCAAGATGAGAAAAGTGTTAATTTTAGAGAAAACAATTAAACTGCCATGATGAAAAAGCAGCTGCTTTACAGTTTGGGAAGAGTTTAAAATATTTCCAAGGAGCAGGGGAAGCTCATAAAAGCACTGTCATAGTTCCATCAAAGAGAAAGCTAACTTTCCTATCTTACTCTCAGTCTTTCCAACTGCCAAGATAAAGGATTGAGACACATCTCAGTGTTTTAAAGAATTACCAATTTACTTTGTAAAAATGCTTCCTGAGAGCAGCAAGCTCAGTGCACTTCCAGGAGGAGTGCACAGTATGGATTGAATGAATGGCAAAACAAAGCAGGAAGCTTCCCCAGAAAGTATCTCCTGAGTCCTATCAACCCCTCACCCCTCCAAAGTACCAGATCCTGAAAGGTGTGGCATGAGCAGGCAGAGGCAGTCAAAGAATCACACAACAGAACTGACCCACTGAGGAATTGTCACAAATATTTCCCCAAGCAGTGATCAATGCTACCCTGTATGACTTGGTTCCTCTGTTCACTCACTCCTCCCTTTACTCTAGGGTGAACATTAACACCCATGTCAACAGCAGACACCTCAAGAGAGGGCTCTCATAGCCCAGGTAAAGTTTTGCCTGCTGCTTTGCCATCACAGAGGACTGCAGCCCCTTTTGCTTCGAGGTACCTGTGCAGAGGAGCTGATCCTGGACATAGCCCTCCCCACAGGAAGGCACACACTGCCCGTCTTTCAGCAGCAGGGGTGCCTGGCATGAGGAGCACTCAAATCCATTGGTGCAGGCTGAGCAGGTTTCATTGCAGGCTTCCAGGAGAAAGAAGAGAGAAGAAAAATCAATCCCAAATCTGTGATGTAGAAACACCCTCCCCCAGCTCTGACAAAATGAGACTATTTTGCCTCATTTTATATCAAGAATTCAAGAATTTGTGTCTGCTCCCACCTGAAACCTCCCAAAGTCTCATGGTTACAACACAGCACGTGCCTGGATGCTTTTCCAGCCAAAGTCTGGCAATCTCTTTAGGATGACCCCATGGGATCCCACAGCCAAACAGCATGCAGTAGAGAAGGGGGGGGGTTCTAATCCCTTGCAGAACTTACCCAAGCAGGCCCCCCCGTGCTGGTAGAAGCCCTGTTCACACGTCTCCACGCAGCGCCCGTCCTGCAGCCGCTTCCTGGGGTCCCGGCAGGAGTCACAGTGATCAGAGGCCTGGGAGCAGCTCACACAGTCTGGGTGGCACTCACCTGGCACAGGGGCAACACACAGAGCAGTGTTGGCAGCCAGGAAGGAGCAACACACAGCAACTCCAAAACCAAAGTGAAATTTACCATTTGTTTCCCTGGGTGGTGCAAGGTGTGTTAGCTTAGGAGTGGGTTTTTATATATTTATATACTAGATTATATCAAAGGGCTAAAGGTTTTATTGCTCTATTCAGTATGTGAGAGGCTGTTATATAGACTCAAATTTTCAAGGCAATTGATTAAAAGGGCTATTCACTGCCCATATGGTTACTCAGCAGTGAAAATTGTAAGTCACCAAGAATCAACGGCCCAAAGCAACCTGAATTTGAGATTCCTAAAGCCAAACCCTGCAGGTAAGTCACAACTCTGTGTCCATGCCAGGTCAGACTGCTCCCCCTCCAGAAAAACCTTGATGCCACAGCACCACAGAAGGACTTCCTGACCACAGGTACATGGAGAGATACAGAACAGAACAATTTTTCTCTAGCTACAAAAAAAGCCCCTCTGCTCCCAGCCAAGTGCTCTCAGCGAGGCCCCAAGCCAAAAGTTCTCAGTGAGAGGGAATATTTGCTGGTTTTAACATAAATACAGCAATGCCCAGGGCTTTTTGCTTTCTGCTGGCTGAAAAGGAGTGGGTTCTCCCTGCCAGCTTCCCCCCACACACATCTCTGAGAAGCAGCAATCAATTTTTGCTGGCTTTATGTAAGAAGATGCAGCAGGGGCTGGTGTTCTGGGCTCACAGATCAAATTGCTGCAGGCTGACTTTTGCATTTGTTTCTCATCCCCCACCATTGCAAGACAGAAAAAACACAGGGGGAAAAGAGCAGGTTTGGGTAAGTTACCATTCAGGACACAAAAGTGCAGGCTTGGCTCTAGATGTCCAATTCCATGACTCCAAAACCTGGATTTTCCAAAATGCTACCATGATGGAAGCTAAAAGACCACTGTTTTAGGCTAACCAGGAGACAGAGGCAATTCTTGATAAGGAGAAGGGAGAGGTGCTGAGAATACGGTATCATCTATCCTTTCCTCAGCAGTCTGTGCAGATGCTGCTCCCTCTCAAAAATCCAGAACAATTCCATCAGAACTTTCCAAACCCTGTTTTTCTCACTTTTCTTTCTGCAGTGCTTTGCATTTCCATTTGCATGCAGCAAATAACAAGCTTTAAAACAAGAAGATGGCAAATGTGCCCGGGCACTCCAGCACAATTAAACTGTGAAGCTATTTTCTTTTTTACTGAGATAAAGCATTAACTGGAGCACCCTGATAAAACCAAAGTTATGTGACTGCAACATGAAGAGCTACCAAAAAGAACGAGCAACCCACAGCTAAAGCCTCCCAACCATGAAATGTAAATCCAGGAGAATGACAATATGCTGGAGAAAAAGGAATTTATAGGCAAAATTACCATATAAGCCAAGGCTATGCTAGTCTTTCCAAACAATTATTAACTGGCAGCCATTCAGCCTCAGGTGAGCTTGTGGCATTAACAGTGTATGCACATTCCTTCTTCTTCCCACTCCCAAGAAATAATCAGGAGCCCATAAACTCCAAAACTCACGCTAGGATTCAGAAAGAAGCAGTGGAAGAAAAAAGAAAAAACACTTCTAAAACACCAAGCCTGAGGAGAAATTCTTATGCCAAATGAAAGCTGTCATTTAAACCAGGGGAAGTCACTGGGAGCCTCAAACTTATCTAAGAACTGAATTGTAGGGAAACGAGTTTATCAGCAACTGCAAACTGGGGGCAAGATAAGATCGGTGCAGAGGGAGTGGGGGCTGCAGGGATTCCAGAGGAAGGCAAGGGCTGCCCTGGCTCTGTACCTGGCTGGCAGCGTGGGCAGCAGTCTCCCTTGGCCTCCTGAGGTCGGCTGCCCCGCGGGCAGGGCGGGCAGGAGCGCTGGAAGCAGGTCACCGCCGAGTCCCGGCACTGGCACTCCCGGCACGGCCCTTCTGCCCAGGTCTGCCCGTTCTGCAGGAGAAACACGGCTTCAGAACACCTCGGCACCGAGTGGGCTTGCCAGGCATGGAGATCTCCGGGAGAAACGGCACAGAAGAGAGACAGCAGGCGTTTTAAATGCTCACAAGGCTCTTCTGCCAGTTCCTCTCCCAGAAAGGACAAAGCACCAACTAGAAAAAAACTCACGCCTCAGTGTTTTACCTCACCTGGGGCAGAGAAAGGGACCTGAGCAAAGAAAGGCTCAGCACCTTATAAAATAGCCCCAAACAATATTAAATTTCCCATTTCTCACATGTGTTGGCAAAGAGCAGCTATCAGCTCCAGCCCTCATGTGTGAGGGCAATGACAAGGCCACTACTTGAATATTTAAACTGAGATAATCAGTGTTCCCTTTCTCTTTAACTTCAGAGGGAAGTTCCATGAAAATATTAATAATGGGCTCCTGTTGCAGTAAAGATTATAATCAGTGGGATACATTGGCAGAAAGCTACACACTGCCCCAGCTCTGTAGCTTCTACTTGATAGGATTAAAATCAACTATCTTTATGAAATGTGCAGGAAATCTCTGAGTAGGGATATTAAATATTAAAGGGAAATGATTGATTGAACTGGACAAAGGAGACCAAGGAAAACTGAAATTCTGCAGCAGATGCACACAAGTGTTTCTGCAAACTGTAAAAGCAATCTGCAGGCTATATTAATGGATTCATTTTCTGCCACACTAGCAAATAATATCCTTCTCAGAACCAGAGGGGGAGAGCCAACCCCTCCAAACCTGTGTGAGCAGAACTCACCATTCCCTGCTGCAAAGTATAAGGATACTCACAGCTTTGGCATGTTCTTTGTAAACACAGTCACTATGGCTGGACATACATTCAGGACAGCACTTCCCCTCTAAGTGAATTAATTCTTCACCCTGTGAAGAAGAGAAAGGTTGCAGCAATTCCAACGGAATCAACATCGCCAAAACCACTGTGGAATGCTGAGGCAGAACAGTTCTTGCCTTGGAATGCAATCTCCAGTATCTAATTTCACCTTATCTTCGCCCTATCCCACTTCATCTCTGTAGGTATAGTTTGGAAAATGTGCTTGGCCAATGTTGCAGCTGCAGAACAAACCTCAGGAAAGGCCTCGGAATTCAGCGATAAGGCCATTACCTCATCCCCAAATCCCACAGAGAAATACTCCCCCTTTTTACTGGGCATCACTAGGATTTCACCCGACCAACCTCAAGACTTCAAGGCATAGAGGCTTACCTTCATTTTCAATGTTCTACTTTTACTTCCCCAAGAGAATTTCAAAGCACATGCTCTATTTATCCCAGATGGAAAAAGCCTGTTCTTTGTCACAACTGTACAGCTCCGCAGATTCCACTTAAATAACTTCAGTTTGAAGATAAGAATTTAGCAGCAGGAGAAAGGAATAAAGTGCCCCAATTCACCACAACTCTTTGTGCCCAAGTGTAAGCTGAATATTTAGAAAAGAGAGAGATTTTTTTCCTAGGGAACCAGGACACAGTTCAAAAGAAACAGCTTCAGTTTCCAAGATTACCAGTAAGTTTTTCTGATTTATGCCAATCAGGTGTCTGTTCCAGGATAATTTTCCCTGTGCCATACTCGCACACTCAAATTCTGTGAGGGAATTATTAAAGACACACAGAGGGTAGCAGCAGCACTGGTCATTGTTAGGGTCACAAGGGAGAGCACCTGAGCTTGGCCACACTCTGGCATCCCTGGTGCATTCCTGAGCAGGGGAACAGAGGAAAACCACCTGGTTCCTAGTCACTGAGGACCACACACGGCCTAAATCTCTCCCTGCTGCTTCTATACATCTCTGCTCTTCAATTACTCCAAAATGCCTTTGGCAGGGTTTGGATCTCATGTCACTGCTGTGTACTGTAAACTCTGCCATCCCCACCCACATCCATAAACACATGCTATAGGAAAACTGGGAGCAGCTATCCATGGAACACGGCTTGCCTAGCCCCAAAAAAATGCAGCCACGCTGCTCTGCCAAGGCTCAGAAAAGGGAGAGGCTGTGGGAGATAACTTGTGGCTTTGCTGCAGAGAGATTGATCATATTTCCAGGTGGAGAACATGCTCACAGACTGCTGAAAATGGCTTTTTGAGGATTAGGTCAGAATCACCACGGACATTTTGCTGGGTGAGGTTGTTTGAAAGGGTTTGGAGCTAAACCTCTTGCAGCTCCTATCTGTGGCCTCATTACATTTCCAGTAGGAGGATGTGACTAGGAAATTAATAGTGCCTTATGAAGAGAGAAACCCAAGAGCTCAGGTCAGCTCTGATTTATTGAGACAGGTGTCTAAGTAAACAGATTGCAACTTCAGAAGGAAAATAGAAAGGAAAAAGAAAACATGGCATTTGCTTTCTGAGTAAATATTTTCTTGTAATTAATTAATACACACCTTGCACTACTGAGGTAAACTATGACTGAACATGACTGGAGGGGTTTTGAACCCTACACATTAACATCTCCAGCTATTGTTCTGGAAGACACCCCTGGCTTTTCTGAATAGTGGATTTTTTTTTTTTTTTTGTCAGTACCCAAGATGTGAGCATGAATATTAACTAATCCTCCCCACTGAGCCATGACAGCACGCCATCATCATTAGTGTAAATGATCCAATTTACAGCCAGGAGCACGCAGGCAGCTCGCTCAAACAGCTGCAAGTGCACGAGATTTTATGACAACCACAACTTTTCATCCAGCAAAATCTCTCTGTGCAGTTTCAGGTCAGGTGATCAGCAGCAGCACCATGGCAGGGGTGACTTTGGGTCCCAAACTCAGGGCATTTTGGCTGTTTCAAAGGCACAGCCACAGGTGAACATCCACTTTTATGCCTTGATGCACCCTTTTGTGTACCATTTGGGAGTCCACGTGTGGATTTTCACTCATGAACACTCATTAAAACAAGCTAATCCAGTGAAACCATTATGTCTGGGTTTTGGCTGGACCTCAGACACTCCACGAGGGTAGCTGCTCTGCTCAAGATTTAGCACACACAGGTAGGGTCACCAGAAAATAGTGGTTTTCTGAGGCAGAAAATGCAGGAGGCCACATTTCTTTCCCTTTTCCTAACTCACACTGTGAAGTAGTAAGTATAAAACAGCTAAGAGCCCACCTATTGGAAGAGATCATAGAATCACAGTAAGGCTTGGTTTGGAAGGGACAAGTGGCTTTGAGCACTTCCAGTCATAGGGCAACCACAGCTTCTGTGGGCAACCTTTGCCAGGACTTCACCACCCTCACAAGGGAGAATTTGTTCCCAATATCCAATTTAAACCTATTTTCTGTGAGTGAGAAGCCATTCCCTCTTATCATGTCACTCCAGACCATTGTAAAAAGTCTCTCAATCTCTCTTGGAGCCCCTCAGGTACTGGAAGGCCACAATTAGGTCACCCCAAAGCCTTCTCTTCTCCAGGATGACCAATCCAAATCCCCTCACCCCATGCAGTGGCAAACAACACAGAAGTCTTATCCCACTGCAAAAAAAGCCAATTCAAAGCATATTTGTACGTGTGTGGGTGAAGCATTCAACCCTATCTAATGCATTTTGCACATCCACTGCAGAGTAAATATAACATAACCTGACAGAGGGGGTATTAGTTTTGGAGTAAACGGCACTGGGAATAAAATACCTTGCCAGCCTCACTTCCATGCTGAGAGTGACATGGAAAAAATGAAGAAAAGTAGAACACTGACTTCCATATCCAGCTACCTTACTGAAGGCCACTGTAGCATGCAAAATGAGGATAAAAGGAATGTTTCTTAGGCTTTTAACCATCTCTGACCTGCACATCTTCCCCATGTTCAGCTCCTGTAAGTCCAGTGATCACCACTGAATCCTCTGTGTGTCTGACCCTCCACTACAGCAGGCAGACACAGCATGGGAGGGAATCCAAGTTAAATTAGTCACTGATTCACATTGGTTTGCTTCCCAATGGAAGCCCACTGTGCAAACTTGCACAGGAAATTTCAGGTTTGCTCTCCTTCCCTGTGAAATGTTTTTGAGGGGATGGCACAAAACAAGGGCCGGTTCTTCGAGTGCCTCAAGTCGAGAAAAAAGAAAAAGGGAGGGAGGGAAAAAAAAAAAATCCCCAAGACTTGGGAAGAAAGCCTTGATAAGAAAGCCTTTCTCACCTTGGCACACTCCACTTCGGCACACTCAGCTCCCTGGCAGGTGACTTGCCCCTCCTGGCACATGCAGAAGTCACAGCGGGTGCTGTTCCACATCTCTCCGTGGTACCTGACAGTGCCACCATCCAAGCAGCTCCCTTTGGAAGAGACACACTCCTCACAGCACTTCCCAGGGCGCTGCACCTTGCTCTGCCCCTAAAAACAGCAGCCAGCAGTGAGCAGGGCTCTCTGAAGCCCCTGGCACAGCAGAAGATGCAGCTGGGCTGTCAGAGGGCGGTGATTTTTCAGTACCTCCTCACAGGTGACAGAGCCACAGGTCTCCCTCAGACACCTGACTTCCCCCCTCTGACACACACACGTAGTGCAGGCATTTTTTTGCCACTGCTCCCCGTGCTGTTGAGAAAGAACATGGATAGAGCTGTTAAACACTCTTGGAAAACAACCAAATTCCTTCCAGAAATCTGAGCTGCTTATGGAAGATGATGGCTCCTTCTGCATGTCTGTATCAGATAATAAACTTTCCTTAAAAAATGCTCATCTCTACATGCTCAGCAAACAGGAAGAAGAGGGGCTGAGGTCTAGATGACATTGTGGGTGTAAATTTCTCAATAACTGCAAGCTAGTGGCGCTGGGGAGGCATTAACTACTATTATTAGCCATAAGAAATCATTGACAGAAAATCCCACATACATACATGCATTAAACAATTCACTCAATTAATTCCAGATGACACAATGAAAGCTATAAATACTTTGACCACCAGTGCTGTCTGCTTTCCTCCCTCAAAACAAGCATGGAAAGAAAGTGCCTCATCTGCTTTGCCCAGCAAACTTCCTTTCTGCTGGCCAGCAAATTCTTATCATGTCCTGATTTCTTTCAACTCTCCTGCCTTTCCAGGAGGGAAAAAAAGCAGCGTTTGTAGTATCAGTGCTGGCAGAAAGTCAGAGGTTGGGGAGAAGGGAAAGAGAGATGTGCCAAATATCGGGAGTGGTTGTGGTGTGGTTTGTCACAAGTCACCTGGAACGTTCTTCCCGACACCGAGCAGGGCTTGGGGACACATTCTGGGCAGCATTTTCCAGGAGGCAGAACCATGACTTCCTCCTAAACAGAAGGCAGAGACAAGGAAAAGAAAGCATGAACAGTTAACATCAGTGCTTGGAATTCCAAGCATTTAGCATCCAATGGATAACCCTCTGCCACTCAGGGCTTCATTTTGGCCCAAAAAGCAGCACAGGAGCAGAGAAAAAGGCTTGAAAGATGTTTTCTCCACCTCATTTTCCAGGATTATTTAGATGGGAACTGAGATCTGAATACATGGAGAGATGCAGATAAATTAATACATATGGCATAAAGTGCTTATATTCAGGAATACAGGTATACAGAGGAAAAAATAATTATACAGCTATGCAGGGGAGCACAATAAAGGAGGAGATGGATGAGAGAAGATTTTGCCTGGAATTGCCACATTTTGAGGTTTTGAAGGTGTGATTTACACTCACCACCCCTCAGGCATCTGCAGTGTTTTAGTTAAATCCATCCATACTGTGTGTGCAGATGCTAAATTACGCTTAAAACTGGATTTTTCCAATTTCAATTTTTTTACGATGGATTTAAATCACGTTGGAAAAGGCTGACACTTCACACCAATATTGCTTTTCCTGCATCCCTCAAATCCAACCATCCAAAACCTGGCTAATTCCACTGCTCCCAGTCCATGTACATCCAACAGTTGGGAATAGCACTCTTCATCAGTCAAACCCTGAGCTTCCAAAGACAGAGTGGAAGACTTTGCAAAAAAGTCTCCAAGAAAAATTTCCCAGCACAGATAAAAGACCTTTTTTGTGTATTTTGGTGGCATGCAACAGGATTTTTGGGCATTCTTCTCCCTCAGCACCTAGGGAAGAGCAAAGTTATCAGAAATACGGAAGATGAGAGTTTAATCCTGGGAGAATTTTTGTCTTGGCTTTTGATGGAGTGGAGAACAAAGGAAGGGACAGAGATAAAGGCCCATGCAAGAAAATGTTAGGCTTGATTGAGGTCAGAACAGGTTCCTTGCACTTCCTGATAATGTCCCTTCCTCTGGGAAATGTCTGTGGTAGAAATGCCTGGAACACCATCAGAACTGGCTTTCTGCTGCATTAACTTGGATGCTGCCAGCCAATTACTCTCAAATACATCACAGCAACAACACAGTCACTCCTGATAACATAAATTAGATCCTAGTGATTAGCTGATTAAAAATTAGTGCAATGGCTCAGCAGCTAAGGCCAGTCCACTTGGAGTGGGAAAGGAGGGATCTAAAGCAGGCATAAATCTGTTTTAATGCAGAGTACTTAGTAAATTAATACTAATTAAATATCTCAGGACAAAGCAAAACACAATTAACACACACACACAAACAGGTGGGGTTTATCTGTCCCAAAAAAAAAAAGTGTTAATTGTCCAAACATCTGGTCCAGTAACAGAAAGCTGGGAAAGCTTCAACAGAGGAAAAGGTTTATGAGTAGCACTGCTTTTGATTTTGTCAGTGAAGAGCTCTCACTCAGGGAACTTCTGGATTCATCACTGGATATATTAAAAATCCTTGGAAAATGGCAGTCCTTAAAACATAAAGTCAAAGTCAGAGAAAAGGATTTCCAGGGAGACAGTTCCAGGAATGCTGCTGCAAAAGCCCCATGAAAAAGATCCAAAGAGCACGGTCACATCCATCAGCACTTCCAATGTAATTCCAGAAGAATTCCAAAGAATTCCAAAAATTGAGTGATTTGCCCGGAGTCTGGAGTACTGTGAACAGTTTGCTGCCTTTACTAACCCTGGGTAGAGTCTTGTATGGTTTTGGCTGTGTTGATAATTGCTAAAAACTCGTCACTTGTCTACAGCAAAGACCTTGGAGACAGCAGTGTCCCTGTTCTCCTAACTGGACTAAAACCATGAGCTTGCCCAACTCCCCAGTTTTGCTGATTTCTAAACACGAACACACAGAAGGAACACTGCTCTGAAACTTTTCTTTCAGCTCAAGTTGCCTTGCATTTCTGGAGGCAAAAGTGGAATTTCATCCATAGCTGACTACTCTCAAATGCATTTCTAGAGTTCCTGTACAAAAGAAAACAACAGTAACAAGACCTGAAAACCAAACTTTCCAGCTGCAAACCAAACACTGAAATTTGTGAAGATAAACCCCATTGTAAATCTTGTGTTTTCATTCCTTTGCTCAACAGAAATAAAAACATTTCCTGATGAACTCCAGACCACTTTTTTGAGTACAAAACAAGAAGTGGTTTCTTTAGACAGAATTCTTGCCTAATTAACCAGCAAAGGGATGATAAAAACAAAATTATGGTGAAAGAAGGTATTAAGGAACAGGCACACAGGCTTCACCATCACTCCACACCATTTCTGCAGGTCAAGTATCTCTTTTCCAATTCACCCGCTTGCCCCCCAGAAGCTTTGCTTGCTGATTTGGTTCCCAGCGTGAGAGATGCACACTGCCCATAGAAAAGGAGGTGTTGAGGAACATTCCCAAAAGGTTGGAGGGTCCTGACCTGGCTGCAGAGCAGAGGCTGGCAGGAAGCTGTGGAGCACTGAGTTGCACCATCCCTGCAGACACACCTGGAGCACCGACCCAGGCTCCAGCCCTCGCCGTCCTGGAACACGTGGCCATCAAAGGAGCAAGGCTCTAAGGGACAGGGAAACAAGGGGGAGGTTTCTTTCTCCAACACCCCTTAATCCCTTTCTGTCACCCATAGTAAAAACACAGCTCTCGTGCATCTCAGAATTCAAAACTGCAGTTTGCCAAAGCAGGTTAAGAGGGTAACAATTCCCCCTGTTTTCAAGGGGCTTGTGCATTAAAAGCTCTGGATACACTTCTCCCACTGGGACTCTACAAGAAAAGGCATCCAACAGCTGAAGAAGCATTTCTGGAACTTGCAGTCCAAGTGCACAGGAAATACCTGAGGTTTCTTCCCCAGTCTTCATCTCCAAAATGAGGACATATTAAGCATATCTGCTCACTGCTTAAAGCTTGCCCCCACCTCTTGGTCCATGGGTGAAGCCATTAGGAATATAAATATGGCAGCAGGACAGAAGGGGAATTATGAGACATGCTTGTCTCCAGTGTCTTCCCAACAAAACTGAACAAGAACATTAAAGCCTTCCTGATTTGGGGCTGAAAGGACATTCTGAGCTCAGATCATGGAAGCAGACAGTACTCACCACCACGGCCCACACATCTGGGACAGCAGGAGCCCTGGGCAGTGTCCTGCAGCTCCCCATGTCCACAGGTGAGGGGTGGGCAGGTCCTGGGGCTGCAGGTCACCTTCTCGTGGGCACAGGAGCACTGGACACATTCCGAGCTGGCCCACTGCGTGCCATGCTGCACACAACACAACCAAGAGCACAAAAAACACAGTGAGACCTGGAAATAGGCCTTGTCCCTTTACAAGTTCCTTCTCTCTCAAGGATAAGGCTTGGCACTGATAAAAAGTGGCTTTCTGACCACATGACAGAGGAATTGGAATGTGAAATGCAATTGTAGGTACAAATACGTCCACGTCCTTCTTGTGGGAAAGCCTACCCAAAGAGCAGGCTCAAAAGGAGCCAAAAGACAAAAGCTGCAGCAGGAGAACAGCACAGGAAAATGCAGAAACAGCACAAGAAGAAATGTAATGTATTATGATAAAACACAGTGCCCCAAATCACATGCACAAAGAAACATGAGAAGAGGATGGGTGTGCTACCCTTCCTGTTCCAGTTTTTGTTTAGCTTGTACCAGCTTCATGCTGGCCATGCCTCATGCTGGAACAGAGGTTTATAGCATCCATCTCAGGTGTGGAGAGCACAGCCCTCCAATATGCACAGCCCTACAAATATATCTGGGCATTTCAGCATATTTCTTGAGATTTGGACCTGACTTACCTCTTGTCAAACAGAAAAGTCTGTAAGACACCACACATAGGACTCAAGTTTGCTGTTAAGCCATTTTTCTACATTTGCCAGTTGTTTGACATGATTCATTAACCACCACGCACGAATCTTGATTTTTTTTTTTTAATCCCCAGACACTAATTCTGATTGTTTTGGCCTTTCAGCCCCACTAGGTGAAACCACATCCCAGAACCTGCTTGCTGGATAATTCAGGATTACAGAGCACGGAACCCAGGTCGCAGAGCAGCAATCAATCTCCAGCAGCACAGGTGGCTGCTGAGAGAAAAGCCTTCTCTGAGCACAGCTAATATGTCAAGCTCACTGTGCTTGGCTCCCCTTCTGATGTTACTGCCCTGTCTCAGCCATCCACAGAAACAAGGGGAAGGAACTAGTGGAGAAATGTCTTCCATTAAGCCATGCAGGACACACAACTGCTCAGCAACTGCAAACCCTGCTGACCCTCCTGCTAAATTCCACTATCTGGCAGTGATAGGATATAAATCCAGTGATCCATCCTTCCCCTGCACACCAGCTCAGCAGCCTCCACTGGCTGAAACAAACAGGGAACTAAGAACTGGACAGAGCACTCACACTGTGGATCTGTCCTTCGTGCTGGCAAAATCCTTCGGCTCGGGAGGCACACTCGGGGCAGCACTTGTTGGAGGCTATTTGGAGCACTTCTCCCTAAAAAGAGACAGGATTCCAATAAAGAGCTGACATCAAACAGGGACTCCAAAATGAAAGTGAAGCCACGAGGCCTGGATGGACCTGGTGCCCTCAGTTCAGAAAGGAAAGGTTTTGAGTGAAATATAGAATGTTGCTACACCACACGCCCTTGCTGAGAGGTGGCACAGCATTTTGTGTGTTTGACATTTTTCCCTCAAAATAACAGCAGAATTTACATCCCCAAGAGCACAGTTGCGAATTCTTCAGCTCAATCCATTTTCAAAGAACAGAAAACACTTGTGCAAGACAAAACTTGAGATGCTTCACTAAAAGGCCACTGAGAAACATGGGACAGATGTTGCTGAAACAAGATCAGCCATATCTGCATAAATCTCATAATGGGTAGATAAGAAATAAGCCATGGAAAGGGATGGTGATTTCTGATCTTGTTTTTCTGTTGGTGGTTTAGCTTTGAAGCGTGAAAGGATTTTTTTCTTCTGAGATCCTTGGTGATCCTTTTCAATGTTTAAAAGACCAGATGTTTTTGGAACACTTAAACATTTTGTCTTGAGGATTGCCCATGTCAAGGAGTCAGACAGATTCATTTCACACTATAAACCTATTTTCCATTATGGGTTTTAAATTAGCCACCTTTTCATTCATCTGATTTTTATCATTTTATCTAGTGCACTCATTATTAGGTGTGCCATGACAGCACTTCATCTCCCTCCTCTTTAGCACAAAAATTCCTACTAGTTCAGTCTAGCTTTAATCAATACACAGCAATAATAATGGGGAAAACCAGTAAGAATCAAAATTATTTCCTCATTAGTGCTGTCATATTGGGAAACATTTTAACCTGCTTCACAAAGCCATATAATTATCCTGACAGCCTCTTTAAAACACTCTTTTTCACTGCTATTTGTGCACTCCACCCCAGCAATCCAGATGTTAATGCAAGACCAATCCCATGGCCAATTAATGAAGACCCAGACAAAGACAAGCAGGAGACAACGAAAGCTCAGGAACCATCACGAGGAAGAAGAAACTGGAAGACAGACAATCTCAGCTCTGTTGTTGCTCAGCAGAGTGGAAAGTGCCCATCTGCACCTTCCAGGGAGCCCCAGCCCCACCTCTGAAAGAAGGGGGGCTCATGCTGGGAGGTTGGAGCCTGGTTCAGGGGCTTCCTTTGGGATCAAGCTGTTCCAACACCCGGCCCCTGGCTGCAGCAAAGGGGACAAAGGCTTCCCACACCACGTTTTCACTCCAAGGAGGAGTGCAGGGACATAGAGCCTGTGCCTGGCTCTGGGCAGCCACAGGCACGTGCCCCTTACCTTCTGGAAGTCACACTGAGGGGCTTTGCAGGCTGTAGGCTCGCAGGTGACAACGCCGCTCCGGCATCGGCAGTCTTGGCAAGAATCCAGCTTCCAGGAGGTGTTATTCTGTAAATAAAGTTGGAAACGAGGCCCATGCAGCACAAGGCACGTCCTGTTTTGACAACACATCTCAAATAGCACCGCAGAGACAGACTGCAGCAGAGCCCTCCTCCCTCCCACACGCTTATCAGGCCCCATGTTGGCACTTCTCACTCATCAGCTTCCAAAACACAGCTGAAAGACAAGGCCATGCAGGGCCAATAATCAGCTCCAACGGCCACATAATCCAACCTCCAAGAGCTCCAGGTGAATACAACGTGTCTGGAAAACTTCCCAGTGATCAGGTTCAGGCTGTCCACACCGCAGGGTGACCCCAGGCGATGCTGAGGCAACAGAGGTGGCTTTGAGGCAAACCCGTTCCTGGATGCGTGGCCAGGTAGAAACGGGCTCTACCTGGGCACATGTGTTCCCAAAATACCATGGAGGAGACTCTGGCCAAGCAGAGAGTCTGACACATCTGGAAACAGCTGTCGCCACCGCTCGATCAGTGCACCCGACTGGAACACTCACAGCTAATTCACACAGGTTTCCACAGTCCATGCCTGACCCCCTTTCATTCCCTCCATGCTGAGGTCATGATCCCACGCTGCCTCCACAAGAAAAGGGGAAGAGGAGGATCAGTTTCTCATCTGAAACACTGTTTGTAGCTAGACAATCCCTGTCCCTGTTGTATAGACAAACCCTGGGCTAAACTGGCACCACACAGGATGTTCTCCTGGGTAGGATGGACAGCCCCTACCCCAGCCACCCAGCCTCAATTTTAAGGGATTTGCAAGGAGACCAGGCCTTGCTGCTCATTTCCACCATGTAGCATTTACTTCAATTCACTCACAGTGCAAAGCACGACTTAGGAAGGATGATTAACAGTTGACTGCCACGAGCACATTTACAGCTAACTACTAAAACTGTTAAGCATAATGATAAAATACTGAAATGTGCCTTAAAGGCCCATTAGGTCGCTTAATGAGAGAAAAAATATCCTGAAAAACCAGGCCACTTGCTCAGGCACTTCTGTAGGAGATTAGGGAGATTCCTGGTTAGTGCCAATGCTGACCTTAGAAGGTGCACAGCCCCGGGGCAAGGCAAAGAGGGATGGTAATTCCTGCTCAGGAGCACAGCTGGTTCTCCCCTGGCTCACACACTGCAGAACAGAAACCCTGACACCATCTCTGCCAGCAGATTTATGGCACAGTTAGGGAAGAAATGAAGGTTAAGTGATGGAAAGCTGGCAGGGAAGCCAGCCACGGGGTAACCAGCAGTAGGAAGGGAGGGCACAGACTCACTGCCCCATCTCTTGGTTCTTCTAAACCTTCACCTCTGACCTCTCATGCCTATTAAAATTTTTAAAAAAGGAAAATAATTTCCACAGTGGAACAATAACCAAAGGAATCTCACGGCACAATGTCAGCCCAGAGCCACCCTTTACTCACATTTTGAGACTTAAAGGTTTGTGGTAAGAAAACCCCTCTTTGCTCTTTTTCCTCCCCTGGTTTCTATCATAGCCCAAGCAGGCTGACTCTTGTCTGTGGGCTCAAATCAGCTGCTTCTAAGTTCCTTTTGCCAGGTACAGGATCAAAATAGACACTTCTCTGCAGAGCTTCAAAAAATTCAGGAATCAGGAAACTACCAGCTGATTTGTTGGGATATGAGAGTCTTCCAAACACTTCATGGGTCTCAGTGTCCAGGTCTTTGGACAATCCAACATTTAGCTGAGGATTCCTGGCAACAGACCTTAAGTCCAATTTGGAAAGTCCAGATCCCACCTATCTGTCCTGTTGTGAGGCTTTGTTAGTGCTCACCCAGCAGGTACAAGGACACTCCAAAGCTCCCAGGCAATACAGTTCCAAACATAAAGCAAGACTTTTCAGTAGACACCCAAAGAACTGCTGGAAATGTGCCTGGTGTCTTCTCCAAGGCTCTGCACCTCAGTGGACAAATTATCTGCTGCAATCTAAGAGCTGGATTCCAATCCTGTTGAGAGTGTATTTTTATCAGTGACAATTTAAGGGGATTTTTCCTTACAAGTACTAATATAATTAACAGTATAAATAATTAAATATCACGCAGAGAGCGCTTTGAAGACGGAAAACACTCCTTAAACGCCAAGTAGTGCCATTATAATTTATTAATTCCCTGGATTTCCCAACATCAAAAGAATAAATGATACCTAATTCAACTGCATTTTAAAACACCATGCTGGCAAGAAGAAATGCATCTACATTACTTGGGCCAGTCTGCAGAACAGGGGCCAAAAGAACAAGAAATGCTCACAAACCTTTTGAACCTGCAGATAGCCAGACCAAGACAAAATGAGATAAAACTGGAGACAGAGCAGCACAGTTTGAGCATGGGATGGGTTTGGAGAATACTGATGAGGATTTAGAAAAAGACAGAGGAAAAGAAGATAAAAGAGGCAAGAACACAACAAGCAGTAAAAGCAAAGAAAAAGCTAAAGAGACAAAGAGCAGACATGGAGCAAAGGGAGCCCAGAGCAGCTGTGAGTGCTCCTGGTTTGCTGCTGTCACCCTGTCACATTAACCAGAGTACAGAAAAACCTAAATCTCTCGGACCACTGCTTTTTTCAATAACTTCAGACAGCTGCACCTGTCCCTCCTTGACCTCAGCCAAAAAAAAAAAACAAACCACCCCACCCAACAAATCACAAATAAGTAGTCTGCTATTAATATGTGAAAAGCCTCAGTAATTTAATCAGGTGCCACTCAGCATGGGATATCATCACACCAGATAACAGTGTGTGTGCTATTCTGGTGCAGCGACTGGGGAAATAAGAAGCCTGCAACAGCTGGTTTGTGTCCCCTTTCCAGCTCTTAGGCTCCCTGAAAATATCCAGTCCATCCCTAAAATGTCACTGGATGCTGGGGTGTCCCCTGCAGCATGCAGGACCTGTAAAGCCACTCACTGGGGTGGTGGCATTGCTGCAATTGCTAAACAGGGTGAAGCCAGCAGGGCACTGCTGCAGCCTTCGTGTCAGGCAGGAGTCAAGCTGCAGATTTGTGGTGTCACATCAAAACCGAGGGGGTTGTTGCTTATCACCTGATGGTGATATGGGGTCTGGAACACCTCTCTCATGAGCAGAGACTGCAGAGCTGGGCCTGGTTAGCCTGGAGAGGACTGAGAGGGAATCTCATCAATCTATACAAATATCTCCGAGGTGTGACAATAGGATGGCGCCAGACTTTTTGGTGAGCCCAGTGACAGGAGAAGTAGCAACCATAAACTAAAACACGAGGAGTTTCACCTCACCATGAGGAAGAACTTCTTTCCATGAGGGTGGCAAAGCACTGGAGCAGCTGCCCAGGGACCAAACTCACCCCTGTGTCACCTGCTCCAGGTGACTTGCCTTGGCTGGGTGATCTGCAGAGCTTCCCTTTCAACCCCAGCTATTCTGGGATTCAGTGGTTAACTCACCAAGAGGCTGCTCTGGACCCAGACTGCTGGACTCTGCTTTGGGGAGCAGGGAGGAGAAAAACCTCTGGGAGAAAGCACAAGGGAGCTCCAAGTCCGAGTGCCAGATGGGATTTACCTCCCAAGTCGTTCCTGTGCCAGAGACAACAGAGAAAAGGCAGGGATCGGGTGTCTCAGAGGAGGAATTCCAGGCTGCTTTGTTGAAACGGCAGGCAGAGCCCGGAGCAATTACACTTTTGGTAACAATTCCCAGCATTACCCACCGGCTGCCAGGCGAGGAGCCTTGGCAGTCCCTCTTTCATTTGTCATTTCCACTCCAATTATTTGACAATGCGGGCAATTGGCAGGAGAAGCCCCAACGAGGGGGAAGCACAGAGAAGCACTGCACGGTCTGTGGGGATACCCATTAGTGGAGCAATGAGGAGATGAAAGTAATTCAGAGACACATAAAGGATTCCCAGCGTCCGTTCGTTTTGGATTTGATGTTTTATCTCTGGCAATGGGGAGATGTTGCTCTGCTGAGTGTGTTTTTTAGATCTGGTGTTTGCTGGCAGATAAGAGGAACTCCTTGACAAGGGGGTTTTAATGGGCTCATTCCAGCATGCCCGCCCGGAATCAGAGAACAACTCAGGAACGACTGGGCTCGGGAATCAAATGGAAATTCAGCTCCTCTCAGTGGAAACAGCTTCAGTCCTACGCTCCTAGGAGAGTACAGAGCAACTAAGGCAAAGCACAGGGCTTGTAACAACACAGCAACATGAACACACTGTTCCAGGAATTGGGAACTAGCTCTCTCCTTCTTCCAGTCAGGGAATTAGGAGCTTACATAAAGTAAAACAAGGTACTGTTTTCACAGTTCAGCACTCTGCCACATTTCCGACTGTGAAAGTCTTGCACCAGTTGTACCAGCCTCGTAAAAATCAAGAGTCTAAAAATAACATTTCCCAGCAGTCCCGAGATATTTCAAGGATGTGATATTCCAAAATACTCTTCTTCACCTATACTGAGGTGCTGTTGTAATGTTCACCCTTGTCTTTCACACAGACACAGAAGCAGTCCAAAGGGCAAGGGCCCAAATGAACCAAAGGCACTTTGTAAAACTATGGTTTCAAATCACCCGTTCTAACCAGGATTTAAATCAGCACACAGAGGTCTTTGTTCAATATTTTGGGAGCAGCAGTGTTCCTTTAGAAAGGTTAATGCCTTTTGGTTTGTCAGTATTAGAATCACCTAAAACAACTTGCAGCCTCTTTGTAAACTTTCTTCTCACATGAAATCCATCTGTAAATGGACATGGTGAATGACTGATAGCAAAAACAATTACTTTTCTCCCATCATCTTATGCTTGAAGATTTTTTCCACACCCAGTTGTGTGTTTTGATGAACAGCACACGCCAGGAATTCTCCTCAGCATCCAGGAATAACATTTGGGGTCCCCCTGCTGTTTTTTCTCCCTTTGCCCAAGCAGTTCCTAACCTGTCAACTGGCAAATTTCAAACATTCTCCCCCAAAATGTCTTCTGAGTGGATATCAAACTGTTAATGGATGTCAAAGCCAAAGTGCATGACTGAACAGCTGTGGAAAAGAAGGGAGGTAAAGGATTCATTTAATCTAAATTAAATCACAGCTTTAATGATAGCACTTATTACAGCATAATGGCTATTTCTGGAGCAGCAGGGGTGCCCACCTCTACTGTGTGATGCTCTGGGTGC